GAAGCTGCATGTTACTGGGGCAGCAAGAGACCTGAAAAGAGTGAAAAAGGCCTTACCAACTCCTCTTGAATCTGGGGCATGGGAGATTCAGGAAATGGCAGAGTTGAGGCCTCTCCTTGGTAGAGATGGCAGCCTTGAATGTCTTTCTTTTCACCATCTCTTAGTGGATCAGTGAGGACATTTGAATAAAAATGGAAATGTTTGCATATAGTAATTCTACTCATACATATAATGCAGACCAAGACTTCAGAATCAGATTTGCATAGCTTGTGCAGAAGATAAAGGTGACAGTAAAATATTTCAGCTCCTCAAAGTCCTAATGTCAATCGCAGCTGTAGCTGCAGGAAGGGCTGTTGCCAGAAGTGCCCCTTCTGGAAGCATTCCTCCAGCTAGGCAGGCGGCCAGCCTCTGGGCAGGTGCTGCTGGGGGCCAGGCACCCTCCCGACTTTGGGCATTCTGATCTCTCATTTTGGGCATTCTGATCTCTCATCTCTTCTGCATTGCCTAGATATCAAGCCTGTGATTTAAGAAAAAGATATCTGAGCATAAATCAGAAATTTCAACTTCAACTTCACATTGTGGGAGTGCAGCCTGACAGGGATCAGTCTTCTTAGATTCCCTGAGTCTGACCATCTTATTTACTCTCTTATAAAATAATAAGATTGAAGTAAGAGTCTCTAAGTCCCTTCACTTCTTTTCAGCATATGAATCTACTCAGGTCTCAAAACTGAACTCACAAGTTCACTGCCTGAAAGACGCTCTTATATACCTTGGCTACAGGGGGCATTAAAATTTGTTCCTGTCTCCATGCAAACAACTCCCAATGCACATGGCCCATCAACTCCACTGCATGAAAAGCAGGCCCCAGCTTGCACCTGTGGGTGCAGAACATTACATCAGGCAGCTCAGTGGAATGAAAAATGCCTTTCAGTACACTTTCTTCTTTGGAAATACACATTTTTGTTTGTGGAACTTCTGTATTTGTCTGCCTGCTTATACTGGGTTCACACTGTATATATTTTTTTTTAAAAAAGATTTATTTATTTATGCATACAAAAGCTGGGGTACAGGCCAGAGGGGAGGGGAGGGGGGGTGAGAGGATTCACCAGAGACAGAGTGGGGAGCAGAACAGGTGGATCTACTGAACTACACTGTTGAGGGGAGCAGCAGGCAAGACAGGAGAGGTCTGCTGAGCCATGTGGGATAGCTCCCTGGCTGGGGATCAAACTCATGTTGCAGTGAGTGGCTGTGGATAGCTTCATAGTGCTGAGACTTAACCCCTTGCACCACCAGGGAGGCCCCACACTGTATATATCTTACAGTTTCCTGTGTTCCCTAACTTTCCTAACCATAATTTCTGGAACAATGTTTCTGGCTTGTCATATAAATCCCACCGAAGTTAAGAAGCACTCACAGTGTCAGGTCAAATCCAGTGTTCCAGGGCCAGGCACTAGGTGTGGGGGTGTGGAGGGGCAGTACCAGCCCCAGCCAGTGGCTACCTAGATGGCAGTTGAAATGGTGTGTGATTGAACTTGGCCATTCCAAAGTGGCTTCTTGACTTCCCTGTCTTTCTGAGGACTGCAGCGGCAGAAGCTTCCCTGGGGTCGTTCAGTAGTCATGTCCTAGGAGGTATTCCTGGGAGCCAGCCCAGAGTCTGTCCTCTCAACATTTTTGCTCACATAATTCCCCAATTACATCTCTTCCTCCTTCACACAGCTAGAAGAATTTTGGTTTCTGCAACTGACACTGGGGTACCAAATGCCACTCTGAGCATCTTTTATGTCAAATTCTAGACATCCTTCAAAGTTGAAAGGAATTAGAGTTCTCCGTCCATCTTATAATCCCTTTCTTTCCATGAATTCCTTTTGCTATTTTAGTATAGCATGTGACAAGTTATTAGTATCCTTTTCTCCTTTATTTTGGTGGGTTTAAGTTGTAGTATTTTTGTTTGCAAAAAAGAAGAAATATTAGACACTCACTATTGGAAAATAAAGGGATATTTTATTATTATAAGAATATAGAAACATCTCACAGGAAAAAAAAAAGGTAGGATTTCAAAGGGTAGAAAATAAGAAGGAGAAAGCCATTGAGAAGTCAGGTTAACCACCTTTCTCTGCCTCCTTCTAAACCACATGGTCTCTAATTTCTTTCTCCTCTACTCCCTCCTTTTGTTTGCAGGTTTGATTTCTCTTTCTCCTGGCATAGCTTGTGAGTTTATATGATATGGTAAAGATTACTAGTTGCCTACCCAGTACACTCTGCCTCCTACCTCCCCACCTCCCATTACTGTTCTAAACAGGCATGCATCACTTGAAATAAATACTAACTTGTCCCAGACTCCCTTGCAGCTAAATGTTGCCACATGGCTACATTCTAGCCAATGAGCTGGGTCTTTAAAAAGAAGATGGATCAAAGAGATGGTGGACCCATGAGTTGAAAGTGGCAATCCCAGTTAGGCTCTGGAATACCTATCTTTGGATTATTCTGTGTAAAGAACTAAATTTCTATTCCCTTTAAGTTATTGCTAGTTTGCATTTTTTTTCATGCAATGAAAGCCTAATCATAACTGATAACACATATCCTTCCTTTGCATGTACAGTGAAGAGTAACTAGGGTGTCTTCAATTCTAAGCTCCCAGGAGAGAATGGAAGAGCTTAGTTTCTTTGTCTACCTGTATTCCTATAAGCAGTGACCAGGGGAGTAGATTTCCATAATACAAAAAAAAAAAAATGCAGAAGATCTATTCAAGGAAGTTGTGGGGTTATTTTCACAGAGGCAGGCATTTAGGCTGAGAGGAGACCTCGAAAGTTGTCTACCATACTTTTTCTTTTCCAGTTGTTAGCAAGTTCCCATTTTAGGTTTATCCTTAAATATCTCCCCCTTTATAAAGTACAGATTAGGGCCTCCCTGGTGGCTCAAGGGGTTAAGCACCCCACTGTGAAGCAATCCCCAGCCTCTGCAGCACGAGTTCGATCCCCGGCCAGCCAGGGAGCAACCCACATGGTGCAGCAGACCTCTCCTGACTCGCCCGCTGCTCCCCTCAGCAGTGTGTTTCAGTCAGTCTGCCTGTTCTGTTCCCTACTCTGCCTCTGGTGAATCCTCTCACCCCCCGCATCTCTGGCCTGTACCCCAGCTCTTGTATGCATAAATAAATAAATCTTAAAAAAAATAAAGTACAGATTATATTCCTACATTTTCTCACAATTCTTGAGATACATACTTTTTTTTTTTAAAGATTTATTTATTTATGTATACAAGCACTGGGGTACAGTCAGAAGCGCAGGAGGGTGAGAGAATTCACCAGAGCCAGAGCAAGGAGCAGAACAGGCAGACTGAGGAAGGACACTGCTGAGGGGAGCAGTGGGCGGCAGGAGAGGTCTGCGCGCCATGTGGGACCCTCGCAGGCGGCCGGGGAACGAACCAGCGAACAGCTTCGCAGCCCAGTGCTCAACCGCTGTGCCACCAGGGAGGCCCGAGATGCATATTTTTAGCCAGAAATCTGAGAAGCACTTAACGCAATGGAAGTAAGTTTTGTGGTGTCACAAGGAAAGCATGCTACATGCTCAGTTTTGGCTTTGGAGCAGAGTCTAGAAATCAGACTCTCGATTCTCAGAGTCAGGTAGAATCCTCCATTTGAAATTCTATGAAGAAACCAATATCTAAACAGCTTTTTAATTCAACAACTTGTGACGTCAGGAAAAGGATTTAAAATTGCAGAGTCTACATTAAAAAAATAGCTACCTCTTGCCAGGCAGTCCACCCAGCAATAAAGATTTAACATCTTTATATAATATTATAATTACATAATTTGTGTAATCCAGAGGGAGGGTAATTTTAAATGTTAATTTTTTTAACATTTATTTATTTATGCATAAAAGAACTGGGGTGTAGGCCAGAAGTGTGGGAGGTGAGAGGATTTACCAGAGACAGAGTGAGGAGCAGAACAGGCGGGTCTATTAAGATACACTGCTGAGGGGAGCAGTGGGTGAGACAGGAAAGGTCTGCTGTGCCATGTGGGTCAGCTCCCTGGCCAGGGAATCGAACTTGTGCTGAAGTAACTGTAGATAGCTTCATAGTGCTGTGTCTTAACCCCTTGAGCCACCAGGGAGGCCCCTTATATGTTAATTTTTAGAAAATAAATACACAGTGGTTCTAGACACCTCAGTCACAAAGCATCCCAATTATTAAGGGAGGCATCTCCCTGCTGGGTCTGCCAGTAACTGCCAGGAGCGGAGCCCGCTGGTCAACCCATGATGGTCAGTTAGCATAAGTGGGAACTTTGTATTTTACTGCCTATCCTCACTCCTAGAACTTCTTGAGGAGCTCATAAACTAGAAGGGGGACAATATGGAAACTGAGTCCAGAGATGTACTGTACATAACCAGGTAAGAGTTGAAGGTGTGACAATAAGAGATATGATGGCATCTCTCCAGTCGCTCTCCTAGTCCTGTTTCAGGTGAGAATGTGTTCAGTCTAGGGGCACTAATCACACCTCCCGTGAGTCTGAGATGGGCCACCTCTGAGTGGATTTGTCTACCAGACTGGAATAAGGAGTTTTCGTTTTGTGTGTGCAAACCTACAAACTAAAGCTGAACCTGGTCAAGATCATTTGCAGCACAGGAAATCTGTCCCCCAACACCACTATATTCACTTTCTCATTGAACAAGTTCAAAATTAGAAACGTCCATTCCTGTAACAGTATTAACCAGCAGGAATAAAAGGTTTATGGAATTACTCGGTCATCTCGTTCTTACTTTTTGTACAGAATACTAGTAAAATTTGGTAGAGAAACATTTTAAACCTCTTCTTTTTGTTTTGTCTTGATCTGTTTACATGCTTATCTAAGAGAAACTATAGATTTTTCCCCTTTCTCCCCCGCATCCCAGGATAATATCAAATTAAACTTACTTCCTTAATAGTTCTCAGTTGACTTGCAACACTGGACTCTGGACTATTTCCAGAAGTCATTTTTCATAATTGCTAAACTTTAACTAGAACCCAGGATAAAAGGCAGGCAGCGCCTCTGGCCGTGCCGAGCTGCCAGACAGACTCTCGCTGCACCAGGGAGGAACCATGACTTGCTGTGAAGGCTGGACGTCCTGCAACGGGATCAGCCTGCTGGTCCTGCTGCTGCTGGGCATCATCCTCAACGTCATCCCTCTGGCTGTCAAGTTCGTCGATGATGATGATGATCATAAGTTTTCTAAAAAAAACCCCATCTCTTGCTTTGAGTGGTGGTTTCCAGGAATTATAGGAGCTGGTGCGATGGTGAGTAATATTTCTTTGACTTGACTTAGAGAAAAGTCTTTACCTAATTCCTAAAAGCGTCTTTCCATGGGGTCATGAATGCCAGGACTCGGTTTGCATGTGTGTGAGTGCATGCGTGCCTTTGTGTGCGTGTGTGCACACATGAGTGTGTGCATGTGTTTTACGGATGATCAGTTACTGCTGCTGGTCTTATCTCCATATTGGATGAAAACTCTCCCTGGCCATTGTCTGTTAAACTTCGGCTGGGTACATTGGGCTTGAGTCCAGTTCGGCATCAGAAAGCTACGTGAAGAAGCCCTCCTCCAAAACTGATGGTTTCTTTTCCTTTAACTTCGTGAACGATCTGTTCATCCTGGGTGAGGTAGGGAGCGCCACTTTGAGGAAGAGCTTCTGGAAAGCTGTAGGTTATTCTTCAAACTGCCATGAAAGTTCTCTGCTGGGATGGGAGAAAACACATCCCTCCACGGGGAGATGCAAAGGCAAGTCCTGTGCCCATTCTCTGCCCTCCGCCAGTCTCCTCTCTGACCATTCACCTCCTGTGAGCTTACGTTCCTTGGCATCTGCTTAGACCAGACGCCAGGGGCAGCTGGCTGAGCCTAACCACTGAGGGCAATTTCCAAGAATTCCTCAAAGTTGCCACATTAAAACACCCCACTTTCAACAGAAATTGGCTCAACCACAAACCCCAACAATACAAAAAAGTTCTTGCTGGCGTTACAGAGCCTGAGGGGGTGACGGCACAATATTCTCCGGGTGTTCTTAGGGAGTGGGGAGAGGTGAGAGGAGACCCAGAAAGAATGCCTGCCAGGTGCAGCTACTGTCACACCTGACACAGGAGTCCCATTTCATCTCTACAGCTATCAGCCTCGGCAGATCTTATCATTTCTATGTTAACAGCCCAGTCAGAGTGTTTGGAATGTTCACAAGGTTACACACACTCACTTTGTGAAACGCTGGAAACCCAGGTCCAAATTATTCCGACACCATCTGAGGCTCTACTTTCCACTCTGTATGGGGTACAGAGTCTCAACACCTGTATCCCAGCTGAGAACAGGAAAGGGAAAAATCCAAAAATGTAAGTGATCAGGAAACTGAGGCATAGATAGATGATATGACTGTGAGAGTTTCAGAGAATCTGGACTTCCTTGTTCTATGACTAAATTCATTTTATCACCCCCAGTAAATATTAACAAAGGGCATCACACCAGGCTCTCTCCATTACTTCGTAATGTAGAACACCATCATCAAAGCATCAAGTCACTGTTTGATAACTTCAACAGGCACTTTGTAGATTCAACCTCAAGCTCTAGACTAGACTCACCAGCAAAGTAGGGGCTCACAGAGTACTGAGGATACAGGCTTGTTGTCATGGTCCTCAGCTAGATGGAATGTGAAAGAACATCTTAAAAGGAATCGTATCTTTTACAACAAGTCAAAATAGGGACTTGTTGATAATATTAAACCCTGACTATATTTGGAAATACACAGAAAAGTTGATACAGAAGAAATCACTGCCAGTATTCAGCATTTTTATCAAGGTTCTTGAAATCTTCCCCAAACTGCTTGGCATTGTCAGTTAGCAGACCTTTGGAACAGGGCAGTTTGCAGGGAGTAGCTAATAATAGAACTATTATGATGTATCCAAAACAGAGGTAAACATCTGCATCTTTGAAACCATGACTAAGAGTCAGATTGTTTTGAAATTAAGTATCTTCAACTATTATCTTCTAAAAGGAAAAAATCAATGCAAGTTATTTTTCCAAGTACTTAATAAAGACTTGAACTGTTCCTTCTAAAAAGATAAAGGTCATTTTATCTTAAATAAGATTAATTGGAAGTCTGATGTTACTCATGCTTGTTAGTGAGGTCACTTGTTACATAATGACAATTCATCAATTATGAAAATATTAACAGAGAACAAATTATTGAATGCTAAGCAAATTAGAAAAATTGAGCATGAGAGTTTTTAAAATGCAGTTTGTATATTTTTGATGAGCTATGGGCTTGGTGTTTTTAAAGGTTTATTTATTCATGCACACAAGAACTGGGGCATAGGCCAGATGTGTAGGAGGGTGAGAGGAGTCACCAGAGACAGAGCGGGGAACAGAACAGGCAGGCTGACTGAAAACACTGCTGAGGGGAGCAGTGGGAGAGACAGGAGAGGTCTGCTGTGCCATGTGGGCATCTCTCCAGCAGGCAATCGAACCCGCGCTGCAGAGTCTGCTGACAGCTCCATAGCACTGCGCTCAACCACCTACGCCACCTGGGTTTTTTGTGTTATTCATGCTCAAGTACTTAGAGGAATCCCCAAAGTTTGAATTCTATCACAGAGGTTTAATGGCCTACAGCTCTTTGTACTTCGTTTATGAAATCATATGCCTTATTACTAAAATTGGATGAAAGTATACTTTTTTTGTAAGGAAAATGAACTACACTATTCCTTTCTTTATAAAAAACAAAAGATTATCAAGACTCAATTTCACAAAAACTCATGCATTCAAATGTGCTTAGGAATCAAAGAGAACACATTCTCATAGTTATTTTCATAGATTATCTGGAAGATTTATAATCCAGTCATATATATACTTTTGCACTTTCATATCTTAAGGTCCATTCTATACAAAGTCCCTTCAATTCCCAAAGCTCTGAATGAGCAAAATGACTGCAGTACAGTGAGCTATCAAGTTACCCACAACAACACAACAAAGATGTGTTAACATGCCATGAAGTCAGTTGGGTGGGGATTCACACACTAAACTTTATGAAACTGCTTTGCCAGGGAAGGGAACTATGAAAGTAAAGATTCAGCATTATCAAAATAAATTAATTTCAAGAAAATGAGCAGTTTAATTTATATCAATGAAGAAAAATGGAATGATTTATCCATTTAAGTTGTTGTTCCTTTTAGCAGATTCATTAATTTTCCAAATAAGGGATTGGTAAGTTGTTTTTCAATGAAGAGCCAGATAGTGAATATTTTAGCTACACTCTCTCACAACTATTCATTTCTACTGCTGGTGTGCAAAAGCAGCAATGGACACATGTGAGTGAATGGATGCGTTCTAATAAAACTTTATTTGTAAAAAAGAGATGGTGGGCCAAAATTTACCAGTTCTTGCTCTGAATAATTTGTTCTTTAAACTCAGAAGCCAGTACAAAAGAAGCTTTGTCCGTGAACGCTGACATGGGACTGAGATTTGTTTTCCCTTCTGGGCTCTCAGTTACACTCCAAGATGGCTGAGCTGCAGCGAACATGTCAGCACTGAGTTGAGGGTGTTGGTGTTTGGGGAAACATGTAATCAAAGCTTGATAGCAAGACGACCCACGGAGTCAGAATGGGGTGAAGTCTACCAGCGAAACTGCCTTTTAAAGATGTAAACCTTGGGGCCTTCCCTGGTGGCGCAGGCATTTGAGCGCTGCGCTGTGAAGCTGTCCGCAGTCTCTGCAGCGGCCTCCGGCGAGGGTCCCACATGGCGTGGCAGACCTCTCCTATCGCGCCCGCTGCTCCCCTTAGCAGTGTATTTCGTCAGTCTGCCTGTCCTGTTCCCCGCTCTGGCTCTGGTGAATCTTCTCACTCTCCCGCACATCTGGCCTGTACCCCGGTTCTTGTATAAATAAATAAATAAGTCTTTAAAAAAAAAAAAAAAGATGTAAACCTTGGACCTGTTCTGCAAGCACAAAGGCAGACATGGTCTTGGAGGAAAGGGCCAGGGAGGACAGTGAGGGGTGCCAGGGTGGTGGTGGTGGGGAGGATGAATCTACTCTGGGCAGGGATGGAAGAGAATTGCGAGAGTCGTGGTTGAGAGTCAGGGCTTGCAGGCCCACTGCCAAGTCCTGAGCCCCAACTCTTCCACATTCTTTTCAAGTTACTCAAACTTTCTCTGCCTGCTTTTTCATTGGTAAAACTGGGATAAAAATAGCAGCTCTCAGGGGACTGTTATGAAACTGGAATGAACTAAAACATGTATGAACGTCCAACAGCGCCTGCCATGGAGTTAGACTCAATAAGAGGTTTAGGAAACAAGAGCAGGAGGCAAGAACAGAGGGCCGATATGCCGAGATGGCAAAAGAAACTCATGACTAGAATTTCTTAAGTGGAAGGAAGTGCTTGATAGTCACTCCTCAGTGACACAAACTTCCTCCAGTAAGAGTTGCTAGTCACAGCTGGTGACTAGATCTTGTGAAAGGTGTGAGCCTAGGGTGTGGCGGCATTTCCTGCAGCTTTCCTCAGGCGAGCATTTCCCTGACACAGATGGTGAAGCACACAAGCCTTCTGGACACAGGACAAAGCCAGGCCATCGCAGATCATGGGCAAAGAACAGAAAGGGGAAAGTGGAGCCAAAAGTAATGCTCAACCCATCAGTGTGGGGAGCCCGTGGGTTGGCAGTGACCCCGAGAGTGAGAGAAAACTCAGGGACACCTGGGAGAGGGAGGCGAGAGAACTCCTAGTTGGCAACTGCCAGGGGAACCCGGCCTTTCATTTCTTTTCTGGATGCTTGCCAGATGGACCCACAGAATTTTGGGGCAATTGTCTAAGTCACTGCAGATGACCCTAACCACTCCTGGCTTCCTCCCTCCCACCCACCCCCCAGAACAAAAGGAAGTGAATTTTGAATGATGCAACCAATTCCTTTAGAAACCATTCTTCCAAAATGCGGGAGTAAGTCACTACCTATTACACAAAGTTTCTTTAACGATGCCCAGAGTATACTGAGCAGGTGCATGGCAGACCCCAGGGCTACTATTCTGAAGTGCCCATGCCAGCCCCTTGGGTAACTGTTCACCAGGGGAGGTGGGGATCACCAGGGCCGAAGGACTGAAGACATGGCCAGGTCTCCCTTGTGATCTCTGGAGCCCTGATTTCCCAGCACTGGCGGCAGCTGCGAGGACGCGGTGACTGCCTCTCCGTCTGGTGAGAAGGAATAACCATCATCTTTTCTGTGGATGTCCTTTTCAGGCCATTCCTGCCACGACAATGGCCTTGGCGGCAAGAAAAAGAGGATGCTGCAACAACAGAGTTGGAGTGAGTATGGGCCGTGGCCGGGAGCGGGAGGTCCCCGGAGTCACAGCATCTCTGGTGGGGGGGGGGGTGTCTCGTCTCAGAGACGCTTACAGTGACTCAGTGATGAAATGGACAGTGACGAGGTTTTCTTCTGTCAACAAAAACACAGCTTGGTGGCCTGCAAGCCACCTCCATCGTCAGCTTCCCCCCAGGCATTCCGAGAGGGGGTTGCTGAGTCATGCTCGGATCTGTGAGCAACTTCCAAACAGTCCAATACTTGTTAGTTTTGGGGTGTGTATAAAATCCTTAGGGAAAAGGTGCCCTCAGTTCTCTTGTGCCTATGAAAGACCAATTTCACAGCATCGGAACGCTAATTGTTAACCAAGGGAGACACTAGTTATTTTTCTCAGACATCTGGTACACACCTACCATATAGAAACTTGGAACTAAAGGGAAATTAATATTTATTAGCCTTCTGTCACTTAGCTCATAACCCTTAAATATGTTGTCTCATTGAATTCTCCCAAAACCCTTAAGTGAGAAATACTAGGATCTCTGTTTTATGGACCGAGAAACTAGTCCTCAGAGAGGTCCCACAGCTGGTGTTACGTTTCTCCAGCGTCCTCAGACCGAGTTCACAGTTGGGGATCAGGGACAGCTCCTCTTGCTGTGAACATTGTTCCTAAGGACGCAGAAGTCTCTAGTCTCCTCCAAGCGGGGCGGGGGAAACAGATCAACAAAGGAGCAGTCACTATGCCTGGCGAGTGTGAGGTCTGAAAGCAACGGTTCACAGCACCATGGGGACATTAGCTCCCCTAGGAAGATCCTGAAGACACCCGTGCCAGGTGGTCCCCAGAGATTCTCCATCAACATTTTTCTAGGCCCCCCAGATGATTCCAATGTGCCAAAAGGGGTGAGAATCAGTCTTTAAAAGGGAACAGGTTTATATTTCAGAAGATATTTTCCTGACACTGATATGCATCTAGGATTGTCATTACTAAGCTAATTCTTTAGTTTTTATTCTTGGTACACTATAGGTACTCAATAAATAGTACCATTCAGTTTTCCTTCCCTGTCACCTTTCTTTATAAGTAATTAAGAGTTTGACTTTGTGTTATGTAATTTCTTCTTGCAACATTCTTGAGAAAGATAGCGGAGATATTTCTGAGTCCCCAAATTCAAAAATATCAAAAACTCAGATTTTTTTTCTCAAGCTCTATTTCCTTTTTCCTGCACGTCTTTTCATACAAATGCACCATCTTTCCAATGACCAATAACGTCTGCTCTCTCCCTTGAGGATACAGTGAGTAGAGAACAACAAAGACACTTTTACAAGCAGCCTGTGGGTTTAGCGCACCAGGTTTTGCTCCCCTAGACCAGCCTCAGAAATTGGAATTCAAGCTTCAGCAACACTAGAGTTTATTAGATGCTGGGGAGTGTAGGCTCCCGGAGTTCTGGGGAAGCAGGTGCTGTGAATCAGGCTCATGCTTAATTAATAACACAGCCCACAGGCCATTATATTGATTAACTGCAGTTATCTCACTCAGTGGCAGCCATGTGAGGTCACTGTTTGAGTCAGATCTCCTTATCTTCCCAGTCTAGATAATCCCAAAGAAAGTGACAAAGGTTAGACCTTGGGAGAGCAGGAAAGGGGTCACCCAGACTGGGCCCCCAACTTTCTCTGTTCCTTGTTCTTTGCTGTGCCCAGATCTTGATTGCTTCTGAACCCTCTGGCCTGGCTGAATCGTTTCAGTGAGCTCCTACTCTGAAGGGGATTCAAATCCCCAGAATCACTCCCAAAGCCAGACCCTTTCACAGTGGTGAGAAGTTAGAAATCATCGGTGACCAAAATTTAAACGGAGTGGCACTTCTTGATGAGCAGAGCGAGGCAGCCTATGCAGACCGCAGGCTCATGGAATCAGCAACAGAATCAGACTCCCAGGCTGTCACTCTGGGCTTCCAGCTGGAAAATCCTGGCGAGGTGATGGGGTCTGTGCATCGGCGTTTTCCAGCTGAGATCCTGGTTTGTCAACCTCCCTGAATTGCAGGTTTCTCATTTGTAAAATGGGAATAACAGCACCTACCTTTTCGGGTCACTGAAAAGATTAAATGAGGACATATGTGCAGCCAATGTCCCTTGACACACACCTGTGTAGGCAGCCACTGATCCTGCCTACTCATGGAAGGCAGAGCCGAAGAACTCGAAACCCTCTACCATCCACCCTATTATCCCACCCACGGAACAGGGAAAGTGTTCCTTCACTTCATTCCTGCAGGTTTACAAGTGATTTAATTATCACTAAAGCAACATAGAGCTTCTTTTTGGAAAACACACATATACCAGTTTTCACTTGGGCCCTACTGTTTCCTGTTACAAGTTCCATCAGTGCTGTGTTTCTGCCACTCTGACTCATGAGCTTAAACGTTACTTTTCTCCTCTGACACAAGCAGTTCTCAACTGGGGTAATTTTGCCCCATTCAGGGGACATTTTGCACTCTCTGGATTCATTTTTGGTTGTCACGGTTGGGGGAGATCTGCTACTGGCACCCAGTGGGCAGAGACCAGGGATGATGCTAAACACCCCACTATGTTCAGTAAGGGCCCCAAGAAAAAAGGCACAATGTCAGCAGAGCTGAGGATGAGACACTGACTGGTCAGCAGGATGCTGTCCATCTGGAGGTCAAGAGACCAGATGCGAGGGGGCCTCCCTGGCGGTGCAGGGGTTAAGTCTCAGCGCTATCACCTCTATGGCCTGAGTTCAATCTCCCAGCCAAGGAGCTGACCCACATGATGCAGCTCCCCTCAGCAGTGTGTTTCAGTAGATCTGCCTGTTCTGCTCCCCACTCTCTCTGGTGAATCCTCTCACCCTCCCCCCACACCTCTGGCCTACACCTCAGTTCTTCTATGCATCAATCAATCAAGCAATCAATCAATCTTTAAAGAGAGAGAGACCAGATGTGAAAATGTGGGAGGTTAAGATATAGTCAAGTTTCTGTAAGCAGAAAGTTCACAGAAGAGGGTGGGAGGAAGCAGATCTCAGTAGAGTTGAAATGAACAGCCCTCAGGTTAATGGTTCAAAATTTTCAGAGACAACAGCAAGCCCCACAGACTCCTAGGGAGTCTAGTCGAATGGCAGAGGCCTTGTTCTCTACCTTGTCTGCTAATGCACAACTCATCAACCAGTGACCGTAGGTCTAGGACCCTAAGGTGGCTGGAAAGCAGCAGCAGCTCACTCAGGCGGCGACATAAACTGCTGAAACTTGAAAGAGACCCACGATGGGGGATAACGTGCACATGGACCTATTTTATTTTTCAGATGTTTCTTTCATCGTTTTTGAACGTGATCACCATCCTTGGTGCCGTGTACTGCATGTGGGTTTCTCTGTGCGCTCTCTCAGAAGGTCCTCTCATTTGTAACCCTCAAGACTACAAGAATGTCAGTTGTGAATTTTCGTTCAAAAAATTAAAGTGAGTAGATTTTCAATACCTCTCTGCCTTATACAGCTGCAGCTAGTTAGATGGCAATAATGCTGTGTTTATCTTTGATGAAACTGCAGCGGCAGATTCTTAAGGATTCAGTACATTAATCCCAAAAGCTCAGTCTTGGGAAGTGGCGGCATCACTATGTGGGTACAGTTGCTCGGCGGGTATGGTCTCGTCTAGGAGTTGGTTCAGATGGCTTAGCCTTGTCTTTTAAAAATCAGTGGCTGCATATGTGTATAAATATTTTCTGGAAGTATATACCAGAAACTTAACTTGCACCCTGTAGGACAGAGGGGAACATTTACTTTCTATCCTACAGAACTATGTGTAAGTCTGAGCATGTACCGCCTTTATAATTTCAGAAACTGAATGAAAAACTCACCCAACAAAGTCTATAGCATGATCTATAAGCCAGAAAAGAAACAAAGCAGCCAACAGGTTCATGCAGACATACTATACTATAAAGTAGGCATGGGAACGAATCGAGTTTGTCATGTAGTAACAACTAATACTGAAGAGTTCTATGTAACTAGTTCACTGTAGTCTCATATCGTGGTTCTGGACTGAATCTAGGCACAACTTGTAAAAGTGCCAGAATAAGACAATCTAATTCAGTAGTTACACAGACGTAGCTCAGTTTGAAAAATAACCAGAATTCACTTTTACAGTCACATTTTTCCTCCTTGTCCCTTCCTTGCCTACATTAAAAAAGAACATCGAAATATATATGCCACAGTTGTCTAAATCCAAGCCCAAAAGAAATTCCCTTTACTAATATTTCTGACGCGTAAGATTAGAGATTTCAACCACAGACGCCAGACACAGGCAGTCCTGTGCTGATGCCTGCTCGCCATGTGAGTAGGTACCAGGCGAGCCTGGAGACAAGAGTACTCCAGGTGTTCCCACTCTAGCTGGGGAGAGAGTCACGGAGAGCAAACTTACGCTCGCTGCAAACTTCCAAGGGCTGACTCATATTGCATGTGCTAAAAATACTGTTTTCCCAAATTGAATGTGAGCTGTTGATAACAACACAAACTCTCAACACTATTTCTCTGTCATAAACTAATCACCTCAGAGTTGATGTGTTACGGTCAGAAGTTTCTCATTTTCCGTATTTTACTACAACAGGCCTAAAACATCTTAATCAGACATATTAAATATCTTTTGTGAGCAAAAGTTGTGTATCTGGTTGCGAGACACAATGCTGAAGTTTTGCATTAGGAACTGAGTTCCTTGAAAGAGGGAGGCGCTTCATTGCCACAGTTTAGCTAGAAGAGTGCTGGGAAAAATAGCTTCAAGCACATAAATTGTTGGTATCTAGCGAGCTGGGAAAGAGACTGACGACAATTTCATGTGGCTCCATCTGAGCCGGTACCATAGAGATGTCTGCTAACTGATGGGATATATAGAATGTTTTGTGACTATGAGGTACGTGGCCCAGCAAGCTTTCTGCGTGTTTTACAGTACTCGTCCGTTTCTGGGCACAGCGCTGTGTTTTTTTTTCTTTTTATGATGGTCGCTGATATTCCCATATATCTAACTCTGTCATTTCTTTGATTTTGCAGTGAGTTTGATTCAGAATCCTTCAACTTGCAGTGGTTCTTAAGTGAATCTTGCAGATCTCCCATTGGCTCCAATAACCACACCAACATCACAGGCAATATCTGGGATAAGGACAAATGGGATTTAGATTCTCAAGAAAACAGAGAGAGGGTCATCCACATCTCCGTATTTTTAGGTCTCCTGCTCGTGGGCATCCTGGAGCTCCTTTTTGGGTTCAGCCAGATAGCCATCGGCTTCCTGGGCTGTCTGTGCGGGGTCTCTAAGCGGAGGGAACGGTACGTGTAGTTCCAAGCCAGTAAGATGGCAGGATAAGCAGCTGGAATCATGTGCGATTACATTTACAAGACTTTCTTTTAGAAGTTAGAAGTTCAATAATGGAACATTAACTAGAAAGCTTATTTTAGTGAGCCATTTTAGTCCAAAGAGCTGTTTTTAAGGCTACCTTGAAGGTGATTAAAAAAAAAAAATCCACTTCTCACATATAAAGCAAGTTGGCAGATGCACAACACTTTCATATGGCAAGGAAAAATCATCAGTGGTTGACTTTGGGGAGAAATGGAGAGAAATTTGTTTCCTATTTTTCTAGACTTCTCTACAATTTGAATTCTCTAACTCTGTATTCTTGCCTGGAGAGAGGAAAAAAACAAGAGGGGAACTGAAAACAAGAGGGCTAAAGTGGACAAGGAGTAAACGTTGTCCTGGAAGGGAAACCACGGGACCTTTTTACTGCATTTCTTTATACTTAACATATTAATAATAAATATATAAAATGAATGTAATCAAGTCTTATAGGAGATCCAGGGAGAGAGCAGACAAATCAAAAGGTGGGAGGGTAAACAGACAATAGTCCCCTGTATTCAATAAGAAAGTGGTAGATGAAAAATAAAGTGTGGGGTGGGTTGAGGGAACTCTTCTGGATGAAGACAACAAAGACCTGATTCAACTAAATGCATTATGTGGACCTTGTTGGGGATAATTGGGAAAACAGTACAAGAACTGGCTTACACAATTTAAGGAACTATTGTTAATATTCATCTGGGTCTGATAATGGTTTTACCTTTATGCAGGAAATGTCCTCATTTTTTAGAAATGCATATTTGTGTGTGTGGGGAGAAAAATGTCATGTTTTAAAAACACTTTAGCCAAAACAAGAATACAAAATGTTGTTGTATTTAAGTGATAAGTATATAGCAATTTATACTCTGCTTCTATATTTGCCTTTTTCACAATAGGGAAAAAAACAAGCCCCTCAAAAGCTGATTTCTACATATGGCAATCTTGTAAAGACAGGTTAACAGTGTATTTGACACATTAAAATGTAATAAAAAGAACACTTTGCTGAATGTTATTCCTGCATGTTAAATTTTTTTTTTGTTCACAGGTTTCAAGGTTCTATAAATAAATTCTAATACCTATGGTATAACTGCCCAAATAAATAAGTTGTAGGCCTTTTTTTCCTGAACCCATTTACTATATAGAAAGACCTTCCTGTGCCCCTATAAATACCTACTTATACTCAAGGTCTAGCCTAAGTGTCTCCTCCTCAAGGAAGCCCCCCTAGAGTGCGTGATTCCAATGAACTCAGCTGACACTCACCCAAGCCACTGTTATTGTACCTCTCACCATGTGACACGCAAGTTTTTGCACATCCACCACTAAAGGAGAATTTAAGAGACAGGGACCATGTTCTTTCATCCATTTTGTCAACAGCTCTTTTCCTGCTTTCGGTCTCAGCAGGCCTCTCCTCTACCCAGGCCCCACGACTCATCCACTTAACTCCTGGGCAAATACTCTTCCCTCTTCAGACTTCAGCACCCACCTCACTGAGAGAACCATGCCATGAAGAGCTAGCTTCCTTCACTCTCTCCTTTAGCTATCTTTCTTCACTTGTGACTTATTACAACAGCAACAGAACTTTGGAGTTTATTTCTTGAATCTCAACTATTCCCCGTAAGTCCAAAATCTCCAGGGTATTATTCACTCCTAGTACCCTCTGGGCCTAGCACAGTGCCTGATACAAAGCCAGGCCATTATCAATAATTGTTGAACGAATGAACACTACTGACTATCTGTAGTGCTCAGCTTTTAGGGGAGACTCAGTGCTTTTTAAATCAGTGTTAAACTGCTAAACCCATACAAATTAAAATGCAAGGAAAACAGACATGACAGCTCACCATGCTTGACTAAACAGCACATGCTCAGTGGTGGTGCCAGTGCTCTCTTGGCCTTGGAAATGGGTGAGAGAGGACCCCCCGCTCCCTACAGGGGCAGGAAGAGATGAGCAACTCGAGTCTCGGGTTTTGGAGGACAAGCAGCAGAGCGATCAGCTGCAATAGCTGATAAGTTATTTCCTGGCCACTTTAGCCCTTTGGAAACTGCTGTAAAGGATTAAATGCCTAATGTCTGTGGGTCACAGTGATTAGGAATCTAGGGGACACGCCACACCTAGTTTGGTACCTAAACTTACAAATGCATGTCTGTACATACACAATATGCACCTGGTCATTTACAAAGCTTATTATTTTTTTTTTCCTTTTTTATCCCTACCTCCTTCAGTCTCATTTTGGAATCTGTATACTTTTTCATTATTTTACTGTATTTACCTGAAACACTTCTCCCTATACTTCAACACGTATCTCAAACTCCACTTCCTCAAATTGTTTTTATAATCTTCTAATTCTTTAATAAATCTGTTCTCCTCCATTAACCATCAATTCCCTGGCAGCAGGGCTCACGGGAACGCTGCAGTGACCTCTTAGCAGACAGTGCTGTGCACAAGAGTCTCTATTTATTGACATGACAATAGAGTGTAAGTAAAAGAACATTTCTGGAAAATTAAATCTTCCTGAACTTGAGGTCCAGAACAACAGTCCAATTACAATGTCAGATGTAATTAAGCAGTTGCAAAACAGACATCCATGCAGGAAAGGAAACCTCTCTTGAAAATATACTTTCATAAAATTATCCCTCAAAGCACAAATAATTGGCAATGCTCCAACAAGTATTCCTAGAAGTAGGAAAAGAACAAAACAGTTTTGAAAGCAGCGACACAACATACCTGCTATACTTGGTTGCACAGCCTAGCACACCAGAGCAAGTGTGAGGCCAGTCACTGTATCACTGGCCCATTCTTTTCTCTCTCTGCTCCCTACACCAGGGATCTTTTCTTCATTTCTCTGCTTATTGACGGCTTATTTATATGTCAAGGTTTGACTCATATATCTCACTACAAAGTATTTCCTGACTCTCCTGACCAGGAGTGACTCTCTCAAGTCCTAAACCATTTTCTTAAAATGAAAAGCACCTTCTAGGGGAGGGAGCCGGTCTAACAACACTGTGGCTTTGGGGTTAAGAGACTCAAGCGCTTCTGTTTGCAGACCTGTGACAAGATGAATACAGGTGTGTCTGTGCTGTCCCCTTTCGGAAGGAGAGAGGGTCGCTCTGGGGTCCTAGCTTCTCCTTAGTCTGCTGTTGCAGCTAGCACCCACCCAACACATGGAATTAGATCTCCTGCCTCTGCACAGCCATTAAAGAAGCTTCAGATTTTCATTGTTTAGCAGAAATCAAAGGGGGAAAAATAGCTTTGTGCTTGTTCAGCTCCCGGAATTCCTTTTATTTCATTTTTTGCCTCCATGGGATCCTATTCATGTCTATCTGGCAAAAGAAATGCAAATTTTATCCATCATTTTTATTATTTTTTTTGCTTTCAATTTGGAAGCTCACAGAAATACTTTGTGATGATATAGAGCTAGGATATGTAAAGCTAGAAGAATATAACCACATCATTATTATACAAGTCAGAAGACTTTCATGGATTTAAAAAAACCCTATTATCACATTCATAATAAACTCTAGGAAATAGAGAAGAATCTTTCCTCCTAGGTTTTTTTTTTTTTAAGGATGGGGAAGAAGCAAGAACAGAAACAGAAAATCTACCTAAAATCCCCAACTGACTTTCTCAAAACTCAATGCCTTGGTGAAAGATTCTGAAAAACACTGCATCATTTCTGAACAAAAAAAAAAAAAAAAAAAAAAAGAAAGAAAGAAAAAAGGGGGTGGGAGAGCTTTGAGAAGTAAAAGCTCCCAGGACTTGGTCTCGTGATGTATTTAATTCTTACGAGACTTAGTGCATTAGCTAAATACCAGTGGAAAAACCAAACACAACTCAGGTTATATTCATCAGAATCACTTTATACCTACAACAAAATCAGAGAACCACCTCAACACGACCAGTACCTTCCACCACCAGGCTGAGGGCTTGGGAGGGTCACAGCCGGTCCGTGATCCCTGCCAAGTTATTAACTGCAGTGCTGCTACTTCTGAGATAGAAAACTCAGGTTCACGTAGTGTGATAAGATACAGAATATAGCTCACAGCAAAGTTTGATGAAATAAAATCTTTCAGTAGACAAATATTGCTTTGGTTGACAGTTTATTAAATGTACTACATTTGTACCTTCATCTGTAGTTTTTAAATCATTCACACATGGACTTAGTAAAAACGTACTTTATAGAAAACCATCTATCTGCAAAACTAAAATAAAAATAATGCACATTTTACACACATATTAGATCAACTGCTGAAAATGTCAGGAATTATTTGAATGGAGGTGATTTTTGAAATGAAGTGCTTTGATGAAATCTGACACCAGACCACACTTCAGAAGTATTCATGTTGATTGTGGATGCAAAAAAAAGTCTATTAACAAAGCTGTTTAATAGTGTTTGAGAAACAGGACAAAATGAAGTATTATTTTTCTTTTACAGATACTGATACTTTTCTAAATCAATTCTCTATGCACTTTCTCTTCCACTCAGAGAACTAGTTGTGCAGAATGATGAGGCAAAAAATTAATTTCTTTTTAAAAAAAAAAGAAACTAGAGCCTATTTACAAAACATGCAGAGGGAAAGTTTTAAGTAGGTGTTACTGCAGAACGGGTTAAAGGTGAATACAGCCGAGGGACAGAACATACCTCTACTGCTGCAAACATATGTCCTTCCCCCTCCTTTCTGGAAGAAATACATTTTCAGGGCATGGACTATAAAATGGCATACAATGCAAAGACAGAAACAAAGAAGTTTGCAAATTCTTTATATTTCCAGCTGTTGAGACAATGTTTTCGAGAGCTGAGGTTACCTCTAGCGACGAAACCAGAACCAGCTATTAAGCAGCCAGAATGCTACAGTAATTGAATACATGACCATTTCTCTTTTAGCACGTTCTTTGTTCTCCTCTTCTAGAAGTTGTAGACGTCTATTTAGTTTGATTATCTAAGTGAAAAGCAAAAACAAACAAACAAAAAAAACAGAAACTTCATCTCATGGAACAGCCAGTTTCTTATAAGACAGTACATTTTGTCAAAAGAATTAATATAAACATGTAAAGTTTCATTTGGAGCAAAATAAACAAAACCAAGTAAGGAAAAATGTTACCAATGTCACCCCTGACAGCCTAAGTTCATGTAAACACTCTCCTTCTCCCTTCTCCACATGTCTGAGTTAGCAAGGGTGTGTTTTCCCTCTTTCCTTGACTAGATAATTAGGTAAGGAAGCTGCTGCAGATGGCTGTTCTGGCAGAAAGACTGAGCACACACTCTGACAGGCTCACCAGGGCAGAGAGGATGAGGACTTCCTACCTTTTCCTAGGCCCTTTCTAGGAGCTTCCATTCCTCAGTCTTGGAGGTTCATCTTTAACCTGCTTTAAATCCCTCCTCCTGTTCACCAATCTGATTACTGAGGATGACATAAAACCAACTGCGACTCTCTACCTAAACCTTCTGGATGAAAGGCTAATCCCACTGAGAGGGCAGAACTGTCCTTGCTTGTGGGCTCCCTCTAGGGCCAATCTGGGGCTGAACAAGAGTCCTGACCACACTTACATTCCCTTCTGGGGGAAACATATACCCAACAACTGGCTAGTGATTAGGATGCCCGACCCTTTGCTCCAACTCTGAAAGCTCACCTCAGCTTCAGAGTTTATCAAAGGGGTTGGCCACCCACAGCCTTTGTTTTCGCTACAATGCCACCCAGGATTTCCCCCTTGAGTGCAGTCCCTTCTAAACCTTCTACAAACAATCTTCTTCCCAGAATCTGCCTTCCGAGAAATCTAACCTGCAGCAACTAGGTGAAAACGCTGTGAGTGCTACAAAGCATTATTGTCACTATATTGAAGAAGCTGAAGGATATAAATTTTCTTAATGCTGAGCCTTCAGCATTTCAAGGATTGAGAATTCCAAGCTGGGAGAGTAAATCCACTGACAAAACAGCAGCTGTAGAGATTATCATCAATCCGTTTTGGCAATACTGTATACACGCAACACAAGTAAAACATGTAAATGATAGTTTAACACATCCTTGATCAAAATGGGAAAATCAGTGGTAAATTGTTTGATAGATAAAATATTTCAACTCATGGGTTCCACAGCAGACAAAACGACAAAAAGTTAGGAACTATCAAATACATGAAAACAATGTAGAATCATATCCTCTTTGGCACATTTAATACCTGTCGTCTTAATGAAGCTGCATCTACAACAGTCATGTCATCTGAAGTTGTTTCAACTGTTGCATCTATGTTTGAAATGCCATACCTAGTGATAAGAAGTAAAAATATAATTTAATATTAGACTAGAAGTAAGAGCACCTGGTAAGCCATATAATGTGATATGACAAGCTCAAAGAATTGTTCCAAAGGCTGGTATTTAATTAGATGAATTACTAAAATATTTTATTCTCTGAATTGGTACTACTAAAGAGGAAGAAAGGAAAGAACTTAGGTAACAACTATCTACAATATTGGGAGTGTCAGGAAGCTTTGAAAACGAGAAGAAACGTTTAAAGACATAAAGACACTTTCAACTCAGAGGGACGGGCATTGCCATCTGCAAAGCCCTGGCTGCTGCACTCTAGGGACCAACAGTACTGAGCATCCGAAGACAAACGACACCCGTGTGCACTGCGGGGGCTGCTGAACTGGCTCTACCTAAACAATAAAGTGGGTTTACTTCTCCTCTTCTCATTGCCTCTTCCCTTCACTTCTTATTTCCGATTACTCTACTAGGTCTCCCCCAGAAACGACGATGTCACCTGGGTACATCTTGCCATTCTGATCCAGGATTGGCTCAACAGTAAATAACAAAGAGGCTATTTTTAAAATACTGGAATGCCACTAAGAATTAAGAACTCTAGAGAAAGCATAAATTAAAAAGCACCTCTTATTCAAATACAGTTATTTCTAAGGGACTCTTATTTTCAAAGGTAAGACAAAAAAGTTTTGAGAGACAAATACATACAAATGCTATTTTTCCTCTATTTTTTAAATTTATTTTATGTTTTCTTAAGATATAATTTACATACCATACAGCTCACCTCACACATTATATCCTCAATATTTTAATCCTTCATGGTTATCTCAGTAAAATGGCAATAGTAACTTTTCATAAATGGGCAGAATATAAATAAACTGAGTTGAAAAGTTACTCAGATGTAACCCACAGACAGTTGGCACATGGATCATGTATCTGAATATTTCAAGCAAGTCCTCCTACAAAAAGCATATTATCACATAAGGGGCGCATGACAAGTCCATCCAGACATGCTAAAGACATGTCTACTCAGAAACGCTGTTTCAAATGCTACTGGAAATATTCCAAAAATACTTTAATAAAGGATGTGAAACAGAATGTTTACTTCCTAATCATTCAGTGTTCACTCAGCCAGTGTCATGATTCTGAACTGATGATAACTGCACAGGTGGCCGTTTCAGCGACAGACGGCGTGAAGTCACTCTAGGTAATCTAGAGTAGACTCTAAATGTTCCTTCTAAATGTTAAATTAACTCGCTTTCTCATTTAACTGCCCCCTTTCTTCATGGGAAGAGATTAAATAGTCTCAAATACTGAGAGTAACTGCATTGCTTAGAAAAGTTTCTAAGTTAGTACATGCTAGAACTATGGGTACATAGACATCTGAGTAAACCTCTTGAATGTGAAGATGGAATTATTAAATGATTAGTGGGAAAAATAAGGTTGAAGATTCCTCTTCTTTACATTTATCCTCAAAATAAAACTCTATCTGAGTAAGAACTGGGGGGAAAAAAAGCCGCCAATGCTTCCAAGTTAAAGGGATGTGATTGAACGGAATGAAGTGTAACTGAAAGCAATTACAATGTAAGTCTTGACTTAGCTGAGGTTTCTAAGTAACTGTAAAGGAAATCTTCATTTGCAAAGAAATCTAAGGATATAGGAAAGGACTTTACCTATACACTTCAACTTAAAGCAGAAAAACACATTACCATGTGTTTTAAATTAAAATCTGAACTAAAAAACTGTAAAAATTGCTAAGCCAGATCACTGGCTGAAAACCCTTTAACAGGTAGATAAAAGGATCACAAGTATATGAGAATATACACGGGGAAAACTTACAGTGGACTCAATACACAAGTCAGCAGTGGGAAGGGACCGCCAAGGGCACACACTTCCATTTTCCTAACTGAACTGAGTATTCATGAGATACTCATGTTTCCCTCTTCTCCTGCCTAAAAGTGCATGTGCCAGCTTCCTCTCATCACACAATAATGCTGCCAGTTTTAAATCTACTGCTACAGATAATACACTGCTGCTTAAAATAAGATTCTGAAAAAATTAAAGCGATGGTCTCTGTGAGTCTCAACCAAGATTTTTTCCCCCAGGACATGGAATCGGGGATACTGGCACGTGAGGACCTTGGGCATTGGTCTGTGTGCCTGACAGGAAGAGACAATCATGCAGGCTAGGCATGCCGGACAGCGTGAAAAAGGGGCAAAAACCAAGGAAATCTTAAGTCACCAGAAGACGAAAGTTCCCTTTTCATTCTTCCTGGATTGTCCATGTCAATTTCCCCAATTTAAGATGATTCTTTGTAGACAGGAGTAGCTACACAATGAAAGGGATGTCTAGACAATTAACAATTAAAAAGGAAATGCTGGACAGAACCTCAGGCAACAATTAAGAGGAGGCACATAAAATTAGATTCAAGATCTTTTTTCCCCTGGGTTTTACCACAATCTCCCACAATCCACTGCAGCTGTACGTATCTCCATGTACACAAGACGGTAAGTCATGATTTTGAAGCATTTCCCCCACACCTGGTGGCCCGGGGTCAGGAGCGCTCAGATTCAACTGCAGTACAGCTGTGAGGTGAGAGCTGCGCAGAGAGGCAGGGCGACCACATGTGTCACTATAAATTCAGCCAACTACATACCCCGGTTATTACAAAAGTCTCAAAATTTACCTGACGTTGTCATGATGAGGATTAGAAGTGGCGGCAGCAGACCCACCCCGCAACACAGGTCTAAGGCAGGTTTTTGCGGAGAAGGCACAAGACAGAATCAGGAAACAAGAGAAGTAATAAAACAAAAGCAAAAACAAGACAAATAAGTGTCAAATAGGATTATATTGTATGTTTCAATACAATATAATTATCTTTCGATATTTTAAAATCTTTGTCTCACAAGCTTCCATTTTATGATTTTCATAAATTCAATATTTTGCAATGGGTTGAAAAGCTCAGGGAATCTGTATGCAACAAAGAAGCACCAACAGATAAAATAATTTTATTGGTGCTTATATTTTAAATTATGAAATTCAATTCTGAGGACAACTGTTTAAAAGTGTAATTTCTTCTAGTTGGAAAAAAATCACCATCCTTGGCCTTGGAAGCAGCCAGAGAACCAGTCAGTGGCACCTGCATGGTCGTGGTTGCGCATCTGCCATCAGCAACTCTCTCAGAAACGCCAAATTTGAAGGAAGCCCCCTTTCTCTCGATTCCTTCCCTCCCACCTCACTGATTTTGACTAGGGCCTGATATCTTCATGCAGCTATGTCTCTTTTAAACCCTCTGTCCCCAAGAGCAGACCCGCAAGCCTCAGTGCGGGGCTGAGGGGTCAGGGCACTGCTCTGAGGGCTGGGGGTGAACAGGCGTCTGATCTCGAGGGGCAACCAGGAGTCACATACAGGGCTGGTGGAAATGAAGACCAAGGTGTGCTGGAAAACTTTGTGGGGATCTTCACTTAGCTCAGTGCTAACTTTGGTTCTGGAGGACAATTAGTTCTCTACCCACGTAAGAGTGACCTTTCTGAATTTTAAGTTTTTAAATCAGAAAAGGAGCTCTATGTGGTCACTGGCTAATTCCCCCCAGAAGGGACCGGCAACACTAACCCGCCAGAGAGAGGATCCATATAGGATGGTAAGCATTACAATGTCTCATTCTTTAAGTACTGAGGTTTTGCTGGAATTTAAATATCAAGACAATTTTTGATCATAGTAAACATGTAATAGCAAAAGCACTGATTTTTCCTATAAGGTGGAACAGCTGTGTAATTTGGCTACAATACAAATGATTATTTTCTACTGATGAGGAAATTGTAACATTTAATTTGTACATTTCCTAAAAGCACTACTGGTGCTTAAAGAATATCCGGAGCTTAGAAGAGAAGAGATTCAGAGAATTTTAGGGGAGACGTGTCAGACCTCTAGTTTGTGGGCTAAAGAACAGTGACAAATGACATAACTCTCGAGACAGGCTTAAATACATCCCCTCCTAATAATGTATTTACTGTGGCATTGGGAAAACTGTTTCTGAACTACAATTTCACATTACACTGACATGAGAATAGCCAACTAAATGAAGCCACTGTTCTGGCTACCTACAGTTTAAAAAAACCCTCATACTAATATATGCTCAGATGGGCCTGCCGTATATAATATGTTCCACCACAGAGATTTCCCTTTAGTAATGCAGAGCCAGAAAATAATACAGTTACCTTTCCAAACGTATTTCATTTTGTCTTCTCACACTGGCAATTGACACATATAATATAAAAGTAAATTAGACAGGTATTTCGCAAAGTTAAAAACTTCAAGTACCACTTTCTACTGTAAGTATGATTTAATACATAAAAATCTTAAGTTTTATAATATATTTAGCAATTTTTTTTAAGTAAAGTGGCAAAAGGGAATGAGATCTAAGGCTCTACATGTTCCAATTTTAAATTGTATATTGACATTTTTGAATATGTATAGGGTCTGACTTAATGTTTGTTTAAAAAAACAAACAAACCAGAAACTTCTATAATAAACATTTTGAGTGGGGACAAGGAATGATACATATTTTTAAAAAGACAAATTTTACATTAACACTGTTCCAATTATAATTTCCAAGTCTAGGTCTTCCATCTAGATACTTGCAAAATTTTATTACACACTGGTTTCTGATTGTATTCTCTCAAAGCTAGTATAAGTCACTAAAGAAAAACATATAAAAATAATCAAGCCCCTTGTAAAAATAAAACTTAAGCATGCTACTAAGTATGACTAACCTGTCAATATTTAAACATGTTCTTACATAGAAACAATTTCTTTTTAAAATTTTGCCCTGGAGAGAGAGACACAGAGCTCTAGCAGCGGTCAGAAGACATGCCATGTCCTACCCAGAGAAGGACTAACTCATGATAGCATTTAAATCCAAAGGACACATTTGGTGCTTGTCCCAAGTATTTTGGTAAATTTTAGAGTTATCAGTTTTTCAAATGCACAGCACTGACCTGTGTGTAAATAAACTTCTCTAATGCATGCCTAGGAGTTTCTCTGTCTTCATGTTGAAGTTGGTTTTAGTTCATATAAGTCCTCATAAGATGAAAATACAGTACATTAAACCTTTCAAGACTGTCCCTGAAAGTGCAAACTAAAACTAGTTCTTCTGTCAAGCATCTGTGAATCTGCATTATCCTATAGTGAGGCAGGCAAAAGTTTTTTCTTTGTCATTTTTTCTAGCTTAATTTAAACAAACCTAATATGAAGGCCTAAGATGACAGAGAAGATATTTCATTAGCACAGCAGCCAATAGTAAAATAGAATGGAAAAAATGATGTACAGAGGAAGGAACATAAAAGCACTTAAAATTTTATAAGCGGTATTATTTTATAATCATGCAAGTAGAACATTATCCAAATTTCACATTCCTATTTCTTACATCTGAAAAGCAATGCTAGGCAGTTCTCGTAGTAGAAACAAAGACTGGGTACTTGAATTCTGGTTAAGTCTTGTTCAACATTTAGATTGCAAAATATTTAAATTTGATGAAAAATTAAAAAAAAAAAACAACCTTGCAATAATGAAAGCATAATGAGACGTTAGCCCTGCCATGCTCTAAGGTAACAACTAATGGTGTGTAATCTAGAACAAACAATTATTACATAACCATTTTGTGAATTTTTAAAACCATGTCTAAATGAATAAGATAACTCCCTCCTAGAAAAGGGATTTCTGAATTATCAATTCATTATACTAACAAAATAAAATGAAACTTCACTTAAGACACAAAGTTTTCATGATAAAACGTAAATTTTACAATAGTAATAATGTCTGGTTTAGTACTTTTGAACTTGAGGCAAAACTTTTTCCCATTATTGAGGGGAGAATCCAATTATTTTTACAAGTTTCATATCTCTGCACTTAACGATGTATGTGCTGGGAGGTGGGATGAATAATTTTAATGTATTGAGGCTTTATCTCTTAGCTATTATTTAATTTATAGGATTTATAAATATCTTGACATTCTTCACTGCATTTGATAAAATATAATTTGACTTAATAATCTGGTTTCTTCTAAGGAATTAATATAATTTAAAAGTTAGAGTATACCTGTTGAAGAATAAATCTATTTTGAGGAGGAATAAGCCTCTGAAATATTAAGTTTTAGGAGTGAGCACCAGCTGCTTCATAATCACTCTTTGGAAGGACTCCCATCACACTAATAATTTGAAACTATCACCCCTATATTATAAATAAAGGTGGGGAAGGAGAGAGTCCTTCACAAGAATTGAGGAAACTATAGATATTATCTCCCCTCCCCTTTTTTAACACAGATGAAGAAAATGAGGCTGAGCGCTAAGCAACTGTCCAAGGCCATCTCACAGCTAACTACTCAGTGGGCTGGATTCAGAATCGGACTGATCCCTGAATCCGTGCTTCTTCTTCTTTTGAACCACGCTGCTTCCTACTGGATATTATTCTTGAAGCTTCAAAGAGCATTAGGGGATTCTCATTCTTTGACTAGGGGAATTATAGAAAAAGTATCCCCCTGAGCTTTCTCTTTTGACCGCTCTCTCCGGTACAGCTTTAAGTCCTCAGTCCCAGAAACAAGCACGCTAGCATGGGCCTGCGAGTCTCAGAAACACAACGGTTTGCACAAGTGCTGGGAAGCAGGTGCAATGCCTGGGCCTTGTGTGCAGCTCACCAGCACTCAACAGGATGTGTGTGCAGAGCAACCACAGGTCTTACTCTTCCTAAGGTAAGAACAGGCTTACTGGAAGGGCCGATATCATTTTATGGGGAATTCTTTAAAATGCAAAAATTAATAGTTTATTAAAATGATCATGAAAATTCAAACAGTGATTCAGTCACTAAATGTTTGGAGTAGAAATGAAACTGACTGTACCTTTCCAATGCTGTGCCAAGCTCCCCATATATTTCAGCTTTTGAAAACACTGTAATAATGAAGCCAGGACCAAAAGTATGAATGGTAGCAGAGAAAGTTATTTGTAGGAACATGTCTAAGTATACTAGGAGTGATTTTACTTGGAGATGTCCAAATGGGAGGGAAAGTATGAATACTGAAAAATATCACTATCAAAAAACAACAGTACCTGGGATTCCCAATATAGGCCTAGAAATCCATAACTAAGAGATAAGAAAAAAAAATTTCCTGGCAGCTACACTGACAGCAACTTCTCAGATTTGCTTCATTAATACAATCACATCAGCATCATGACTGATTTGATCAAGACTCACTAAAGAAAATTAGTGTCAGTCCAATATCCCACTCCCAATCCAACAATATCCCGCAGCATATCCCAAAACAGAATCAAGTACTTAGAACAGATCAACAAAACTTTTGAAAAATTTATACCTCCTGTGTAACTGAATATTCTTCCTGACTGAAGAGAAGCTAACAGAATCTTGTGAAATGTGAATTTTGGACAATAATTTCAAATTAAAAGAAAGCAAAGCAAGCTGTTTTTAAATCATTGCATCTCAGAAAGAGACAAAAGGTGCAAACATAAAAAGAAGACACCACAGTCCACTAATAACGAGCCAAAATGTAAGCAATAAAGCTGCCAAGAGTCACTGAGGGCCAGTCACCTGCGATTTTCATCCAGCACATCCAAGATCTGCTGGTAAGCCCTACGAGTAGAAGACTGGATAAGCGACAAAATGCCACGAGCAGAGGAAAGATTAGCTCCATCTTCAGGTAACATATGGGGAGGACAGACCCGAACCTGCTGCGATGGTGTCACACTGTTTACACAGGCACAGCAAACGAAGAGAAAAACACTCACGTCAGATTCTTATAAAACTTCAGCTAAGCAGTTTCCCCAAACTTATATTTTAAGAGTTAGTTTTTTTCTTGCCCCCGTTTTCCACCCTTCATGTATCCCCTAAGTCAAACCAAAGAAGCGAATAAACTTTGTTTATAAAAACCATCTACAATGTAGCATCTGTACTCTGCAACCTTAAACATCAAAATAAACATACTCAGTATGAAATAACTTTGGAGGGAAGAGAATTATAGCAGTGAGTGTGTTTAACCCCGGGTTGTGGAGAAGCAGCATACTTTATTTAGTATCTATGTTGCAATTCAATAAACCAAACCTCTAGCAACACTGCACTGCAGCTTCCGGGTGATCAGAAGAGTAAGAGAATTCTGGAACACAGGCATCACAGTTTAAACACCTGACTTGAACCTGATTCCATGAAAATGCCACTTCGGATACTTCACAAAGACAATGAAGCAAGCTGAATTTTGATGAGTAGGGGAAGCAAGCTGAGTTTAGGAGAAGTAAATTTAAAGATGAATTAAAGTTTCAGAAAGTTGTAACAAAGGCATTTTGATTGCTTAATTATAATAAAGCATATGCACTCCAGTTAAATAACTAAAACATGAAAAATGACTTCCAATTCTGTGATTACAGTGAAAGGCAAGGACACTTCTCAAAATGCCAAGATGGCTGTTAAACAACCATTTCTAGGCCTCTCAGTGAATAATCTTAATTATTCTCCAAGACATGAGCTGAAATTCATAGTTCTTTGGCTCCACTTCCAGGGCTTCTTAAAAGCTGAATGCATTTAAATGAAGAATTTGACAGTTCTAATGCCACTCTTAAGACTGGTGTCAGGACTGCCAGAGAGGGGTTAAATGTTAAAGCATGACTGGTCTTGTGAGGTGTTTAAGAACTGAACTTGGCATCTGGTTAGTTACAGTGAGAGGTTTGTTACAGTAAGAGGAAGACTGCCGTCCGGGGATGCAGACTCAGCATTTTTTCAATGTCAGGGCAAAATACCTCAGACTAAACCTCAACCTTATGCACTATGTTCAAAATAAAAGCAGAGTGGAGGACAGTGAACAATTAAAGAGAGAAAAGCTTTTAGTTCAGCTTATATAATAATCTCTTCTACTGTAACTTAAATTATTTGTCTGGAAAAGCACAAGTTGAAGAACACTATACTTTGAAGACTGTTTTGAAAGGACAGTTATCATTTAATATTACTCCCAGAAAACTTCTCTGCAGTTTTGTGAGTAACTTTGACTATCTTGACAATCCAAAGAGTAAAATACAAAAAATATGAAGACTATGTGTTCCAAAGACTGTAAAAGATCTAAGCTGAATCTTGGCAATTGAGAAATTAATCTGTCAGAGTTGCTTCACCATAAGAATTAGGCTTAAAGGTTTCAAGAAAAACACACATTTTTAGATGCAGGCTCATGCAGGGTTACCCCACATGTCTCTCGAGGGATGAGGAATCTTCTGGAATATATACTAACAACTGACCCATGGCATTTGGCACACTCATTTGGTTCATACAGGAGAATAAACAAAGTAGTGTATCTGAAACACAGTCTCTGCACTAGCTTATACTCACTGAAGTTCTAGCTCTTTGTAAGAAACCAGACTGAATTCTTATTAGAAAAGGTGACACCAGATTCAGGGGGGAAAAAAATGGCCAGTTCTGCATCAACAAAAACAAATAATCCATCTTACACTCTTCTTGATAGATCTGCCAAGGTAGCTGGCCAGGTTTACTCAGGCAAGTTTTTAAAGACTAATCAGTACAATACCTATTAACATAATTAAAAGTTTTGTCTTCCCATTTTGAGGTTTTTATTGAACACTTCACATATTCTGTGTTAGATTAGCTATTCAAATATATTCAAGTTTAAAATTCTATAGAATTTTACTTTAGAGCAAAAAGTCAATAAACTGGACCCAAGTCATGGAAAAAACTTGATGAATTTTTGCCAATTAAAAATTGAAAGGAGGGCCTCCTTGGTGACGCAAGGGGTTAAAACACAACCTATGAAGCTGTCCACGGCCATTGTAGCATGGGTTCGATCCCTGGCCAGGGAGCTACCCACATGGCATGGCAGACCTCTCCTGTCCCGCCTGCTGCTCCCCTCAGTGGTGTATTTCAGTCCATCTGCCTGTTCTGTTTCCCCACTCTATCTCTGGTGGGTCCTCTCACCACCGCCCCCCACGCCTCTGACCTGTACCCCAGTTCTTGTTTGCATAAATAAATCTTTTTAAAAAATTGAAAGGAAAGAAGGGTTACTTCCTTTGAGAGAAATCATTTCATCAGAAGCAATAAGGAATTGTGTAAGTTCTAATAACACAAGTATCTTCTCTCCATATACAGGAAATCAAGAAGATACTTTTAGTCAAGCATAAACTAACTTCAGATTACCTGCAAAGAATTCTTAAGCTGGAATGTGCAGAAGGTTGGATTCTAAAACAGTCTCTAAGATCTCTTCCAATTCTAAGAGTCTATAAAGTTGGAGTATGGTATTAAATGGGGGAAAAATAACCCTGAATTGTAACTTCCTAAGAAAAAAATATTTATATGGAAAGATAAAAGGTGAATGAAATCTTTATCAATACTAGCAGGTACTCATTTCCTCAAAGACATTAAAAACACCTTTGGATTTCTGGTTGTTTGTCAAAAGAAAGACAGTTTCAAAGATTAAGAAGAAATACAGTTTTTCATTAATTTACATGGCAGTCCTCCATAAACAGCTAAAACATAATAGGATGTATTTTTTAAACTGAAGGCAAATTTTGGTAGCACATGTTGAGATTAAATGTCCTTGACTGTTAACATTTACTTCTTCCTAGAGATAAACTGAATGAAGTCATAGCATGACTCAAAGTGCTCTAATTAGAAGCAATAAATACTTTCAAGCAACTCTTTCTTTTTTAAAAACTGTAAGCAATTGTGCAAGTCTTTTTATAAAATAAACTTGAGAACAAGAGTAAGTCCCAGTTTAGTTTTCAGAGAGCTGCTTGCTGGACTGTCTTCCACTGCCACCGACTGGAGGCAAACAGCCTTACAGAGTGGAATTTCATCCCTGTCCACTCATTCTCTCAAGGTTTAGTGTTTATTTTTGTTTTGACAAGTGAACTAATATCAAAGTAAAAAAGTGACTATGTTACAATAGCACTAGATTATTTAAGCAAATGTTATAATATTAGTAATTTAAATAAAAATGCACTTTGATGATAAATTGATCCTAGTAATATTATAAAATAGCAACATCTCAACTGATTACTACATGAATGTTAAATTAGCAAACACAGAATTAAAATCTTAATGAAAATCTGTTTGGTATAACTGTGTCATTATCCACAGCCACTGTCAAATCCACAGCCAAGCAGCAGTTTCTCAGGGGTTTTCAATGGGACGTTTCTCAAACTGTGACGGTAACATCTTTGGTGAGGTCCCAGCCCCTTCCAAATACCAGTAAAGGTAACATTATGAAAAGGTGAGACAAATTTTCACTGAAAACCAATTTTATCATTTCTCCTGAAAATTTAAATAGAAAACTTTAATTTGTTGCCACTTCCTATGGGAATGTATCAGGTCCCAAAAGCCTAATAAGAGAACCAGAATAAAAGAAAAAACATGGGTTGTCAGAGTAGTTTTTTTTCTGCATTAGCTGTTGGATTCTTATATATCACATCCCATGAGAGGTCAGTCATTCCCACACCTTATTTTGCCACACTCCCAGAAAGAGTGGGCTTAATGATCTCAAAACATTTTTTCAAGGACAATTTAATCTATGGAATTAAAAAAAAAATCCTCAAATGACAAACCACAATTAGGCTCCAGTCTCCTTCAGGGTCAAAATAAAACAAGGCAAGACAGTGTGCTGAAATTTAAGCCACTGAACTTGACTTAAGTTGAATCTGTAGAGACTGCACCAACCAAAGCAAAATAAAGTGTGAAAGGATGCTTGGTCCTTATGGATAAATAATTGATTTTACTTTCACCACAGTCCCTAAAATAGACAACTTTCTTAGTAGACTATTTTTTTCCTTAACAAAGTGTATGACAGTTTGAGAAATCCTGAAACAGAGCTACTAAATAAGTCAAATGGTAAGAAGGTTAGGTTATTATACGCCAATTACCTGTTGAAATAGGTTAGTACAACACAAGCCTATAAAATTAAAGCAACTCCTACTTGTGAAAAGCAGAGCAGATAAAATCTTACGTGTACTCCGGTGCAGAAATCGATGCCTGGAACCTTGAAATTTTATTTCTTGGGGCAGCATCTGATCTGTGCCACCTTAAATAATAATTACGCTTCTTTTACATATTCAGCTTTTATTAATACAAATAAAAAGCTAGATAGATTCTACTGGTCAGAATGCATTTTTCTGTCAACAGCTGACAATAATTGATCCTATTATTTCTTGAAAGTAATTAAGAACACAAGGCCAGTGCTCCAACTCTTACGCCCACGTATGCTTCTATTCATAAAGCCAAGGAATAAAACAAAGTGAAGGGAGGCAAAGGTTCATGCACAATGACACATAATGGCACCTTACAAAGAAAAGGCCAAAGTACACTGTAATGTAGGTAAAATATACCTGTAATATAGCAATACTTTCTTCTTTACCACATTACCAACACTGAATACAAAATATGCTTATTACATAAAATACCTACGAGTTAGTTAAATATAAATTCCTAAAGATGAATTCATTTATAAGTTGTAAAATTAATAATGGTATGAGAAAAAAAGGCATGGTTATATTATTAACAAAAAGATGGTTAAGTATCTTACCAAGAAATAGTAACACAGGTAACTATCATAACAAAAAGTATCGTTTAATAAGGTAAGCAGTACCCTGTGAAAAAATATAGTTAAATATCCATGTTATTTTTACTACCAAAAAATTTACATGAGAAATCTTCAGTTTTATCAAACATGCAGAAAATGTCATTTAGGCAATTTAAATGGAAAAAAGCATTAGTAGGCACTGTTAATCTTTTCTGTTATGAGGAACTATGCTATTGGTACCTGCAAAGATAGCTACAAATTAGATATTTACTTATGTATTCATGAGAAAACAAAGCTGGTGCTATACTAAGATAGTCCTGTTTTAATTTCACTGATATAAAACTTCAAAGTAACTAAGGAACTATATAATAAGCCACATCTTTATGTAAGTGTATTAGAAACCTCTGTTGCTTTAAAAAGTTTGATTACAAGTAGAAAACATAGCCCACAGGTGCATGGTTAATTATTCTCAGAGATTACTGGTACCAAGATGCTACCATAGCCATAAACTGTGTATTCTTTTAACCATTTGGAAATATTCTAAAAAACTGGATTTCATGGGCTGCCTGACATCCCTGTCAAACAGGTACCTTCAGGGAAACACAATTATTAAAAAGAACTCACATTAATAACAGTTCATCTTTTCAGGTTAAGACTTCCGTGAAGCAGCTATATATTAATTTTAACTTACTATAGGATTCTCCAAGGAATCAAAGTATTATGGTTCATTGCACCTGCACTACAGAAGACTTTACCCCTCTATATTATATTTTTATATTCTTATATTCTTCAGTCCAGGTCCAAACTACAACTTGACATGGTTTAATATAAATGGCATACTGTATTCTACCCTATATTGTATGTAAATTTAAATGTTTTACTTTTATCTAGATTTGCAAACTCTTAGAGAACTGTATCACCTCGATTTTTTGGCAGTTCCCAGAATAGCTGATACGATGCCTGGTGTCCCATGTGTACATGAGAATTTAATGAAGAAGAAATATTAATTTACATAAACAATCTAAATTATTTATTTGAAAAACCACAATAACCAATGATTTTGATTTAAAATTCTGACAAGTTTTGAAAGGGATATTTTATTTGTAAAATAAATAAAAGGGATTATTTTATTAACAAAATAACAGAAAGCACTTTCCTGATGCAACACATCTAATAGTGGATTATTTTAAGATCAGGATAGAATATTACCTTATGTTAAAAAAAAGTGTAAACAAACAGTCCTTTAAATAACACACTTATATTTTTGGAAAATGAAAGGGATCTGATAATTCAATGACTTAGTAGATGACAGACCTGAAAAATAATCCTGGAGAGCAGAAAAATTTTCTACTTGCCTAGGCTACAATGGTTACTATGCTCATGGGAAACAGCACTGAAAAGGAAGTTACAACCTTAACACAAACCGAAAAACTTGAAAATAAAGAAATTTCCTTATCAAACATTTTCCTTTTCTTTTGTTTGGCATAAACATTTTTGAAGGTTGTACAGAAATGAGCACTTATGTTTATTAATTTTTCTTAAGAATACTTCATAGGAAATTCCCATGATAAGCAAATATACTATATAAAAAACTACCACAAACACAGAAGAGAAAAATGCTCCTGAAAAATTCTCACAACTAACAAAAACGGTTTTTAAATCTTAAGGCTATAAGAAATACTGCAAAAATGTAAAATGGATGTAAATATAAAACATTCTACACACTCAGAGGTTTATTTACAAAAAATGAACAGACAATAGATGGAGAAATCTATGGAAGGATATAAAATACTTGTGGCTCTACTCACATGGAATCAGTTCTGACCAGCTGTCCATTTTGGCGAACAGCATTTTCACTCATAGAGCGCTCTCTTTTTAGCCTGCCAACTGCACGGATCTGAGAGACACAAAAAGGGGAAGGAATAGAAAATATTCTTAGTAGGTAGTAGCTGCACAGCATTAAAAGAATCTTAATCCAAGGCTACTCACAAAATTTGTAAAGAGCATAAATTAGGACTGCTCTATTGTAGACAGATGTGGTTTTAAGCCCTACATATAATGCTGATAAACTTAGGAATGCTTATTTACTTTATGGAAAGATACTTCTGGTTTCTTTTTAAAGCATCAATCTCGCTTGACATAAATGTTGTTATTTTTGTTGCTGATAATTTATGTACCTAATGTTATTTAAGAACATTTTGAGTTTTTAAAGGCATATATGTTTTAGAAAATGGGATGTTTTGTATTACAAATAAATGTCCCTGGCTTCTGGGGTGCAACAAATTCAGATTTGGTTAGATTAGACTAAAAAAAGGTCTTACTAGCTTAAAGGTTTTGGCATTCCAGTAAGAGCCACACTCTCCCCTCCCATATGATCTTCTTATAAAAATTTCTTTGATCTCTTTCCATTAAGGGATGGGATTGCTGTTCCCTTCCCTGGAAATTGAACAGGCTGGTGATGACAACAGAATGATGTAATGTGACTTCGGAGACTATGTCATAAACAGCAAGGCTTCTGCCTCTTTTTCCCAGGATGTTCTTGGCTGAACTTCAACATGAGGATCCCAAAAAGCCACATGGAAAGGCCAAGGGCAGGTCCCAAACAACAGGTAGTGCCATCTTAATGTGAGTGAGTAAGCATTCCGGTGGCTGTAACCTTAAACTGTCGCATCACCCCTTGTCTTTGAGACATCATGGATGTCGCAGAAATAAGCTTTCCCCAGTATGCCTGCTACAAATTCTTAATCCACAGAATCCATGAGCAAAATAAGTAATTTCTGTGTGTATGTATAAGTGTAGGGTGATCTATTACACGGCAACAGATTAGGAGAATGGGAATCATTACCTCTCCTCATTTAGAATTTTTTTTTTTTTTACCAGAAAGTCATGGCAACTTCATAGTTAAAAAAAAAAAAAAATTAAACCTTAAAGGATAACTGGTAGGTGAAGTAACAGACTCAAAACTTCAAATTCTCAAAAGTGCAAGTCAGTGTTTATTGATATAAACTTGGGGGCAGGGTGTCAGGTATATTATAAGCACCATCACATCAAAATAAATCTTACATTTCACACCAAAAAACTGAAAACCAGACCACGCAGCACCTAATTTCAGAGCATGGTTTAGATTTGGTTATGTTGTAAATCATTTACCCATCTAAACTAAAGAAAAAAAGTAACTTCTGAAAACAGAAAAGGAGTAAGTTTGAAGCCTACTACAAGAGCTCTTTCCAGCTAAATCAACAAATTATTTCACAGTAATTACATGTAAAACAACACTTCCATAGTCAAGTATTTCCCCACAGCGAGTAGGGCTGGGCTGGTAAGTGAGAAAGCACCCATACTTGCCTTCCTACCTACTGTGCAGCTGTGCATGCTATCCCTAGAGAACAGCTCTTCCATGCTGTAGGCATTAATATGGATTCTTTCCTAAACCAGAACCATTCCTGTTGCTCTATGCTGAAAACTAAGATAAAGCAGGATAGGAAGTGACAGGAGAAGACACATCTGTCTATGACATCAACACAGTCTGACAAACGAAAGGATCCAGTCTAGTGTTATGATCACCATTTGAAACCTGACTTAAAAGATATCTTTTATTTTTTTAAGATTTATTTATTTATACAAGAACTGGGGGAGGGTGAGAGGGGTCACCAGAGACAGAGTGGGGAACAGAACAGGCAGACTGAATGAAAGACACTGCTGAGGGGAACAATGGGCGAGATAGGAGATGTCTGCCACGCCATGTGGGTATCTCCCTGGCCGGGCTGGGAATCAAACCCACGTTGCAGAGGCTGCGGACAGTTTCACAGTGCTGCGGTCAACCTGCTGCGCCACTGGGGAGGCCCAAAAGATATCTTAAGAAGAACATTAAGCTTGATATTATTCTCATATGGGAGCGGGGGGAGGGGGGCCGTACTTAAGACAAAAGCATATATTGTTATGCCTTCCAACATGACCACTTGTATATTATCACGCCACAGAATTCAGTCACTGGGGTGAGAAGGAACACAGTGACTTTTTAAATATGGTCACCCTTTAGTTTACAGTGGTAGTGGTGTTTTCCTTTTGATTTCAGGTTTTTCATTTATTTTTCAAATTAATTTTTTTCCAGCTTTACTGAAATCTAATTGACAAGTCAAGATTTGTAAATGTGCTTCAGAAACATCCTGCACTGATTATCTATTAAAACATAAGCATAAAAGGGGTCGCCCTGGTGGCACAGCAGGCTGAGCACAGCGTTGTGAAGCTGTCTGCAGCCTCTGTAGTGTGGGTTTGATCCCTGGCTGGCCAGGGAGATACCCGCACAATGCAACAGACCTCTCCTGCCTCGCCCGCTGCTCCCCTCAGCAGTGTATTTCAGTCAGTCTGCCGGTTCTGTTCCCCGCTCTGTCTCTGGTAAATCCTCTCACCCTCCCATGCCTCTGGCCTGTACCAGAGCTCTTGTATAAATAAATAAATCTTTAAAAAAAAAAAACAACAAAACATAAGCATAAAAATTTCTATTCACTCTGAGGTTGAGAAACAGAGTCTCATAATTTTGGGAAACTTTGTGGATGTTATTTGGCCGCAGAGTCATCTGTGTCTGTTAAAAGGCATAAAACTCCCCTCTGATGGGCTTATGCTCTGACCTACACTGACTGTTCATAGGATCCTGGACAAGTCAATGCCCCCCAGGCCATTGTTTACTGGTTCTATCAACTGATCCTTGAATAATGAGGGTCTTAAGAGTGCAGGCCCCTCACTCTACCCAGCACAGTCAAAATTGTGCATATAAACTTTTAACTCCCTCCTAGAACTTTACTAATAGCCTACTTTTGACTGGAAGCCTTACCAATGACATAAACACTCCATTAGCAAATATTCCGCATGTTACATATATTTCATAATGTATTGATGCCAATAAAGCCAAGGGGGGAAATGTTATTAAAGCAATCATAAGAAAAAGCAAATATATATATTCATAATACCCTAAGTTTACAGGAAAATCCATGTATAAGTGCACCCTCACAGTTCAAAATGGTGGTATTCAAGGATTAACAGTATTTAGAGTTTATCTCCTCCAAGAATCTTGCTCAGTTAGCCTGGCATTTTTCCCTTATACAAATCTAAAATGCTGTTTTAAATAATAGTTCAGAGGTGTGAATTTTTGAATTTTTTAATTGAATGGAGTTACAGTAAGGAAACAAGGAACGCATGTCAGTAGTGAAGAGAGCACACCAGTGTCGAGAGGGCCATGTAGCAGACACTGCCCAAAGAAAGTGAGTGCACAGCTCTGCATCTTCCATGGTGGATTCGCAAGTACACGACCGAGTTCTCTTTCCCCAGTTCTCTCCCTTTCGCTCCACTCTGTTCATTGCAGTTCCACTGCTCTTTCCACAGATGAGGGGAAAGGAACAAAAGAAACCATAATCAACTTGTGACCAGATCCCCATTCATCAACTTGTTGATTTCTGAGCCACTGCAGAGCCTTTTCAAGTATCCATGGAGTCCTAGGAATTCTGCATTTGTTAGGATGTGTCATACGGTTGGGTCACTCATTACCCCTCAGGTCAAATACTTTTTTTACTTTACATTCACAAGGTCGTCATATCAGCTGAACTAGACCATCATATGACACTAATAAATAGGCGCTGGATTAGGCATCCAGAGCTTCCAGTTAGACAACATGACTTTTGTGTCATCCCTCTTGAAAGTTTTTAAGGCAGCTGCTTTTCAAGTGTGATCCTTGATGAGTCTTTGTTCTAGCTGGGCCTAGAGCTAGTCCTTGAGCTCCAGATGTACATCGCATGTAGAAGGTGACATCCTGTGAAAGCCTTGATGGCTTGAGAGAGATTTGCAGGGCCAGAACCAAGCTCCCTTTCTGAAAACATTGTTTGCCTTTGTTCTTCTCTTCCCAACCCAGGTGAAGACAAACACGGACCCACAGATCTTCTCCGTCAACAATTCTTGGGTACATCTGGGGTCCAGAGCTTTTCCAAAGATTTATCACAGCAAAGGAACGGCATTCGTACACTACTCCTCTTTGAAGCAGGAGTTGGGACTGAGGTAAAAGTTCTCACAAGCTGTCTTTAGTCCAATCTGTTTTAGACACTTCGATAATCTCACAAAGCTCTTGGCTTCTATTGAAGTGGATCATTGTAAAGAATACTGCTGCTTCCTTGATAGGATGTTGGTGGAGTTCAAATCTTTGACTGGGGCACACTGCATCAAGACTGTAAAATCTTTTCATTGACATTAGTTTTCAACTCTTTTTCTAGAAGATCTTTTTTCATTGGCTTCAGTTTGGACCCCTTTTGAAGAGGGGAGAGTGAGTGTTCAGCCTCTTCCTTCTAATTTACTATATATATATATATATATATATATATATATTTTTTTTTTTTTTTTTGTGGGACCCTCGCCATTGGCCAGGGAACGAACCGGTGCTGCAGAGGCTGCGGGCAGCCTAGCAGCCCAGCGCTCAACCGCTGCGCCACCAGGGGAGGCCCTAATTTACTATATTGTAAAGACACCGAGAATTGTCATGATTCAGCACTCCGCAATTTCATGCCAGATTAGATGGTTTATTGCTCAGTCGCTATTACTTTCCTATCAAAGGTCGTGTTTTGACCTGGTATTGCTTTTCAAATATTGGTAGGGATGTGCCACATTGAAAAAGTTCATCAATTTTTTCTCTACCAGCCAAGTCTCCACATTTTGTAAATTTTCTTTGAGCAAGGGAATTATCTTCATCTTTTTAAGCCCTCCTCATAGATTCCCTTAAATTCTTCAAGCCAGTTTAAAAATTCAAGTGCAGTTTGCTCTCTGTAAATGTATTCCTTGCATCACTGGGCTTTTAGGTAATTTTATACCTTCTCCACGAGGCTTCTGAGAGTCTCCTTTGTTGCGACAGGCGAGTGGTTGTCAACTGGAGGTGATTTTTGCCTTTCAAGGGGATATCTGGCAATGGCTCGAGATAATTCTTTTTTCTTTTTATTGCGGTAAAACACAAAATAACATAAAATTCACCCTTGTCAAGTATGCGACTTAGTGGTATCTGGTGTATTCATAATGCTGTGCAACCATCACTATACCTAGTTACAGCACATTTTTATCCCTCTACATTTATTAGGCAGTTATTCCCAATCCCACTTTCCCTCAGCCCCCTGGCAATCTCTCATCTGCTTACTGTATCTATAAATTCGTCTCTTTTGGATATTTCAGGCCAGTAGAATCATATAATAAATGGCATTTTCTGTCTGGCTTCTTTGACTTTGTATGTTTTCAAGGCTCACCCATGTTATAGCACATATCAGCACTTCATTCCCTATCACATATGAATAATAGCCCACTATAAGGATAAACCTTTGCTTATCTATTTGTCATTAAATGAACAGTTGGCTGCTTCCACCTTTTGCTGATTAGAGACTTTTATGATTCTCATGAGTTGGTGGCTACTACTGGCATCTAGTAGAGAATAAGCATGCTGCAATACAATACAACCTTCTAAATTACAAAAGGATAACTCTAACCACAACAGAGAATTATCCAGTCCAAAATGTCAATAGTGCTGAGAAAAAGGAACCCTGGCACGTGCTGTCCAACAACTGTGACAGAGCCAAGGACTCGGGAGCTCTCACTTGAATAGCATCTGAACGAATCAATGTTCTCAGCATTAAGCTTCATTACCCTTATAGCTCGATCCATTTTCTAGAAGATACTAGAACTCTGGTTCCTTCCCTTCTTTCTCATGCTCGCTGGTTGAACCCATCCGACCCTCCTCTGGATATGAAGTACAGATCATCACCTCAGCTTTCCTTCAGTGGGAAACTGGGATTCATCTCAGGAACTCTCCTCTTATATCTCAGGACTGGGTTCCTGACACACGATTTTGACTCTTTCATAACAATAATATTTATACATATTGAGTTTTTATCATGAATTAGTACATTATATACATCATTACACTTAATTCTCATAAATAGTTATATATTTAGCATTATTCCTATCTTCATCTTAGAAATAAGCCTTGGACTTGTTAAAAAAAACTTGCCCAAAGTTATGTGGTTCATAAGCTGAAAAGCAGACTTCAAAATTATGTATAATTCTCAGCCTGTTATTCACCCCAGTGCTATATACACTTTGGGCATTTATCACATTTGGCAAGTGTCCCAATTACCCTAGCAGTAAGCCCCAGATAGGCTTAAAACCTATATAAAGTTGAGGGCAATCCTGGTACACATTTCTTCTTCACTTATTGTAAAGGAATCACTCTGGAAAGTGCTTGGCTTATTTTCAATCAGTTACTCACACTGGGTAAGCATAGGCCTCTAAAATTATTAGTGGGAACAGAAAGATAAAAAGAAAACAAATCCAAAGAATATCAAAGAGAGGTTTTCCCTCCTGGCAGAATCCTCATTGCAAGATGGTATTATTCACAACTGCTGCTGGGAACTTAGGGGAGTTGGGAAGCTGGGTTTTTAAGGAGGAGTGAGCTGTGATGTCTTGTCTGTGTAACAACCTTCGTAACCTCTGTTACTCTTTGTTATGAGAGAACTCTGTGTCTTCTGTGTGTGGTGTCTTTCCCTCCCCTCATTCCATTGTCCTTCTGTGACTAGGCAGAGAAAACTTTTTCAGAGTAGAACTATGTCTCTTTGTTCTTGTATGCCACACGATGTCTTACACAAAAGCTCAAAAATTTTTGCATAAATATGATGCTGCAAGAGAATAGGCAGGTTTGCAGGGTTTGGGCTGCCCCTCTCCCTGCCCTGTAACACAAGCATCTCAGTTCCTATTAGCCATGTGAGCACTGAAATACAATGGCTTCTACCGAGCAAATGCCTAGAATGTCTAAATTGGAACCCATGAGCATATTACCTTATTACCTCAGCAGAAACTTCTAATCTAAAGACCATACCTCAGGTGCCTTCCCTTACCACCTAGATGTGTGATATAGGCTGTCCTTTGAAATGTGCATTCCAGAAGCTGCTCCAAGGATACCACCTTCCTTGAGAAAGGTGTTATAATGTGTAATGTGTTGCTGATGCAATCTGGACCACATGTGATTAAACACAGGTAAAGCCTCTATGAAAAGTTCAGAGATCCAGTGGGGGGCAGTGCAGAGATCTACTCTTTTGGCAGCAGTCCAAGATAAGCCTTATAAATTCCCCGGCTCATTTAAATGGTGACCTACCCATTTGGAATAGTCTGCCTTTTTCCTAGGGCTCTCTTGCCCTCTGTGAATATGGGGGACCACTTTCTGATTATACCTGGGATGTTCCTGCAGTACTAGGTAACTGTAATCTCTTAGCTATATGGATGCTTAACACTCTTTGGAAAAGATTACACGAAAAATGAATCTGGATATAAGCAGTTACATCTCCAATAAAAACATCTGTTTGCACACTGCTATCTTATACTCACCTCAGGGCAACACACTATTTGTTCCAGAAGCTATAATGACAAAGGTGAAACTACAGAGACATTCACACATACACCAAAAAAAACCTCACACGCCCTGCCCTGAATCAATGGCTATCACATTTAGGAACTAAGTCAATTGAAACTTTCTAGTGCAGAGAATACGTAATGTCAAAGGGAACAGAGCTTTCTTTGCCCTATTTGCCAGACTGCTTTTATAACTGATGCACTGATTTTCTCCCATGTTAACCACCCCAAGCCCTGTGCTGCTTAAGATTTAACTCCTAGAAGTTCTTCATTTCAGATCACTTAAGTGTTAATGCTTTCTTCAAAAATTCCATTTGCTTGAAACATAATATTTAAATTAAAAAATGGCATCAAAATCTCACTTGGAGAACCTGAAACTCAGAATTTTAGTAGTCAGGGTTCCACGCAGGTCTCATGACACACTGTTAATGACATGATGCACAGCCTCGTAACCTCTAGACTTTTGCTCTCACGCATTATTATTTCAAAGTCTGTTGATATTAAAGTCTACTTACTTCTTCATTTTGAGGGGTTGGAGGAGGTCTTTCTAAATCCAGAAAATCTAGTGGTCTTTCACTCAGTGTAAGTACACGAGGTGGTGTTTTTAGTGCCAGGGGCTTAAAGGGGGTTGACTGAATAAGGTCAAGATCTGCTGGTCTTGAAAATGGAATGTCTTCATTATTTCCTGGGAGTAAAAAATAAAGAGGAGGAACATTTTTAAAAAGTCATTTTTTATTAAACGTATTTACCATAGGCTCACTAGAATAGCTAAATTTAAAATCCTGACAATACAAAGTATTGACAAGGATGTAAGCAATTGAATCTCCCTTATGTCACTGAGGACCACAGGAAAAGGGACAAGTTTCTCCCGTTATCTGGAAGCAGAGTGTTGCTATGAAACCATTCCTAAGCAAAAATGGTGTAAAGTAAAGAAGCAGTTACCATTTACGTAGAAAAATTGTTTAGCACTCCCAGACCCCAAAAATAACCTACCAGATGATGCCAAGTAATACATAAAAACCTAAAATAACACATAGTAAAAGCGGGGATGATATGATAAATATACATCCTGGGGGTATAAGAAGGTCCTGGAGATGAAGGTAGGCAGTGCGACTCGTGCTACTTGATGTGACCTGCCTCTGTAATGTGCGCTGCACAACAAACGTGAAGTGCTATTTTCACCTTTCACCTTTTGTTGTAAAGCGAAAATCCTCTTTGGGTTACTTTGTTAGTGAAAACAAGTACAATTAGTCGTCAATCCCCTGGCTAGGTTCTTGGAAACTGCAACCTTAAACAAAAATGATGTATGACTGAAGCAGGTCCTTGAAACAACATTGACCGGGATTCTTTTTCTTATCTTTGATTCTTATCAAAGCCAAAAGGTGTAACATGAACTTCTGAAATGTGGGAAATACCTATACAACCTATTTTGAAAAAAGTCTGGCAGCTTTTCATAGTTAAATATAACTTGTAATATGTGCTGTCAATTCCACTCCTAGAGATATGAAAACATGTTCTCACAAAGACCTGTACATGAATATTCACAGCACCCAAAGAGGTAGTAACTCAAATATTCATTAACAGCTGAGTGGATAAGGAAACTGTGGTGTACCCACACAGAGGAAGAGTAATCAACAAAAACATGGAATGAACGACTGACAAAGCAACAACATGGAAGGCTCTTAAAAACATTAACACTAAGCAAAAGAAGTCATAGCAAGAGTATCTACTGCGTCACTCCATTTTTTATGAAACCCTAGAAAAGATGTATCTAACTTTTGGTTACAAAAAAGAAATTACAGGCCTCCCTGTTGGCACAGCTGGTTGAGCACAGTGCTGTGAAGCTGTCCTCAGCCTCTGCAGCACGGATTCGATTCCAGCCAGCCGGGGAGATACCCACATGGCACGGCAGACCTCTCCTGTCTTACCCGCTGCTCCCCTCAGCAGTGTCTTTCAGTCAGTCTGCCTGTTCTGTTTTCTGTTCCCCACTATGTCTCTGGTGGATCCTATCACCCTCCCACACATCTGGCCTGTACCCCGGTTCTTGCATGGATGAATAAATACACCTTAAAAAAAAAAAAGATTAAAAAAAAAAAAACGAAATTACAGCTGCCTGGAATTGAGGGATAAAAACTGACTGAGAAGGGGCACAGGGAACATCTCAGGGTAATGACAATGCTCTATCACTGGATTGTGGTGGTGTATGTATGTACTATACACTTAAAAACGTCTACATTTATGTCTGTAAATTATACCTTAATAATTAGTTGAATTATTAAGAAATATTGTTTGCAATTTGATTACTGCAATAGAAATTTTGAAAAAAAATATAAAATTGCAATTCCCAGACTCATTTGTAAATAATACTTTGAAAGGGTCAAAGGTTTTCATAGTAATATATGAGACACAGAATGATCAGGTAACTTAATAAACAAATGTAAAATACCTGCAACAACAATCCTCTCTGGAACCTGCATGATCACACTAGCATTTGGAACTCCTTCTTGGAATCCTTGTTCCAGGTCAGCATTTGGTGGTGCAACCTTTAGTTTTTCCGGCACCCTCATTCGCTGACTAATACCTTCAGTGTATTCCATTTCATATTGAATTCGACTAATTTCTGCCATCTCAGCAGCAGTGGGAGAAGGAAAAGCTGCCCCACTCACTCTGTGGGCAAAAAATTTAAAGACAGGAATGACTTGAGTGTTAAAATGTTGAGTCTTTTCTATACCCTGAAATAGAAAACAATACCTTATAAAGAGCAAAAGAAGACTTGCCATTTGTGAGTACTGCACACACACAAAGGAAAAAGAAAACATTGAAAAAATTTGTTGATATTGCACCTTGAGGATATTGCTTAGGAGCAAATTATTTTTTAATTATTGTATAATCACAGCATAAATATGTACACACACACACTTTTTCTCTTTATCTCTGCACAAATAGATACGCATGCTGTGTATAACTCAAAAAAGCCTGAAATAAAGTATAAATTAAAATTTCCTGATCAATTATTTAAGGGGAAGCCGCTAGCTTATAAAAATGAAATTAGAAGTTTTCATCATGCATAAAAAAGTAAAATCCTTTAATGATGAAAATCAGACTCATAAGGTAATAGGTTAATTCTAAATTCACTAAAAAAAGATGCAACCCCCTGAAAATCATAAAATACAAACTAAAACTTCTCTTACTGAATATGTATCTGATGATTGAAAGGCAGAAAACATCAAAAATAGAATGTGCATCAATAAATCTGTAATGTATCCATTCATTTTGAAGGATTTCAAGTTTCACATTAATAATTTTTATTCAGTATCATTATCTACATGTATAATTTTAAAAAGCATAACATGCCTTTAAAAGGAAAGATAGTACAAACGCACTGAGCGGTCTTGTAAATTAGAGAAGGATCCATGCGCTCAGGGAAATGCAGTAAAAATAATGTTGCCCCAAAGTAAAAAGTGCTGACAAAAGTGTAAAAGACCATGGCCAGCCTATGGCAATCAGCCCTAAAGCCACTTTTTCTCAAGCTTATAGTACCAGCTTGACTGAATAAGAAGTCACTGACCTTCCTACTGGTGTGTCACTGCTTTTTCTTTTACTCATTTTTAATACAGTAAATACACGTCTACAACAGCTATTAAAATACTGCTACCCTGTTGTTCAGTTTACTTTACACAATTCCCCTACAGATCTGAACTTTTTGGAGGTGTACATAACAACACGGACACTGCTTTTCCAGCTGTAAAAAAGAAAGAATAAAAATCAGTATTGCAACAATTCAGTTCATAAGAAAACTATGTCCAAAAGTTAAGTATCTACTTAAAATTTACTTCTGGATTTCAACAAGGCTTGGGGCCTGATCTGAGAAACCAATTTCCAAATCTCAAACAGTTTTACTCTATGCCTCAAAAGAAATCACAAAGACAGCTATAAGCCACTCATTGCTTTATGATTTTGTAAACATGATTTAAAAAAAAACAAACCACCAAATATACATATAAATGTGGAGTAGGGTAAAAATATTTTGCCATGAAACTCCTCTAATCATTACATGCTGAAGGGGAATATTGTTAAGACTATAGGTAGAAATAAATAAACTATGAAGATGATAATACAAAGGGCAGAAGTAAATGTTTGAGGTGGTCCAAAGTCTGATGTATATATAATATAATGGGTTCTTTAAAAGGAATTAACTTCAAAAATCAAATTACATTAAATTTTTGGCAAGAATTACTACATATAAGTCACGGGCAGTAAAAAATTAACCACAGCACATGTAAGTTACAGCTGGTTTAGCCACATGTGGGAGACACCTTACACCTCTACCCGCCTCAGAGACGCTCAGGAAAAGGCTTAGAGCTTGCTAATCCCTGACATCTGGTTAATTATGACAGTGAACTTGTTTCTTCTATTCTTCACCAAAATGTGTCAATTTTAAGGATCTGGCATGCAGATGACTTAAAAGATTAATAACATACAGGCAAAAAGAGAAATTTTTACTTACAAATGTGTTCCAAGTACTGCTTACAATTTGGCACTATCTGCTTCTGTGCTTCATATTAAATCCTTTCGTGCTTCAATGTGTGTTTGGTGGATTTAGAGCCGCTTTTGTCCCTAGCAGAGAAAAACTGGAGTTAATTGAGAAACTGGATGATAACAACCTAAGGGACTCAGTGTTGGAAATCCTCCAAATAATAAAAGTCATCAAATATGCATAATCATCCATTAAGAAACCAGTGAAATACAGAAAAAATAATTTCAGTCCCACAGATAGGGCCCTACAATCATTTATTAGGTAACATTAATGTGGCAGATGAAAAATGTTTAAAAGAATACTGTTTATATTATGAAGTAACAAATATTGGCTACATTTTCATTCAGTTATTTTCTTCTGTATTTAATTTAAACCAGTAATGTATGCACATGGTATAAAGTACACAAGATAATAAGGGCACACCCAATGTATGCACAACCACAACCACCACCATGCTGGTGCCATGGCAACATCTACTCTCACTTTTGGGCCGCACTCTACATGAAATAGTCTGCATATACTTGGATCTGAAGCACAGCAAAAGCTTATACTCAGAAATAACCCTGAAAAGAAATAATGCAAAGGATTATAGCTTTGGAACATTGTATGTTGAAGTTGTGTAATAAAGGGATGCAAATTACTATTCTCCACACTCCATCTTCTGCATTTCAGTCTTACAACTTGTACATTTTGTGAATCGCAACATTACATCTACAGTAACATCTTGTATTCCGAGAATCCCTTAGTTTGAAAGTATCAGAAATAGAATGGTAAAATGGACAGTGAAAAGATAAAAACTGGAAAAAGCCAAACTCTCATGCAGTTAACCTGAGCCACTTACATTACAGTAAATGAAACATTTCTACTGGATAGAATTCTGTATTCTCAGTTACTGGGTTTTCTGTTTAAAACAGACGAACACAGAGAAATGAAATCCTCCCCCCATTAAATTATGGCATTTTTGATCTTTTGGCAATAAATAAACTTTTCATTTGGAGTTGTTAATCCCAGTTTTGTCACTGAGAATTCAACTAGCAAGCAGTAAATAAATATCTTATGACATAAGGAAACAAAACCCTCAGAATTTTAAATGTTAGAGCTCTACTTTCTAGACCAAGTGGTTCCCAAACATCAGTATTTATCTTATCAACTCCATATTTGTTTGTTTACCATATTTACACAGTACAATTATCCTGATCCTGGCTATACTTAATCATCTAACCCAACTTTTAAAAATCTTTAAATGTATTTTAAGAGAAAATTTTATATCACTACCTTAAGCCATGACTTCACTGTACATATATAAATACACCTAACAAAAATATAACTATCACCAAAACTCCTATCCCCATACCACTTAAAGGTCAACTCACATAACCACTCATGGTGGTCTAGTCTGGGGACACAACGGATCAAGCCTGGGTTCTCATTTTCTGTATCAGAACACTGGGGCTGAAAAAACAGCCTAGGAGGTCACAAAAGCAACTTGGTTCAAATTGACTGTGGTTGTAAAAATTGATACAATTCTCCAATTACAAAAATATGAAACATCTGGTCCTTTATCACTAATTGCGTGGATCTTGTTCAAGGTTTTTATATAGGTCACCCTGCTTCAGTTCTTACCAAGCAACTAAATGAACATGCACATTAGAAAAAGAGAGTGTGGCAATGCAAGATAAATTATAATTTTTAAAATCATTGACAACTTGGAAAATTAAATTAAGGTGTTATGAACCCACAGAAAACAAGTGTCAACAGCAAGAGGGAGGAGAGCAACAGCTAAACTTTTGTCACCCTAAAAGGAGGCAGCCCTAACGGACAGGAAGGGATAGAACACACAATTTCCTCTGGAGAGAACAGCCCAATCAAGGCAGAAGCGTTTGAAAACCGAGAAGGTGGCAGTCCCCCAACCCCAATTTAATTACTTGGGAAACTACTAAGTACAACTCAATTGTTTTAATTCGTTCCTCCTCCATTTCCCTAAGGGTTTTTCCTTTGGGATTTTATTAGTGAATGCGACACAGAAATGACTTCCATCTAGGGAGAGAAAACACCTAAGATCAGACAGTCTCTGGGTGCGATGCTGGAGGCCCCTTTTCTGTATTTGGGGACAAGGGGCCCCGAAGCTATTTCTTTCCCTTAAACTGAATCTTCTGCAATGAAAAGCGGCCATTCCTCTAAAAGCCTTCTCCCAGGAGCATGCCCCGGCTCCCGTGCCGTGGGGCTCAGCCTGCGCGTCTCTCGCAGGGTGGAGGGGCCTCGTCCTGCAGACACCCCAGCTCCAGCGAGGAGGCCGGGGCGCCGCGCCGAGGCCTTTCTTCCCGAACACGTATTTTCCCCAAGTGGGCAGCAAACAGAAACCCTGCTCCAGGATCGGCGGGCGCCGGCCTCAAGGTCACACTGGGGGCGCCGGGGCCGGGCGGGCTGGAGGGGTGACCAGCGCGGCCCCGGGTCCACGCCCCGGGCTCGCGACCCCCCAACTGTCTGCGGCCGCAGAAGGCGGACTTCGCCCACGAACCGGGGCAACGAACCAGAAGGGGGTTAGCTGGGGGCCCCGAAACGCCGCCGGGGCGTGTGCGGCCCGGCCCCCCTCGCTCGCCCGGCCCGGGGGGAAGGCCTGGAGGCGGGGGACCCGGGCAGAGCCGGACGCCCGCGGGCGGAGGGTGGCGACCGCGGCGCCAGGCCCGCCCGGGCCGGGAAGAGGCCAGCACTCACCCCTGGGCCCGCTGGAGGGTCCCCGGCGAGGGCCGCCGCCCGCCGGCTCCGGGGCGCTCGGGTGAGCGCTCTCAGGGGCCGTTGGCCGAGCGCACGGAGGCGCCGGGGCAAAGCACCGGCCGGAGCGGCCCGCAGCGGGCCGAGAGACGCGAGAACGGCCCGCGCTGGCCCCCTCCAGGAGCCGTAGCAGAGGCGGGTTAGTGGTCATGTGACACGGGGAAGGGCGGACGTGAGGCTCACGCACAGGGCGGGGATCGCGCGACGTCGGCACGGAGACATCTTTGATGAGGGCAAAGAGCGCCGCGTGCTGATAACACTTCTGCTGACATTGCGGTTCGTCCGTCCACCGTTAAACTTACTGTATTTCCCGATCTCTAGGAGCTTCGTGTTTACAGGAGAAGCCTTCGCTGGACAGTTCGAGTTACTGTTTTTAGGACGAGCCTCATTAAAATCTCTTTGCTGTGAAGTCCAAGAATCTGCATATTTCGCCCTCTCTGTGATTCTTAAACGCCAATTTTGATTATTCTTCCACCCCTCTACCAGGAATCTTTCTCCGGAGATGCTCTTTGCATCTAACCACCTAACCACTAACTTCCCATAGGAAAATTCGCGTTCAACATTGGGACGGGCTGAAGCCATATCACAAATACTTTGTAAGCCTTGACATTAACGAACAGCCAAAGACTTGCACTCAAGCATGTATATCCCCAGAATCTGAAGATATTCTTGAGATATTATCATAACTCAAAATAATTTGAGAAGCCCTCTAAGAATTGCGTTCTTGGGCCCTTTCTAATAGGAAATCCTTTGAGTTTTAGTAATGACCAAACACTTGGTAGGTCACCTGTGACCCAGACCTTTAGAAATGAATCTTCCTGCTTCCACTAGTATCTTTCCAACTCTTATTACTTGCAGTTACCCCCCCGCCCCCCAAAAATGAACTAACTTCCAAATGAAAATTGTGATCCAATTACCAAGTCCAAGTCTTATCTCTTAATCCTGATCCCCACCAGTCTTCCTGAATTATTCTGTTAAATAAAACCTAACGCTGTCCAATAGTAGATTCTCAAAAGACATTTTCTCTCTCACCTGGAAACTGCTTCTTCCTTTATTTTTTATTTTTGTTTTGTTTTGTTTTGTTTTTTTGGTGATAATTTTACAGGGCAACCCCAATTGAAATGGGTTGGCCTGACTGTGGGTCCTCACCAGCCCATTTAAAAGGGACTTACAATGAGACTCAGCTGTAGGTACACACAAAAAGGTTCATAAAGGTTTTATTTACAAAAAGGGGAAATGAAGAAATGAGTAACTCAGGGAGAGAGAGATAAATTGCTGAATGCATCCCACCAGTTCCACTCAGCTGGGACCCAACAGTGCACTGACAGGTGGTGAAAAACCAAATACCCCCAAGGCCCACATGTCTGGTTATAAATAAAACCTGGCGCCTAACTCCACCCTGAGTTCCCAGCAATCCTCCCTTGAATACATTATGGGATTTGTAGTCCTTGGTGCTTTGGCTCTCTTTGGTCTTCTGGGGTGGGGGTGGGGTCCATAAAACCTGTTTGTGGAGTTTGTTCAGGAAGTCCTTTCCCCCCAGCAATACTTCACACTGGGTCTTCCTTCTCTTCCATCATTAATGTGTCTGTTCCTCTTTCTGATCCAATCTGGCATTGCTTATTTTTACACCCACAGTTGCTGCAAATCTTTTGTGGGAAAAGATGACATATAAAGCTAACATATTAACAAACTCATTTAGTCTCATCCTATTGACCCATCAGTGCTTGATCCCCACAGGGGTTCATGCTCAAATTTTCTCCCTCTTCCCAATCCAGATCCTTTTGCTGAATTTCCTTTTTAATTTAATGGTAAAGTTAAGTTTTCTAGTCACCAAGTTTCAAAATTATGCTTACCTTTCACTGTCTCCCAAGTATCCCATCCTTTTGATTCTCCCTCATCAATTTCAACTGTCCATTTTCCGTGGCATTTGTGTTCCCACTGCTAGTCCACTACTCATCATTTGAGCTGTTACCCAGTTAAATGGCATCTCATCATCAGCCTTTATTCACCTAATTCTTATTATACGATGGATCTGCAAAGAACTTATTTTTATAATCTGTGACACTGTAAACATCCAAAGTGGGTATTTTGCTTGGAAACAAAAAGCCAAACTCTGAAGCATGAGAAATGTTCTTACTTGAAGGAGTTTATTATACAAGATGGCCAGCAAAGGAACCAGCAATTGGGCTGGCATCCTAATGAGGCCCTCTCCCCTCATACCTGGAGTGCTGTGATTACATAATGGGGGAAGGAGCATGAGGGACACACAGGGCGCCCAGAAGGTGCCAGATAGTCAAGCAGATGTGAATAAAGATGTTTAACTTTCCCAGCAGTGTGTTTTCTCAGCAATCATCAGCTGTCTCTTTCTGATGCCACTATCAACCTCAGACGGACACAGAGAATTTTATTAGGGGCATAAACCATCTATTTTCCAAGGTCCCAGGAATGAAGTTGGAGCCAATTAACAATCATGGGAGCGGGTAGGGAAAAGAGAGAACAAAGGGTAGAGTTTATTTCACTTTTTCTAATTTTCAGTCTTGAGAAGTTTCTTTTGTTGCAAAATAGAAAAGATATGGTTACAACATCCAAAATTTGAAGGCCCAGGTTCAAAAAGAAATTGATGATTTAGAGTTCTCTACAAATCCAAAAGTTCATAACAAATCACTTAATTTTTAAAAACATTTGATGTCATGCAATGGGCTGGCAAGGGGAGTATATTAAATACTGGCTCTTCAAGGTTACTGTTTCTGTCATCATTAGACTCTTGCTCAAAATCTTCATGAAGTACAAGTTCAGTCTGGTATTCTATACCCTACCTAATTTGACCCTAGCCTCCTACAATGCTACTTTTCCACTATGTGTGTGTGATACATATGTATTATGTTATGCATATATTCTTAGCCACTAATTCTTCTCAGGAGTTGGGAGTTCTCCCTGCTTGCCTAACTATTTGCCTTTTATTCATGCTTTTATGCCACCTGGAATGCCTTCTGCCTCTGACCACCTTGTTTCTTGATATGCTAACTGCCCTTCAAGGACAACCTAAAATGTGCCCTCTTTTGTGAATTATTTCCTGAGGCCCCCATCTTTTGAGCCACTATTTGTCCTCTTAAGCTCTTATCAGTCTTTCCAGTATTACAACTATTTGTGCATTTGCCTTATTTGCCCTTATGAACTATTAATTTTCATACTGAGACTAAGGTATGTGTGTCTCACTCATCTGAATATGAATCAAATATATTGGGCATATTGTAGGTCTTGAGTATAAAGTCATGAGACCTGTTTCCATATTTGATTGATGGACTAGAATTGAAGATAACTAAAACAATAGTTCAAAAAAGGTTTTGAGCAATGTCAGCATTTTTAGAAAAACCATAGAGCCTACAGAAATCTACAGGGGGCCATATTTATCTGACTGTTTAAATTTAGCCTGGTTCTTCAAAATCAGTTACTTTTTTGTCCATGTTTGGTTGTCTCTTTGTTTCCAAAAGAGAGGGTATAAACAATTAGGTCTTCTCCAGTGATGTGAAAATATGTCCACAGTGTAACAAGTCTTGAAAAAAATCTGTTTTTTTAAAGATTTATTTATTTATGCATACAAGAACTGGGGTGCAGGCTAGAGGTGCAGGGAGGTGAGTGAATTCACCAGAGACAGTGGGGAACAGAACAGGCAGACTGACTGAAATATACTGCTGAGGGGAGCAGCGGACAAGACAGGAGAGGTTTGCTGTACCATATGGGCAGCTCCCTGGCTGGGGATCAAACTTGTGCTGCAGAGGCTGTGGACTGCTTCATAGTGCGGTGCTTAACCCCTTGCGCCACCAGGGAGGCCCTTAAAGAAAATCTTGCATGATTTTTTAATCCCATTTCTTGTTTAAAAATATACTTACAGGAAAAAAGTCTGTCAGATATATACCTTAATTATCGTGGGTGGGAGTGGAGGTTTGGATCATGGAAATTTTTACATTGTTCATAATTTCTGATTTGTTCACTGTATTTTACAGTGAACACCTATTGTTTTTACAATTCAATATAATTTATTTCCATTTTTGAAATAAAAAGGCCAGATACAATTTTGAAAAAAAATTTTTTTAAAAGACATGTTTATTTATACAAGAACCGGGGTACAGGCCAAATGTGTGGGAGGGTGAGAAGATTCACCAGAAACAGAGTGGGGAACAGAACAGGCAGACGGACTGAAATACACTGCTGAGGGGAGCAGCGGGCGAGACAGGAAAGGTCTGCTGCACCAAATGGGATTCTCGCCGGCCGGCTTCACAGTGCAGCGCTCAACTGCCTGCGCCACAAGGGAGGCCCAATTTTGAAAATTTTATTCTTAGAACATTCAATAAAACATTTTGGCAATAATTACAGAAATATTAGTACATTACAATATTGTAATTTAGTCAGGATATACAATATAAAATAGTCAATATATTTTAGATATATTTCATATGGTTATAGAGTAAATATTTAATCAAGTGTAGTTGTAGTAAATTACATTTAAATCATAGAAAAAATCCTTGTAAGTTAAATTAGCAATAAAATTCAACTTTAAGCATCATTGTAATACTTTCATAAATAAGTTACCTAATAATGTCTATCTTGCAAAAAAAGATAGAAATTGTTATTTTAGCACACTGTGAAATTCCAAAGTTAATGCCTTAAATTTAAAAGGAACAGTTATACACAGATTTGCTACAAGGTTAAATTTTAATAGCTTTGTAAGCTTCTCATAGATATCTGGAAAGTAAGGTACATGAGCTGTGTTTTAATGCTCATCTTAGAAGCATGACTGAATAACTATTAATATGGTTTCATTGGAATTTAAGGTTTTAGCATCATTTGTCTTCCTCAGAAGTTAAACACAGATAAGAAGGTAAGAGAAGACCAAGGCTTGGTGAGAAGCCAAGGTCAGTCATTTGGCATTAGCACCGATCTAGGGCTTTACTAGATGCCCTTAAGTTCATTTGTAGTTGGGTACTTTGAAGAGAGACAGGGATGGAATATTTGTAGCCAGCTGTACCTGGTACTGCCTGTGGAATTATTTCTTGGGTGCTGCCCAAAGCACTTTTCACAGTGCAGTAGAATCACCTTCAGGGCTTGTTAAAACAGAGTTCTGGGTCTGAACTCCAGAGTTTCTGTTCTGCAGGTCTGAGATGGACCCTGTAATTTCTATTCATAACAAGTTCCCTGCTGCTGCTGGTCCAGGTAGCCCACTTTCAGAAATACTGGCCTACGGAGGGTGTGTGATCAGCTAGTCCTGTCGGCCTTTATAGTACAGTTGGGACAACAGGACATTTTTAAAGCAAGAAAGCCATAATCTTAGATGAGTCTAAGTAACCTAAGTAAAATGCATTTCTCAGTTTCAAAGTAAAAATGGCTTGACAGCAGTCAGGTGAGCAGGGAAGCAGGACTGTTGTCATAGCTTGTCACATCCTCACTTACAAAGCAACTGAGATTGGATGAAGAACCTGAATTTAAACATCAGCACCACCAACTCCACCTAGATGGATGAAGAAGCACCTTCAGAGCTTTGTCTCAGCACGCTTGGTCTCGGACATTCACCAAGCAGTAACAGCACCAAGAAGTGGTCTTTGGTATTTTGCATCTTTCTTTTTTTAACCTCGTCCAGACCTTGGCTTCTCAGATGCCTAAGAGAAGCTAAGAGGTCCTGGGCTCCTCCTGGCCATAGCCAGGCCTACTGAACTGTGATAATGAAAATAGAACAGTGATACAGTAACAAATGGGGGAGAACACAACTCCTACATGAGGGAGTCTTAACAGAAACAGGAAGTTACCTTCCCTGGGATATTAGCTTTATATGTGAGCACAGGCCTGGGGCATGGCTTGATGCTGCATATGACGCTTGTTAAGTTGAATTAAGTGACTTAGGAATGTATCAACGCCCTGAAAAGCAAGTCTTAAGACATAGAGGTGCCAAGCTATACAATTTGTACGCTAAGACTTTTTTTTTTACACAATGCATTCTTTCAACATGGTTTGTAAGACTATGTAACATAAAAACATGGTTTTACAAACGAGAATAAATTGGTAAATAACCAGGTTAAGTGGAATATTTAGAGCACAGGAAAAATAGGATTCTGAGTCTGATAAGCCAATAAATGCCTTGAGTTCTTTCACTGACGAGTGAGTGACTCATTAAGAAAAGGGTCGTACCAGCATTTGGGGGTGGGGGTAAAGAGCACACATAAGCAGCACCCTGAGCAGGGCCCTTGCTGTTGCTGTGGATGTGCTGGTAAAAGAAATTAAAATTGGACACATTTCAGAGCACAGGTGTGAAGGTATTCTGTCACAATGAATTCACTGCGGATGAACCTTGTGTCTCCTTTGAACACAAGAGGGCTACATTGCTTCAGTGAAATGAATTCAATAGACAAACAACAGTGGCTTTTAAAAATGCAAAACCAAATAATATAGTATTCCCACGGCTATTATGATTCCATTCAGGGAACTCCCTTTTGGCCTTAGTCTTGGGGATGTGTGAAAGAATCCTGGAAAATCCATACTCCTCAGTTCATAGCTGTTTCCCTCAGGCCTTAGGTTACTTCACAGTCTGCAAACCCAGATCTAGTCATGTCACCCCACCTATCCCAGACCCTTCCTATGTGGGGTCTGAAGTTTTAGGAAGGGGGTGGGAGACAATCTCAGATGGGTGCAGCCTCCCTGATTGTCAAAGATGGAACAATAGGGGGCAAGTCCTGGGACTCTAGTGCGCCAGTGACTAGCTCTTAATCCAGAGCATCAAACTTTATACAATCACTATTGAGAAGGTGTACAAATAAAACACCCAGTTGGCGCTACTTTGAAACAGCACAGGCTTAGAAGCCAGGCTCATGAACTAACTTAAAAAAAAAAAAAAGCTTTGTTGGGTTTAGAAACAAATAGAAACTTTGTGCCAAGCTGCTATAGAGCAATATTGTTTGGTTAAAGAAAAATACCCAAATAAATGCTTGCTTTCCATCATCACTTGGTTATTTGGGATGAAAAACAACACTTCTATTTTCTTTAATTTCTTCAGTGTTTTCTCTTCATGCATACCCGACAGCGACTTATTATCTTTTCTAACTCCCCAGCTTTCACAGTTGATGGAACAGGTTTTCTGAAATAAAATATATATATATATATATATATATATATATATATATAATTTTGCATATAGAAAGGGAACTCTTGCTGGGTTTGAATTTCCCTCATGATTATTGTAGCTCATCTAATTACAGGAGGTATGTTTCCGAAAAAACATGTATGTCAACATTACATTCGTTTAGTCACATTTTAACAGCCCTAAAGAAAAATGGGTCTTGATAAAAACTTATTGATCACTTTTTTTTTTTGGTAATAAAAACTACCCGTACCCTTTAAAGCAGGTTGCATTATTCACTTCCAATACAGTTAATTAAGATTAACAGATAACTTCATGGTTTCGTTCAATACTTTATATTTCATGATGATAAAAATCACATTTTTTGTCTTCATTGCTCTGGTAGTACAAAACCATGGCTATGAATTAACTCTAGAACATTTGTAAACTGGAGTGTGAAGCTAAATAAGATTTTAGTGGCTTGGGATATTTTTGTGAGTTAATCAACACACAGGTGAAGAAAATCTAAGATAGACAACCTTTAAATAGTCCCCCCGCTGTGCCATCAGATTAAACTTGACTTTTAATAGTTACCTGAACATTCTTTGGGGGTTTAATGAAGCTAGCCAGAAACTGTAGGAGTTTGAATAGTAGTTGCACGTTCCTCTGCCATGGCATTCTATAAATGGGCTGGCTCGGAATTCTTCCAGGCAGGAGCCAGGGGAGGCCAGCCCTTGCCCAGCACCTTCAGAACCTGCACTTGTGAACTAGCACAAGAAAAACATACAAATAGCATTCCTGTCCACAAGGTCCAAATGGCAATGCTCTACTTTTTGTTTTTAGTAGAAAACAATTAAAAAAAAAAAAAAGGAAGGCATGAATTCAACTTCCTATGCTTCTTTACTCAGATTTACTAACATTCCATGCACCTTCCCAGTTGAGGAAAAGCCATCAAAAAGAAAGTAAAAGCTGTTCCTTCTGCCTAGAATCCTTCTACCTGGAATCTAGGTCTGACTCTCTGAAAGACTGTCCTTGACCTCATCCTTTTTAGAGTCTCTCCTCTGCCTTTATCTCCTTTGTAATTCTGGTCACCATCTGAATTCATTATTATTGTCATTTTGTCTTCTTGCCATTGTCTACCCTCCTCATTAAGATATTCATGAAGCAGGAATTTTGGTTTTCTATAGGTATCCTTAGTGCCTAGAGCTAAGGGCACATAGTAGGTGTTCAGTAAGTATATGATGAATTCATGATATGATAGATGGATAGCTGTGGGTAAGGAAGGGGGAAAAACGTATTCCTAATGTATCATAAGTGATCCTACCAATCACCAGACAGGTCCTAACTTAACCCTGTAATAGTTGTGAGACCTTGTTGACATGACTTCATTCTTATTTGTATAACTATAGAGGATAGAAACTACTTGGCAAGATTTTCATAAAGATTAGAGAGTTGTTAATATTAAAAATCTGCCACATTAAAAAAATAGGCATTTTATGACCAACAAATTGGTTGGTATTAGTCACTTAGGTGTCTTATATAGAATTTGTGGGTAATTTCCTCCTGGGAAGCATGTCTTTAAAAACGCTCTATTATTCACCAAAAACACAACTTAGAGTAAAAAGAAACATTTTTGCCAATTTTCAAGCAAATATCTGTAGCACATTGCACTTGCTGGTCAGTCAGCTTCATTCCTGGGGCCACATTTCGCCCAACCCAATATGAGATCCTAGAGATCATCTTGATGATGAATTTGCTGTTCTTTTTCTCCTTACCATGACAAAAGAAAATCCTTTCCAGAGAGAAATCCAGCCCTGGGGACACGAGGGAATGTCAGTGGTCTGGCTGTGAATGGCTATGGCCATGGCAGACCCTTCACAGACAGTGCATCTGAAACAGGTACATTTCATTACAAAGGAAGTGAGTCACCTGGCCCCATCATAAAACTAAGAAATTAGATGTTTACCTGCTAATATAAGGCTCCAGGGCCCTGCCACTAATTGGAGCCATGTCCATTGGCATCAAAGCTGGTGTTGACAGCCAGTATGAATAATCATTTCGAGATGCAAAATTACATACATCATTGACGTTACAGAATAAGAATGGCATCGTGGTAAACCGCTGCAAGCAGCTGCCTAGAGTTCCTAATAAAACATCAGATCCCGTATCACTCAGTCAGTCAGGGAAAATTATCTTCAGTGTTGTCACAACACAGAGCCTAGTTTAAACATAAACTGACAAAAACTAGAGAATCATACTACAAGAGAGTTATTGCAAAAGGTGTTACTGAAAAGTTTCAGCAACAATAGACATCGGAGATTCAACAGGGAAACAAATCCTCCTTCTCCCACCCTTAATATAGCTTGTGGTCCTTTCTCATCAATGTAGAACTTGAGAAGAGAAGAGGTCTGTTGGAAAAATGTCTCTACTTCAAAGTATTCCCAGTTCTTCATGCGTATGTAATAGCCGAATTGTTAGAAAGATGTTACTTTAAAAAAAAAAAAAGATTTATTTATTTACGCATACAAGAGCTGGGGTACAGGCCAGAGGTGTGTGTGGAGGGGTGAGAGGATTCACCAGAGATAGAGTGGGGAGCAGAACAGGCAGATTGACTGAAATATACTGCTGAGGGGAGCAGCGGGCGAGACAGGAGAGGTCTGCTGTGCCATTTGGGTCAGCTTCCTGGCCAGCTGGGATTGAACTCATGCTGCAGTGGCTGCGGATAGCTTCACAGTGCTGTGCTTAACCCCTTGCACCACCAGGGAGGCCCCGAGAGATGTTACTTTTATGATTAAAAAACAGATGGGTGGTTTATGTGCAAATTGTTCTGCATTATTAAACAGGACAGGCTAGGCTGGTGCCCACGAGCTAGACTTCCCCCACAGCCTTATGTTCCACAGTGAAAATTAAACATGAAGCCAATGTTTTTCTTTTTCTCCTTGAAAACTGCTTTAAGATACTGGGAGTCTATTTACACCTAATTTCAGAGGCAAGCCCCCCATGCTCTACACATTTATAATCTGCATATGTGAAGCAAAGTGACTGGAAATTGGGACCTTACCCAGGTCTTGTCCATGTGCTTGTTCATTTCCTTGCACAAAAAGCAGAGAAAACCCACTGTAGAGCAGCTCTGTCCCTTCTGGGCATGAGGGGGTCGCTGTGGTCTGACTGTGCCTGGTGAAGAGGAAGCCCCTCGCCCCTGCCGTGGAAGCAGGTGGGCCGGCCACTCCGGGTTTCCCCTTCACACCTGGCGGGCCATCGTTTCCAGGGGGCCCTTGGAAAGACACGTCACACAAAAATGGGGCAACACACAAAACCTCCAACTTGTTTTCCCAAAGTAGTAATCTAAAAGCTTATATCTGCTCAAGCCCCAAAATAGAAAGATACCCTAAGAATAGTAGCTTAGAACACAGCCAAATGATATCATGAAATGTTGACTAGTTTATGACATGACACTTCTGGGATGTGTGTGTGCGTGTGTCTGTGTCTGTGTACGTGTGTGTGTGTGTGTGTTGTGATGATCAGTTCTTTGTGGTCTTTGGGCCTCCCCTGGTGGTGCAGGCAGTTAAGCGCAGCGATGTGAGGCTGTCTTCAGCCTCTGCAGTGTGGGTTTGATCCCGGCTGGCGGGCAAGAAACCCACATGGCATGGCAGACCTCTCCTGTCTCGCCTGATGCTCCCCTCAGCAGTGTTTTTCGGTCAGTCTGCCTGTTCTGTTCCCCACTCTGTCTCTGGTGAATCCTCTCACTTTCCCGCATGTCTGACCTGTACCCGGGTTCTTGTATGTATGAATAAATACATCTTTAAAAAAACAAATAAACAAACCAAAAAAAAAAGTTCTTCATGTTATGGCCCTGTGCTGTGCATCTCTGTGGTCTGCATCTGGAGTGTCTTATGTCCACCCTTTATGGATAAATGAATATACTCCCTAAAATGTAGGAAAACCAGAAGTCACATATCTACAATTTGGAAGTCTATTCAAGGAGATAAATTAAAGAATCACTTCTGCTTTTGATAAATTCAATAAACTACCATTGGAACATTGAAAGTACTTTCTTTTTTTTTTTTTTTTAAAGATTTATTTATGCATACAAGAGCTGGGGTGTAGGCCAAAGGTATGGAGGGTGGGTGAGAAGATTCACCAGAGACAGAGTGGGGAGCAGAACAGGCAGATCCACTGAAATACACTGCTGAGGGGAGCAGTGGAGAGACAGGAGAGGTCTGCTGTGCCATGTGGGTCAGCTCCCTGTCCAGGGATTGAACTCATGCTGCATATAACTGAGTCTTAATGCCTTATGCCACTAGGGAGGCCCTGAAAGAACTTTCTAAAGATGCAAACTTCAAGAAAATTTTTGGTTAGTAAGACAAATGAGATCAGAAAAGACTTATTTTTTTATTTTTTTACTGTATTAAGGGTGAATGTCTTATTTATATGAGTTGGAACCAAGTAAGTAATTTTATACTTTGCTTCCCTCTGCACTTGGAGCAGGCTAATCCACATCTGGCACCTTCTGACCAAGGACCAGTGAGCCCTCCTTCTCCTGCTCCCATGCCTTGCCCTTCCTATTCGTCCTCCAGTAGCTGTTACTGTTAATATTGGCACAGACACCTCCTCAGCCCTGATACATTTCTGTTGCCACTGTACTCTACCCACCATGCCAACCTGGGGTGGTCTTTTAGGATCCAGAGGAAATTCAGAAATTGTTGGGTGCTGGGCCTCGTTACAAGGGCATGTAGTTGTTGTTTGTAAACAACATGCCTCAGAATCAAGTTGTGCCCCAGGTTAGTCCCAAATCAGAAGTCAGTACTTTTTACTGGGATTGTTAAAGCCCCAGTATTATACCTATTCCTATCTTCTCCAGGGACTTGGCTCATTTTTTTGGTATTAAACACAGGACAAATGCAGTATTTTCAGACTCGTCTTCTTAGAAAGTACAAACTTGCAATATTTTTAATATATCAGATAGGAAAGATGCATATTATTCACTTTTTCTAATGCCAACTCATTCACAGTGGCTGTATCTTACTCCATGAAAAAGCTGCCTCTAGGTCTCTGCACAGTGTGAAGTGAATCACTGAGCTGGACAGGAACCGGAGGTTAGTGTCTGTGCAAATATGCCCTTCCAAGAAATGGACCAAGGCGCTCCATTTATACCAAGGCTATTTAAATCTTAGATCCCTTGCCATTCTTTCATTTTTATACCTTCACCTAACCTTACGCCTTTCTACCACTTGGACTGTCTACTTGCTAAGTCTTAACACAATTTGCATTGTAGCACTCACCCTTCCTGTGATCCTATTCCGAAACCAAGACGTGGTCAGTAAAGTCTTTAAATTAATAGGATTATTGATCAGTTTTATTTTTTACCACATTGAAAAGCCCATTGTAAGGAAAGTCAAAAGATTAACAGTGCTTTAAAATGCATGCATGCAGTATGAAGTAATGAGTGATTATGTCATTAATATTTTACTAATATCATTTATATTACATTTGAATTTTTAAATATTTCAACCTCTAATCTTAACAGTTTTATTATAGATCTAGGCAACTGTCAATAAATTGGAAAATCACATTTACAATTTGCTCATACTTTAACAAAGTCAACAATTCTATGAAAATAAGATTTGGATATCTAGAGCTTTTCTAGAAGGTGATTTTGATCGATGTGTATCAAATTGACATGGTTTATGTTCAGACTAATATATTTCAGAGGTCCTTTTTCAGAATACATGTGAATTGCTGAGTAGTATTCAAGAATGACATAGTTAAAAGACAGCTTTCCTCAATAAGAATATTAAGTTTCTCTTCTATTCATATCAAGTTAATGTTTTTCTAACAATATATCTTTCTGCCACTCCTGTAAGTAAATATTATTAGCTAAGTACTCCTATAAATTATTAAGAACATTATTGACTTTTCTGAAAGTGGAATTCATGTTTTAGTAGTTCTATTTGTCCATAGGCTAAAATTTTGGAAGACAACTACTCAGTGAAGAGCTAGAAAGAATGGTGCATTCAAGTAATTCTTGATTACTTTTTATAAATTTATTTATTTTAAATTATTTTCTATATTTTTTACATCATTTTTAATTTGTGTACAATGTTTGCATTTTCATCTTGGTTATAGTCCCTATAAAATTCCCACCACCCATTCACCCGTGAACTATCACCATGGTCCCTTGTGCTCTTCCCACCCCTGTTTTGCTCCTACTCCCTTCTTCCCCTCACCCCCAAAGTATGTCTCTGATTTATAGCTACCTGGTATTTTTCTTTTTCTTTCTGGCTTATTTTAGCATGATTCCTTCCAGCTTCATCCATGTTGTTGAAAATGGCATGACTTTGCAACCCAATGTTTATTGCAGCCTATTAACAATAGGTAAGCTATGGAAACAACCCAAATGCTCAAAAATAGATGACTGGATCAAGAAGATGTGGCATATATACACAATGTAATATTACTCAGCAATCAAAAAAAATCTTGATTTTTTAAAATCTTCTTCCAAATGAACATTTTGCTTCTACTCTGATCTGAACAATGAGAACAGAAGGCTGTAGACTACTATAGTAGTCTGCTTGTTGAAACAGCCCTTTCCATGAAAGAAACTAGCTTGTGCCTACCTTGTTCTCCTTTACAGCCTTTGTGGCCCTTTTCTCCAATTGGGCCAGGAGTTCCTGGTTTTCCATCCTTGCCTGGTTGACCTCTTGGCCCACAGGGTCCTAGAGAAAAAAACCAACATTGTATTAAGAGGTTCACTTAGCCTAAAAAGTCGGGTGACTAACCATCCTCATTTACCTGGAAATCCCCAGTTTGAGCAGTGAAAGTCCTGTGAACTGAGCAGACCCTCAGCCCAGGCACATGGGGGCAATTGTTTATCCATCTTTTACATGAGCTTGCCCAGGGCATAAAACAGACCCTCAAGAACAAACTGGGAGTATCTGACCCACAGCAGCCTAAAATTGTGCTGCTATTTTTATTTATTTTGCTTCAGAATTTGCTATGCCTTTGTATTGAGCCAAGCAATAAGCAATATCTCTTATGTCCCAGGTGACTCAGGCAAACTCAGAACAAAACAATTCCATTTGAAAGTCTATGCAATATACTAAACCTATATAAAAGGGTCATTTCAATTTCCATACTGAATAAAACATGGTTAATCACCAATGTTTGGAAAAGATTTCATAACATTAACTATACATTTGCACTGTTACTTTTCCAAGTACTATGTAGAGTTAGAAAAGTCTAAACACAGAGCACTCGGGTTTATTCAGCCCATCGTTTAAAAATGTCAGGGTCTGAGACTGACAATTGTCAGAGAAGACAGACATTAATAAAAATAAATATAAGTACCCTAAAGTACATTTGCTCAAGTTTATACTATGCACCTTAATTTTTCATAGATTCAATGGAGTCCCAAGGTCTCTAATTTCAAGAGTTTCAAGAGCAAAACAAGCTTAATCCTAAAACTGATTGTAAAGGCACTATGTTTTCAACATTATCTGTGAAGTTGTATTGTTGGCTTCTAAAACATGTCACTGGTATTTTGGTTCAACCACTTCCTATCAATCCAGTCACTGCTGCTAGTCCCACACCTGGCTTTCCTGGTGGTCCTGGTGGCCCAGGTTCTCCTCGCATCCCTGGGGGTCCAGCTGGACCAGGTGGCCCCTGGCTTCCTGGAAGGGAGATGATCGTAACTGTGCCAAAGTCTCCACGTGCACCTGTTGACACGAACATAAGAGGAGGGAGATCTCATCGATAAATTACCTTTCTTCTAGGAGGACAATACTTAGGAAATTATATTTACCTGGTGGCCCTTTTGGCCCAATTTTCCCTGGAGGTCCCATTGGTCCCAGAAATCCTGGATTACCCTTCTCTCCTTCAGAAAAAAAAGGCAATGTAACTCTACTTATAATACTGAGTTCCCCTGTTTTTCAGGTTGATGAGCAATTTTAAGGACAGACAATGTAAGTTATGGCTGGGGGCTACAACTTCATTATATCCACAAGAGGCTTGTCATTTCAGTTGGATGTAATCAGTCATGTTTAATGACTATAAATAAATATATTTTATAATTAGATATTAAAGAATTTAATATCTGAAGGGGAAGCATTTCTAAGAGTTCAATTTTTAAACTCAGAAACCAATTCAATATTTAAGGTAATAAATAAATTGACATCCAACCCATTTTAGCACATCCTGGGGAATTACATTGCCTGATGATCTTAGTTATCTATTTACTCAGCTGATTACTCTTGTTTTACTAATAGCCTAATAGACTATCTGCCCTCTATAAACTAACAGGGTGGTAAGATATCACTTCTACATATTTATAGTCCTTGGCACCAAAAAAAAAAAAAAGTTACCAAGAACCACTAATTTGGAGAACTAGTCTCTTATAAAGAATCTTGAAATAACACAGATTTCACATTTGATTATTTAGAAAGACTTTCATATTAAAATATGATTAATAGAAAAATAGAACAAAACAATTACATTAAAAAGTTAACTGGCAATTAAACTATAAAGTATCTACTTGATATCAGAAGTTGAGGTGGGTGTTAATATTTACTTGGATATACCAGAAGAAGCTTAAATATTTTCCCCTTTGGTGATTAAAAATTTCCAAATAAGGAAGTGGAAGTACATCAGTATTGTCAGCTGTTGGTTTCATTATGAAAGTAAGTGGGTAATTAAATGTACTTATGGAACATATTTCAAGAAAACTGGTTTTGTGAATCTCCTCTCGAAACACCCTTAAGTGTTTCAACAGAATGTCTCTTTCTTTAGTGGGTTCTTTTTATATGTTGTTTTCCAAATGGTAGCTAGTCCTTTTCTGAGGTGGTACACATGTTCCCCAGGTTGCCTGGCAGTATTCACCCACCAAAGTCTAGTGGAACTCCTCTGAACCACTTATTCTTTGCTAATTTGCTCCTTGGAGAGTAAGTGATTAGAAGCATTGAAAAGGACCTTGCTGAGTTTACTTTGTCCTTCCTTGGACCTGGAAAAGTTTTCCTACACGAAATTGTGGTTTTATTCACTCTGGCTACACTTTTATTTTGTATCTCTGTAGTCTGTGATAGTGGGTTCCCTGCTGCACATTAATGATACCATTTAACCAGCTAAGACAATCAAAAATTCCTTCAAGGTCATAGCACCCTTATGGAAGATTTGAGAAAAATTTTTTATTGTTGGTTTTGGCTAAACTTTGTTTTTAGTACTCTGTAGTTGCTTAACACACACTTAAATGGCTTTATTGGGGGAAGATGATAGGGAAGGTTCTTGCAGGTTCTGAAGGAAATAACAGACAAATATGGCAAGAATATCCATTTGTTATTTTTGTTGGATTAGGGGGTGAACTGCGAGGTGACACTTTCCTTTCATAACCATTTGATCTAGAGTGAGAATTCTTTGCTGAGACCTTAAGTTTAAATGTGTGTGGATATTTTAAACTTAAAACTCCCCAAATCATAGTTATTTATCTGATTAGAAATGTAATACATGTTCCCTAAAAAAAAGCAACTGCTTAAATCTGCACATCAAAATTTATTTACCTTTCTCTACAAACAGGCAATTTTTTTCTGCTTTTTAAAATTATAACACATGCACAAAGTAAAGCAAATAATTCAAAACAATCCTGTTGCTATTGATGCCATCCACCGTCCTCAAACTCAATGCAAACCAATATTTGCAAAGGTAACTAGTTGAAACTGCTTCTGGTTTTAGTTTTTCTATAGTTTCTACCCTTAAGACGCATGGGGTTGGGTACTGTGGAGTCTTCCTTCTTTGCCCATACTGAGTTCCACCTGGGCAAACCCAAATTGCCTTTGGTGACTCTGGGAGTCCAGTGAGCACTTACATTCTCTGAAATACGAATCACAGTCATTGCATTTGTATCCAAAGAGCAGTGCAAAAAGCAGTACCTCTCATGCCTGGAAATCCGTGGAATCCAGGATCACCCCTGATTCCTGGCATACCTGGACTACCTGGTGCTCCCTATAATTTTAAAAAGGGAATAGAATGACAAAATTTTAAAAGACCAATACTTACTGCAATTACAAAAAAGGGAATAGGATATAATATAATATGAGCTGAAGTTGAAAGACATCATTTTACCTTCCAATCCTGGTAATTCCTCTGCCATGTAGGCCTTTCCTTAGGACTATCATTTTCAAATTAAAAAAAAAGAAAAAGCTCCCTTAAACCCAAGACCAAACATACCTTCTCATTTGAATGTACACATGAGTTTGGATACAATTGGAAATTCTGTTTCCTAAATGGCAACGCCCAATATTTGGAGATTTTTCAGGAAGAGCAGGCACAGTCTCACAGAATGGCCATTCTAATTTCTAATTCTTCAAAGACAAGGGAGCTGCTGTTGAATTGTAGCTCCTACCCTCAGTTTAACTAAACCTGCAGAGTTAGAAATTATTCAGAAGAAGTGAAAGGTTCCCTGGGATAGGAGCATAAAGCAGGTATCTAGAGTGGTGGGGAGGAGGTGGGGTGTTACATGCACCTGTAACAAGGTTGCAATGATCTGAAGGGTAGAAGATACTCCTACTTGGAGATTCGCACTAATTGCTGTTGTAGCCATGAGACCTGCAGCAAGGCCATAGAAGGAAGAGGGTGGGGGATGGGGTGCAGGGCTTTAGTAAAGAGCTCTGTATCAGCATGTGGGCTAAAGCCACTCCACTGACCATATGAGCTGAGATAGATTGTCATCAGTGGAAAACAATGAACTGAAGGTCATGAAAAATGCAAAGAAAAGCAAAACTGGACTTGAGTTTCAGAGTAAGAAAGCCTAAGAAGAGAGAGTCCTAAGGCTTGGATCAGGTGGTATGCATCTAAAAAAGAAGGGAAACAGAACCGTTTGATCAAGGAATCTTGGATTCCTGAGGTTTGACCTGTTCTCCAGAGGCAAAGGCCTGACTTCAGGCCACCCCTCATGTGAGGAAGTAGCTGTTAGGTAGAGAAGAGAACTGTTAAGGGCACTGAGCCAGTTGAGACATCACTCAAGAATTCTCCTTTAGGTGCAAATGTAAAAGACTGCTCTGACTTTGGAAGCGCTGGAGGGTTGAAGGGAAACCTATTTCCAAACCTGACTCTTCACATCCCGTGTTTTTGGGAGGACTTTCCATGTGTTCATGGGATCAGTATTGGCAACACTCAAGGAATAATGGAGAACAGGAGAGCTACGTAAGACTGGAAATGGGTGCCCATCTCATTTTTCAAAAAACAAAAAGGTAGGTGCTGGAAACCAAATATCAAGGGAATTGAAGATGACAGCTAGTGATGCTAAAGTATCTCCTTACCATTCATTGATGAAAACACAGAACAGGGCATCCCGGGGAGTGCAGGGGTTAAAGTCTTAGTACTATCAAGCTATTGCCAGCCACTGCTGCATGAGTTAGGTCTCCAGCCAGGGAGCTGACCCACATGGTACAGCAGACCTCTCCTGTCTCCCTGCTGCTCCCCTCAGCAGAGTATCTCACTAGATCCACCTGTTCTGCTCCCCACTCTGTCTCTGGTGAGTCTTCTCACCCCCCACACTGCTGGCCTGCACCCCAGTTCCTGTATGTATATAAAAAAGAAAACACAGACCATCTATGATGTGATCAACTTCCTCATCAGTCTCCTGGAGCTTGATGTGAGCAAAAGAATCAGACTTTTCAAATGTGCTGTTAAGAGGAAGCAAGGGAAGGTGGCCAAGTGTTGAATGAGAGATTATGAAGGGAGAGCTCTTACTAGGCCCAGTGTGTGGGCCCAATTCACAAGATGATATTTAAGAAAGATAAATGGAACAGTTCGCATCAAGGCACCACCATCAGCAGCAACAACCTCAGCAGGCGAGGCAAGAAATAATGGAGAAAACTTTGTAGCAGCTTATGAGAAAAAGGCACAAGGGCTTTTTTTGACCACAAGCTGACTGTGTGATGATGTGGCTGCCCAACAGCCCAAGGGGGATTTCAGCACAGGGAGACATTTCCCTCCTCTAACTACTCCTTGGAGCCTTGAGTTCTTAGTCTTGGAAGGAGTTTGCCCCACAGGTTGCATTTCGAAGGGAGATGTTGATAAATCAGGGTCTATTCAGGTTAAAGGCAGGGCTGATGAAATGTTAAACTGAATTTGAAAGATTCACATATTTATCTGGGGAGAAAACACTCAGAAGACAATGGCAGCGACTGGAAGGTATGTCATGGGGAGGAAACAAATAGACATTTACAGGACAACGCAGATAACTTCAAAAGCTTATAAATAGAGAAAAATACCATTGCTATCTAGGGTGATCCCAAATTTCTAGGTTTTGAGGATTCCATCCCTGGAACAGTTCAGTCTAAACAAGAAAGGGTCAGGGTGCTGTAGAGAGTGGTCCAGTACAGATTACTAGAAGGTCCTAGAACGAGAGGCCTCCTAGAAGCCAAATCAGTGCATCTCTTGAGATTCTTTGATTCCCTGCACCTTCCCGACTCTGTCTTCCCTTACTGCACGGCAGAGAAACATCACAAATGGGAATCTTTTCTTGCCTGAGTACATACGGTCCCAGCAATGGATTCAGAGGAACGCAAGAAGTCAAAGTCATTTCCCCCACTTACCGGATGGCCTAACGGCCCAGCTTCTCCTGCGGTTCCAGGAGGACCTCTGGGGCCAGGCTGGCCCATAAACCCCTTTTCTCCTTTTATGCCTTTTACATGACTTCCTGGAGGCCCGGGGGGACCAGGTTCACCTAAATTCACAAAGATCCCTTCAGTCTTGCCAGTCGTAGAACTTGGCGGGTTCTAGCGGGGGTCTTCTGACCCTGAAGCAAACCCTGCCTCTGTCATTGCCCAGACACCCCCTCCCTGTGGAGCATAATGGACTCTGGTAAAGACAGATGAAATTAAAGCTGTCAGGCTCCTGGCACAGGCAGCAGCTGTGTCTCCCTGAAGGTTTCTGCTAAGAGCAAGCTCAGTAATAATGGTGAGTGGATGCATCTCCCTCTTTTAGACTTCGTAAATCTGATATTTACTACTTTTTCAAAATCAATGGCTTTACAACTCTCTGGGAGAACAGGTGGGGGTAGGAGGGATCGGGAAGACTGGAGGGAAAAAAGAAGCAAGATCACAGCAGGAGAAGGATGGATGCTTTGAAGCCAAACAATCTTCTGATTCTCTTAGTTAAAAGTAGGCCCTCTACCTGGGTTTCCTCTGGAGCCCGGTGGACCTCGATTTCCTTTTGGGCCAGGGATGACTGTCCCAGGGCAACCTGGTTCCCCAGGGGGCCCTGCCATGCCTGTGGGTCCTTGTGGCCCAACATCTCCCAGTGACCCCTTCCTGCCCGGAAGGCCAGGCAAGCCTGGGGCTCCCTGGTCCCCTTTGGCTCCTGCAAAGAAAAAGGTTTGGTAAGTTTCCTTAATGCCCCTCCACTTGCAGTAAAGGTTTGCGTGGACACTTTGCTTAAAGGTACTTAAAGAGGTTGGTTATTTTAAGGCAATTATGTTAAGTGAAATAAGCCAGGAAGAGAAGGATCCTGATGTTTTCATCTACTGTGGAATATAAATAACCAAAGAAAACAAACTGGCAAAACACAGCACAAAAAATTATCCTTAGACCCTGAAAAATACACTGGTCACCAGTGAAGGAGGAGGGGGAGCAGAGAGGAGGGAGGTGACAGGACATTGCCATGGGGTTTGGGTGGAAGCTGAGTGAAGTGTGTGTACATATGGAGGTGTGGAAATGTACTCCCCAGAATTACATAATTACTTAAAAATTGACGTATTAATAAAATTTGAGAAAAAGAAAAAGCATGCTGTAAATGCTAAAGTGTCATGAAGACATGCTGATTGTCTGATGAACTTTAATTACAATGACATCATTTAATCATTGATAATTCAGTGGAGGGTTCAAAGCCAAACCCGTGGCACTGATGTGTGTATGGAGTGGCCCAGACAAGGAATGACAGGGTTGTCACCTCCAATGTGGCCTCTGGTTACTTCTCCAAAGAACATCCCAAAAAGGTCACAACTGATTACTTATATTTTTCATCTCAGAGAGTGTGCTTTGATATTCAAGACTGGAAGATATAAAAGTAACCTCACCTTCCTTTTTCCTATCTCTGGGTTATTCTAGAAATAGCAAGTAACATAGAAATAGGAGACAGTGTGAGGATGAAGGAGGGAAAGTGAGGACAAGGTTGGTGGCCCAGGGGAAGGCTTGGGAAGTCATATGTGGGAAAATGATATAAAAAGAACTAATGAGAATCAAACGCCCAGCTCTTATTTATCATGTTCTTTAGCATTTTAGGAAAGTGTTCAGGTGAAATTCAAGCTCTGAAATGCTGTATTTGTACCACAGGGTCTGAGGATGGTCTGAGGGACCAAGGTGCTCTCATGGGTTATATTTCCATATCCATTAAAATGCTTCCTTGTTTAATCATATGGGATTTTTTTTTTTTTTTTTTTTTTTTTTAGGATTTGGGAGAATTCAAACTAATTAAAAAGATTCATACCTTCCAAGCCTCAATGACTTCTGCACATGAAGCTGTGCTAGGGGGCTTGAGATTTATAATCAACTACTCACATAATAAGGCTGTTGCTAATTTTTTGAGGCTATTTTACTTAAGGTCTGATCATTTTATATCAAATTCTATTTCCAATTAAATGCTAATGTGTTCTCATTCCAAATGGTTGGACTGTGAGCTTAGCCTGGGAAAATGAACAGGAATTTCCCTTGAGCATAATTTTAAAGCTGGACTGTGCAATGGACTGGGGACAGCTGGGTGCTCCCTGGCCCGCGCTGGCAGGTCCTGCCCCTCTGAGTTCCCAGCGGTATCAGGCTAGCCTGGTTCTCAGCAGCATCATCTCCAGAGGCCCCTGTGGGCTACAGGACTCACTGCTAAGGAATCACTTCTTTCCACAGGGCCCAAGACTGAGAAGGGTCAATAAAGGTGTGAACAAGCTACAAATGTCTCTACAAAAGGGGAAAACTAGAAGAAATTTCTTATCTTGCACAACAATGGCATGGGAAGTCCAACACTGGCATGGCAATTTGTCAAACGAAAATCTTTTTTTCTTTCTTTCTTTTTAAATTGAATTTATTTTTTTATTATCTTACAACAGTGTTCATTTTGGTACAGTATTTGATTTCTCCCCTCAGGTGTAGTCCCCGTTAGCTCTCCCATCTCCACATCAACCATGCATGAAAATCTTGTATGTACTGTAAATGACATGTTCACTAATTGCCCTGATTGAGGTATGGAGAGTGTCATAGGGTAACCCTCAGCAGAGAGACTGGCTCTGGGGACTGCAATGAGGCCTAAGACAACGACAAGGTGGGAGGGGATTAGGGCTAATGGTGCCTCTCAGAAGAGGGATGCTCGCTGAGAAGCCATTAATTCCACCTCCATCCTCTTGGGGGGGTGATGTGAATATGCCGATAACAAGGCACAGAAGTTTTTTTATTTATTTGTCATCACTTTCATAGAAGAAAATTCCAAAATTGGATCACTGTTTCTAACTCATTCACTTTGTTGTGATCATTACTAATTAAGCATTTTTACATGAATACTAAGAATATAAACATCCTACATTGCCACTGGGACTTCTTTAATTCAGTGTGTCAGGCTTATTTTATATATTAAGCATGCTCACTTGGATTCTGTTCTTGAAAGTGCATGTCCCTGGGATTCAGGGAGGAGGGACTACTCACCCGGAGCGCCAGGCTGCCCTTTGGGGCCTGGAAGTGCCACCGACAGACCTGAAAGGAGAATATTGGTACATGAGTGCTTCATGTATGGTTAATCTCATCACACGTGTACATGACTTATCTGACTTGGTCATTTGCACTTTGACAACAGGAAGAAGCTTAATGACCACACTCTTGGAATATGTTAAAGATCATCTGTTTGTCAGAGAAGGGTCTCCAGAGCACTGAAGGATTGCAATGTCACTAATTATTCTTTGCAAAATAAAACAAATAGGTCTGAGGTTATAGCGAGTTGTACCTGGTTCTCCCTTCTCTCCTGCTGGACCAGGAATTCCATCACATCCTTGGTCACCTCTTGGACCCACTGGTCCAGGATTTCCTGGGAATCCTGGAGGACCTGAAAAATAAGTGCAGTTCAAAGGGAGGATTTACTTCCTACTGATACCTGATGTAAACACGAGGTGTGTGGGATTCTGTAAAAGGTGCTTGTTCTCATGTGAAGAGAAGTTCACAGTAAGCATGCAAACAGACCAATATTACCACGAAGGTTATTACTTGGGGATGTGCCCGCTGGCATATCTGTGAGGGGTTAGGCAGGTAGGAATGCCTCACCTCACTTTTTTTGCATTTTGGTCTGAAGACTGAGTACATGGGAGCTACCCTAATGGGCAGTTGCAAGTCATACAGAGACCCCAAGAGAAAATGTGCCTCCCTCATGAAAGAAAAAGAGATTTAAAAAAAGGAACCTGGAAGGCCTTTGATTCCAGGAAAGCCAGGGAAGCCTCTGATTCCTTTAAACCCCAAGTCACCATCAGGACCCGGCATTCCTGCAAACCGAGCGAGAACGGGGAAGGGACAAAGAAACCAAAAGAGAAACGATTACAGCGGCTGGAACCATCAGTTCTTTTAGTCCATGGTGCTCACGTTGGCCTCCTGGGAGCTCTCTTGCTGCTGGTCACCTCAAGGCTTTGTTCTGGCTACTGGTTCTTCAGGGAAGCACAGCACAGATGCCATGAGCCATTCTCAAAGGTGTGTGTACACCAAGCACGTGAATCACTCCGTGTCTGATTTATTTGTTCAATTGGGAGTGAACAGCAAATCCATTGAATCGCTCGGTCTTTGCAAAGTGGCTTCAATATTATCTTGAGGGAAGACTCACCTGGGTGACCAGGACTTCCGGGACTTCCAGGGGCTCCATCAGGTCCAGGTGGCCCCAAGTGACCAGGTGCGCCAGGAGACCCTCTTTCTCCTTTCTTTCCTATGTCACCTGGCAATCCTGGATCTCCCTTAAATTCAAACACTTTTAAGATTCTCATAAAGCAGGATAGTGATGACAATTAAGAGTGAATTAATATGTCTATTTGCTAGTTTATTATTCATCTTATTTCTTCGGCAGTCATATCTGCTATGTGTTAGCCCTGTGGTAGGTTCTAGGGACAGGATGCTGCTCCCTTAAAAATAAATTAAATCAATTCAAGACAGCAACAGCAGGACATGAAGCCAACTGCAGAGTCTTGTTAGCTGAGGCCTCAGTGGCTATACTGCTAGGACACCTGTGCAGCTAGCTCTCACCAGGAATGTAAGCACAGAGACGTGGGGTATGCGCACCCCGACCTTTAGAAGTTTTGGAGATCGATGGGGAGGTAGATACTAAATCATCACACAAAAGTATAATTTCAAATTGTGATGATTAACTAAGTTGTAAGAGAGACCAAATGGACATGTGTCCTGCTAATATTATGCATGCAGATAAAGTCCATCAATGTTAAAACATTTTTCTATGATTTAATATTCATTAAATCTGTACTTCAGTTTTACTGTAAGCCAACACACAGATTTGATAGTGACTTACAAAATCCCCATAGTAGCTGAATAAAATATTCTACCCTGTTACTATGAATTGCCAGCAAGGTCAAGCCAGTTGATTTTGTGTTCAATGCATAGTTCTAAAATTTTCTTCTGTGGTTACCTGTGAAGCTCCCACATTTAAAAGAAATGACTAATTAGCTGAATGTGAACTATATCAAATTCAATTCCTCATTGAGAAAATGTGGAAAGAGTATCTCCCTGGTTTTCTGAGGACTTAGTCTAAAAATGAAGCACAAGAGAAATTTGTTTTCCAGGTGGTAAAGAGTTACTATTTTGGCTTCCAAATTTTTTTCTTTCTTATTTTTCAGCGATTACTGCAGGATGGCATGATTGGTGGAAATCTCCAGAAAGGTGGTAATTCATTGGCTCAAAAGAGAATTGGAAGAAGGTTCTCTAAGTAACAATTTCTGTATTTTTTGGAGTTAATACTATTGAAAATATGATGAAAAAAATAGACTCTCCTAAGAAAAATTTGCATTGTGCCTTAGAATATTTTGCATTTAAATTCAGCAGCTAAGGGCTTCTCAGAATCCTGTACACTTCGTTAAGGATACATAGGATCTTATGTTTATGGAAATTTCTATTACTCATTCTCCAGTGGTCTAGTTATGGATCTTAATGTAACTGCTCTACACAGAAAAGTTGAGGAAATAAACCTAAAAAAACTGGTTGTTCCTGGTACAGCATCCTAGCAAGGAGTTTTGACATCCAACCTCCAGTCTAGGAAGATAAGCACTGAAACATTGTGACAAGATGAAGTTCTTCTGTGTAATGGAAGGAAAATACTTAAATTGCTAGTACAACTAGATGGATAAATGTATGTATATTTAGGATGGTGCTTGTTTTTTTGATAATGCACTAAAGTATCTTACATCTTCTGTTGTGTTTGAAGAAGTGTTTATGATGACAAGGTTTGGAAATTTATAAGTCTGTATGAGATGAGCCCATGTAGAGACTGGCTATTTTATATCACAGGGGAAACACACACTGCCTTGTCAGATATTGTGGGCCTGGCATCACTGCCTCCTCCCGGCAGCACAGTTAAATTGCAGGGTCGGTTGTGAGAAATTCCTTGGGGGGTTTTACCTAGAAGTAATAAACTCAAAAGCTGACAGCTGTGTGATAAACATCCTCAGTTGTGGAGATAGAATAAAAACAAACACAAATAATTGCCTGATAATATGGTAATATTATTGATTTTCTCTGCCCACATTGAATCTGCACACTTGATATTTAAAGGGACTCACTTTTCCACCAAGATATAAATATTTGTATGGGGTCTCCCCAGTAGCGCAGCGGTTGAGCACTGGGTTGCGAAGCTGCCCGCAACCTCTGCAGAGCTGGTTTGATCCCCAGCCACTGGCGAGAGTCCCACATGGCGCGCAGACCTCTCCTGCCGCCTGCTGCTCCCCTCAGCAGTGTATTTCATCAGTCTGCCTGTTCTGCTTTCCGCTCTGACTCTGGTGAATTCTCTCACCCTCCCACGCTTCTGACTGTACCCAGTGCTTGTATAAATAAATAAATCTGTAAGAAAAAAAACAAATATTTGTATGGCCTATGTACCTCAGGTCCTGGTGGTCCTGGCCTTGTACCTTCAGGATAACCTGGCTCTCCCTTATCTCCTTGGAGACCCTGAGTCCCTGGGAGACCTGGTCTTCCAGGGTCACCTGGGAATCCCAAAGTTCCTTTCTTTCCTTTAGAACCTGAAATTAGGAAAGAAACCAGGTACCATGGTAAACACAGGGATCTTGAAGTGCTCGTATTAAACTTTGCACCAACCACCTGCCTCCTGAAAAGTAGGGTTCTCAGAATCATTAAGGCAAATGGTTAGAAGAGCTGATTTTCACACATTTGAATGTTTATTTGTTCTTATTCAAGCTCTGGTTATAGACAGAACATTTGTTTAAAAGTAAACATAGTTGTTTCACACAGACTCTCTATTAAGTGGAAAACCAAAACAAGAAGTAACACAGAAATCTAGAATTGGGAGCCACTGTGAGCTTGCAGGCTCCTAATGGGGCCTTACCTGGCAGCCCCATGTTCCCCATGCTTCCTGGCACACCACGTGGTCCTGGTTCTCCTGGATACCCATTGTTGCCTGGATCTCCTCTAAGGCCTTGAGATCAGATAAATAATCATATGCCTGCGTAACTCCTGGGCATATGGTAAGTTCTCAATAAATCCTTATTGCTTACATAAATAAATGACTCCAGAGCAACCAGATTAGTTGGTTTTAGATACTTATCTAGGTGCCTTTTTGCCTTCATATAGGAAGGAGCTGGGGACCCCAAAAATGTAAAATTAAATTCCTATCAGCAGATGTGCATGTCAAACATCAAAATCCTGCTTGGGCCAACATCAGCAGGAAAGAGGGGACCCCTGTGACCAGGTGGCAATAGGTTTTCAAGTGCAATATGAAATGGATGGACATGTGATGCATTTTGTCACTGACATGGTCATGAGGCACAGGGGGCTACTTTGTTCAAACAATTACTTGCCAAACTCTATAACTTGTTGTTGAAGAAGCCAATCTGAAAACTTCAAAAGCATTATTTCTTTTATTCTATGGTATTATGTGACATTGTGATAAATGCTAGTTTATAATAACTGTCCATTGATTTAACATAAAATATTAGTACAAGAATGGAATTTTGTGTTTATTATTATATTTTCATTGACACAGACTGACTATATATACTTTCATTTTGGTTTAATTTAGAAGCAAATTTCTTTTGGAGCACTAGGCATAAAAGTCATTTTCAGTCCAGAAGTCTAGAAGCAAGTTTTGTTACATTTAGCTCTAGGAAAACTTAAAGCCTGATGTTTCTGTTAAACAAGCATCTGTACCTGGTGGTCCTGGTGGGCCAGGGGGTCCTTTGAGGCCTTGTAAGCCTGGTAACCCTGGAAGGCCTCTGTTTCCCTTCTCACCTGGCTTTCCTGCCAATCCTAAAGTCAAAACCATGCATTAAAATACGGGTAAGAATTTTATCAAGGTTATTCACATCCTGATTAAAACAGATGGGACATTATTATAATATAGCACAGCATATTAGTTAAGCGTCTGGGCAAATATGGGCTCACATCTTTCTAAGAAGAGGATGAATAAGAAAATATGGTCAAATATTAGCATAATGCCTAGCATGAGTTAGTCTCAAAGACCATTAGCAATTATCATAGTATTAACATTTCAACTATTTTAAGAATTAGTGGCCTAAATAGCGTCTTTTTTTTTTAATTTTTAATGATGACAGAGGACTACCTATTAAACTATTTTTATTTAGTAGATTCCATTCTCCATTCATTTGTTACAAATATCATTTACTAAGTAACAAGGACATCATGGACACTGTTTTCTGTTATTTATCTTATTTAATCTTCAGGGCATCTCAGTCTCTCTGTGGGCCTTCTCAGATGGATGTAGAGATGAGAAACTCAGATTCCAGGAAGTCAATGGACAAATCTGGAGCCACACCATCAATCAGGGGTAACGCTGGGATATGAGTTCAGTTCTGCACACTAGAGAGTTCATGAGCTTTCTGTCGCTCCACCTCTTTCCCCTCCTCACCAAATGCTTTGATCACATCATTCTCCTGCTCAAACATATTCACCAACCTCCACTGCAATTTACAACAAAGTAAATTATAAACTCCATGCCCTGCCACTGGAAGCATCTGACAATCTGTCCATATTCTGACTTTGTTCCTGTCTCAAGCAGAGTCACACCCGTGGGGGCTCCATGCTCATATGCTTATTCATCCACTCCACTGTGGGTTGAGGATCTAATTAATAGGCATTGTTCTACATACTGGAGATAAAATGTTCCTTTCTCCCAGGTTTTTAGTGTTTAATTCAGCAAATAGCTAAGTAAACAATTACCACCCAGTTTCTTCTCATTTTACCCAGCATTTCTGTTTTCCTCAAGTTATTTGGGCTTAAGTTTGGTCAAGGAGATCACAAGCAGGCTTTCTTAAAAGCTGATTTTATAATGGTTGTATTCATCATAAAATATAAATTGTTATAGGACATGTTCAAATAAGTCACAGTAATTTGGGTTTGAACTTCAGCCTTATGGCTTCAGCTAACAATTAACAGCATTTCTAAGACATTTATTTTTAATTAAAACATACTTTCCATTTCGTAATCATTCTCCACAGGATGTCATGCATGAGAAGCAGTTTTTAAAGGCAATAAAAAATTCATCCTGATATCTGGCCAGAGTAAAGTGGAATTTGGGGAGTAGGTTCCATTTTGGCCAGGGCAGCTTTTTATGTGGAATTTTCCAGGGGGTTACTTTTTACTTGTCAAAAAGGGGGTTTAGAGGCTTCTAATTTAAAAATAGACCAGGGATGATTTAAATACACGAGACCCAAAGTCACAATTAACTTAGCAAGAAAAGTGCATTAAGGAGGTAACATTATTGTGCAAGATACACAAGTTTGAGTCTAGACTCTGGCCACCAGCTGGCTGTGATGGGGCAGGGGGTTAAATCCTCTTCCTCAGGACACTCCTCTGTCAACTAAAGGGATTTGCCTGGGAAACTTCGCAGTCACAGAATCAACTCATGTGATTCTCAACAAGGAAGTCTGTACCTTTGAGGCCTGGTTCTCCTTTGTCCCCCACTAAGTGGGATATTCGAGAAGGCCCAGTGGTGCCTTTTTCTCCCCTTTTCCCCTTTACTCCTGGGGGTCCCCTCTCTCCCTTTGCTCCTGGAATTCCAAGGTCACCTAAAAGGGAAGAGTAACCACATCATGTTTTTAATTCTTTAAGTCATTTATGAGCCTTCAGTAGTTAACAGCGCTAACCCTAAAATAAAACACAGCAAATAAAACAAATAACTGAAAAAGTTAACAGAGCCAAAAACTTGATAGTTTCCCAAATCAGGTTCATACCATGAAGGGAGTGGTATGAACCTACAGGGAAAAAATAGGATTCCATTCAAACATGAAAAGGAACACAGAAAACAGCAAAATCTTCTCTCAGAACCATTTTGCACTCAAAGAATAAGATGTAACTTATTTTGCTGCTAAGTGAGTGGTCATTGTTCTTGCCTCCTAAAAGCTAGCAAGAGACTATTACTTACCCCTCTGTCCAGGGGTGCCAGGGTCCCCAGGAGGCCCTGGGGGGCCGATGTTTCCAGGAAAACCCATCATCCCAACCATTCCTTTTTCACCTGTGGAAACGAGCATGAAGCAGTGCATGTATAGGATGAGAAGCACAAAATACTCCACCACCTAAAAGGAACTGTACTTAGAAACAGAGGATTGGGTGTTGAAGGAATGGTTTCTGTAAACAGGAAAATAACCATATTTATCTAGGAAACACAAGGTCTTTTTGTACCATGTACGAGGAATTTACTGGCAGCAAATCACATTGCTGGATGAAAATAGAATATATTGAAGTTTTGGGACATTTGTGCCTCCCCCCAACCCACGGCTTTCTGTTCTATTCCCTTATTTAATTTATTTTTTTAATCACACTTGTTTCTGGTTGAGGTGGAGTCCTGTCTACTGATGTGTCTCTTGGGCCTGGAACAGGCTGGCTCCTGAATCCTAGCTAGTGATATAAAGAAAGCTTCACTGACTCATATAAGTCATTATTCGGGGCCCTTCTTGGGAGGAAAAATTAGTGTCCTTATGCCGTGAGGACACTCAGAATATTCTCTCTAAACATATAAACTATAAGAACAGTGATGCAAAAAATAAAGGATAGTAAGAGAATGTTATAAACAACTCTATGCCAGCAAATTAGATAATCTGGACAAAATGGACAAATATCTAGAGAGGCAAGAGTTACTAGAACTGACTCAAGAAGGTATAGAAAATCTGAATAGATCTATTTAAAAGGGAAGTGATTGGATTAGTAAAATTCCCTTCAAAGAAAAACTGTTCCAGATAACTTCAGTGGTGAATTTTACCAAATGTTTAAAGAATATTAATTCTTCACAAGCTTCTAGAAAATACAAGAGGAGGAGATATTTCCCATATTGTTCTATGAGAACAACATTGTCACAATCATGAACCAGACAGAGACATCATAAGAAAAGCACTCAGCCAATAATTCCTATAAATACAGGTGCAAAAATTCTCAGCAAGATACTAGGCTAATGTATTTTAGTGCTAATATCTAAAAAGGACTATGCAGCAAAAATTGTCATATCCTGAGTAACTGGAAATGTGATCATCCCACCACCACCATTTCCCTGTCCCCAGGCCCTTTACAAATAATCCAGAAAGAAAATCTGATGCTAAATAAGAACGGAGCAAGGAGCTGAGAGCCTATAGTTGTTTCCAGTTAATCAAACTATCACAAAAGGAAAATTGGAAAATAATTATAGAAAGAAAATGGGGGAGGAAGTCAAGAGGGGGAAAAAAAGAAAAGCACACAAAAAAGGTATACCTGGTGACCCAAAAAGTCCTGGATTTCCTGGACATCCTTTTTGACCAGGTGGCCCCATCTCACCTCTGTGACCTGGCATTCCTGGTGGTCCAGGTTCTCCAGGAAATCCTGGTCTGTCCAAACCTGGAACACCTGGGTCTCCTTTTGTCCCTGTTTCACCTTTTTTGCCTACAGATGAATGAATGAAGAAATGGGGGACAAATAACCCCCACATAACAGTCATTTCCCCACCAACTCTAGAATTATTTTATTTTTTAATGATTAAATATTTACTATGGAATTTGGGGCAAACCAAATGCTTATCTGATTGTCTGATAGATGCTCCCTTCTGTAAACTTTCTAGGATCCTTTCTAGATTCCACATTTTCTGACATTTAGTGACTCGTGCAGTAATAAAAAGTATAGAATTTCGAGATCTATTTTCTAGCCTTACAGGCACATCTGGGGACTGCTCAGTTTTTGATCCACAGAAAACATTTAGAGCCACGCATGGAGGAGGGCTGTGAGATGCTCTGGAAACAATGACAGCACTCAACAATATGTTGAGTGCCAAAATTTTGGTCAAAAATTTATTTGCGAACATCTAAGCAGTATGATCGTACACAGGTATTAGCTGCATTTTAAAGGATTATCTCCAGAGATAGTTTGCTTGAGAGGAGCCAAAAAAAGTAAGTTTCCCATCACCTGAACCATCATTTAGACTTATTTTCATATCCTTTCCTTTGATTTTGCTTATAAAGCAATCAACTACATAGTTTATAACTTGTTAAACAGTTATAACTTAAACAGTTTAAGTTAAACAGTTTATAACTTGTTAAACAGTTTATAACTTGTTTAATACTTGGAAGTATTAAAATAAAATGTCTGAGAAATTAATGTGCTCCGTTAAATTCTATTTTTTTTTTTAAAGATTTATTTATTTATTTATTTATATAAGCACTGGGTATAGTCAGAAGTGCGGGGGGTGAGAGAGAATTCACCAGAGCCAGAGCAGGGAGCAGACCAGACAGACTGACGAAATACACTGCTGAGGGGAGCAGCAGGTGCAGCAGGAGAGGTCTGCGTGCCATGTGGGACCCTCGCCGGCAGCCGGGGATTGAGCCGGAGCTGCAGAGGCTGCGGGCAGCTTCATAGCCCAGTGCTCAACCACTGCGCCACCGGGGAGGCCCTCCATTGAATTCTTTATGGTTCTTATGTTCTTGAATACAAGACATAAACCAACTCACTGCATTAAATTCAGATCTCTTATTCTATAGCTGGTACTCATAGCAACAAAGCCATGATGACAAAGCCGGTATTTCTGAAACAACACCCCCACTGCCAGTGATCAGGACTTGTTGCAGGACAATCCCCTGTTAAGCTGTCAGCAGGAGTCCCATTCACCTGCCTACCTTGTTGCCCTTTCAATCCATTTAAACCTGGAAGTCCTTGGGCTCCCATGGGACCCTCTGTACACCTCCCTGGGGGTCCTTTTACTCCAGGAGCTCCAGGTGGCCCTGGATCCCCTGCAAAATAAATCCAAGAATATATTTAGGTACAAAATCCAATGTCTTAGCATTGCTATCCTAATCATTCTCCAGTAGTTTTTTTTTTTTTTTTTTTTTTTATCTCTGTTGAACCTGTATTTAACGTGCCTTTTATGGAGGCCACTCATGAGAAAGGAAGGAAGGAAGGTGAGAAGGAACAAAGGTAGGGCATCAAGGTTTAAAGGAAAAATAATTACGCTCCACAGATTCTATTGATTGAACTAAGAGTCGGTTTGAGAAAGTCCTTCATCCTGGAGCATCTACACATCAATTTGCTGCACTTAGCTGGGCTCACAGTAAAGGAAGAGCACTTGCTATTGTACCTCGTGGTCCATCAAGCCCTTCAGTTCCTGGAATTCCAGGGAGACCTGGAAGCCCAGGGAGTCCAATTTCTCCATTTTCCCCAGAATTGCCTTTTTCTCCTGGAAAACCGGGTGTTCCTGGTTCTCCAGGTATGGCTAGTCCTGGTTCTCCCTATAGCACAGAAATTATGTTAGTTTTACTACACAGTGTTTCCAAATCCTTATTGACTATGGACAGGTCTTTGGGGCTATTTACATGGAAGTAATCTCTCTGCTATGGAGACCCAAAGACCTTTTTTGTACGCTCACCCCCATCCCATCAAGCTTCCCTTTGCAACTCTAGCTGCTGACTTCTTAACAAATTATGCTTCATTATGTAATCTTCCAGAAGACTGCGGACTTTTCTGTCAACAGCCTCGGTACTTCTACTAGTGACAGTTTTTCTCTTAACGATTCATGTTTCTTTCTAGAATCCTCCCACTTTAACTACTCCAAATCTTCCTGAAGATTAAGAAAGAACAAGGGAGGGATGGTTTGAGAAATGTAAAAAACATTTGCTCTCTTTCTCATTCATAAATATACAGATAATTTCTCCACACAGGGCATTCCAACTGGCCAACTGCAATCCCCCCTGTCTCCCACATAGAGGGCAGATTGAATTCTCAAAGACCTTGGCTCCTGGTAGTCCTGGCTCTCCTGGCAGCCCCGTTTTTCCCATTTCTCCAGGACAACCTGGTGATCCTTTAGCTCCTGGAAAACCTTGATCTCCTACAGAGAAAAAAGAATAAAGATTGTGTGGTTAGAGTCATTAAAATATTCTGAGCAGCATCACTCTCTTTTGCAATTTTTTTTTTTTTTACGGGGCAAGTGGCTGGAGATGTTATAAAAATGTGGATGATGAGAAAACCAACTGCTAAATTAGCAATTAAAAAATTCAGTTTCAAATCATAGTACAGCAGTTTTGATTTTTAAAAAAAATCAGCATTTCTTTTTTGTTTTTTGATTCACCAAGTATTTATTTATTTTTTTTTTTTTTATAGAGGCATGCTTTATTTATTTGTTTGCTGGTTTCTTTGTTTGTTTTGTTTATACATGCACTGGGTACAGTCAGAAGCGCGGGAGGGCGAGAGAATTCACCAGAGCCAGAGCAGGGAGCAGAGCAGGCAGAAGGACCGGAGTACACTGCTGAGGGGAGCAGCGGGCGGCAGGAGAGGTCTGCGCGCCATGTGGGACCCTCCTCCAGTGGCCGGGGAGCAGCCGGGGATCGAACCGGCGCCGCAGAGGCCGCGCGCAGCTTCGCAACCCAGCGCTCAACCGCTGCGCCACCGGGGAGGCCCGATTCACCAAGTATTTAAATCACTGATAGTGGTTGACCATTTCATGGACCTTTTTTTTTTTTTTTTTTTTTAGAGGCATGTTTTATTTATTTATTTGTTTATTTGTTTGTTTTGTTTACACATGCACTGGGTACAGTCAGAAGCGCGGGAGGGTGAGAGAATTCACCAGAGCCAGAGCAGGGAGCAGAGCAGGCAGAAGGACCAAAGTACACTGCTGAGGGGAGCAGCGGGCGGCAGGAGAGGTCTGCGCGCCATGTGGGACCCTCCTCTGGTGGCCGGGGAGCAGCCGGGGATCGAACTGGCGCCGCAGAGGCCGCGGGCAGCTTCGCAACCCAGCGCTCAACCGCTGCGCCACCGGGGAGGCCCTCATGGACCTTTTTTTAACATACAGAACACAGATAAATAAATTTTTATGTGTATATTTATCCACATGTAAATGCATGAGCCAGATCAAGATATAAAACACATCCAGCACCCCAGATTGCCTTTCTCAAAAGCAGCTGCTCAGGAAAATTACCTCCTGAGGCCCGAGAACATCCATTGAATAGAATGAATTGATTTCTCTCTTGTGCTTTCATAATGGGAAAATTGAGAAAGGATGTTATACATCTTTTTCTCTGTTCAGAAAATGAAACTGGCGGAGCATGTCTGCATTAAAAGCGTTCCCTCGTGCCCCTGATTTGACTGATTTTTAATTCACAATTAGTTCATGGGATCCACTAATTTCAGCTGAGAGCTGTGAATATCCCTGGTTGGTTCAGTTTCATAGTGTACCGTCTCCTTCAGGAAGGTGACACCATGGAGTTTCAAAGGTGCTATTTAGTAATGTAGCATCCAAAAAGGACTAGCATAAAATAAGGACTGGCTGCTTTTCTTCACAGATCATCGAGAAGTTGGAGTCAAAGCCATCCTTAGGACCAACGAGAAATGCAATTCTGTTTTCCATTTCAACTACTCATCAGTTGAAATTAATATTCCATGTTTTGGAGAACTGAAGCATGATAAACACTGGTGATGTTAATCTAAGATGAAGCACCAGTAAATAGATTATATTTTGACAAATATTTATTTATTTATTTATTTATTTAGCATAGAAGAGCTGGGTCAGAAGTGCAGGGGGTGAGAAGATTCACCAGAGACAGAGTGGGGAGCAGAACAGGCAAATTTACTGAAATACACTGCTGAGGGGAGCAGTGGGTAAGACACGAGAGGTCTGCTGTGCCCTATGTGGGTCAGCTCCCTGGCCGGGGATCAAACTCAGGTCATGGAGGTGACAGTGCTGAGACTTGATCCTTAGGCCACCGGGAGGCCCCATATTTTGACAAACATCTAAGATAATATTGAAACAATCATGAAACTGTCATAAAATCTAAAGTTCTATTTAACAACCAGGGACTGAGAGTCATCCTGGACAGGACGATATATTTGCCAGCGCAGAAGCTCAAGTTGTCCTTCATATTATCAGAATCTGATTCCTTTGGAGTGTTTCCTTTTTGAGGAGAAACAGGATTATTTTTCTTAAGGTAAAATAACTTCTGTAATTTATTCCGACATGTATAGGGAAATCAGTTATTTGTAATTTCATAGTTTCTTTTCTTTTTCTTTTTTTATGGGACCCTCGCTGGTGGCCGGGGAATGAACCGGCGCTGGAGAGGCTGCAGGTAGCCTCACAGCCCAGCGCTCAACCACTGCGCCACCAGAAGAGGCCCTAGTTTCTTTTTATTATAAAAGGAGTGGATAAGTGAATAAATGTAGCAATGTAAAAAGTACAGGCATCTATTAGCAAGTAAAGAAAAAAATTCCTCATAATCCCACAGCTAAGGAGATTCATTATTACTGGTTTGGTGAATTTCACTCCAGTTCTTTCTATACATTAAAAAAAAACAAAAACATGACTGAGAAAAAGAAGATGTGATACATATACACAATGGAATACTACTCAGCAATCAAAAATGATGGCATTTGTGGCAACATGAATAGAGTTGGAAGGGATAATGCAAAGTGAAACAATCTAGAAGGAGAAAGAGAATACTAGATGGTTTAATTTATATGTGGAATTTAGAGAAACCAAACAAAGGATCAGATAAAATATAAGTCTGACACTTGAAAGCAGATGGGAGATGCTCAGTGGGGGAGGAGTAAGGAGGAGGGTGATGAAATACAGGGAGCCCTTTGGTTGTGATAGTGGGAAAACTGTGGTGACCACTTTTCCCCCACCTGATGGGGGAAATCCTACATTGTGAAAAAACAGACAAGGCTGTTTAATAAAATATATATGTTTATACAGCCATGCATTCTGAGATGAGAATGCATAAATCAAAGGAATTCTCCATTTTTTGACTTAACATTATTATCAAATTTTCATTTAAGACCCTCAAACATAACATTTAAAAACATATTGTGGATATTTCCTATGTTAGTCATGTCTATTTCTATCTCTCAATATCCAAAATGAGTTTTATTTAGATTTTAAACTTTTTACATTTACCCTTTAGTCCAGGAGGTCCAGGAAATCCAATTCCTGGAATTCCTGGTTCACCATCAGCTCCAGGAAGACCAGGGTAACCACACTTTCCTTTGGCACCAGGGACACCTAAGAAGCACAAATACAGCCACATGAGCAACTTTCTTGTGTCTTGCCCTAAAAAAAACCCTCTACATTTATCATTCCATGTCATTTTGGAAAAGAAATAATTTTAACATGACCCCAATTGCCTCTGCTTCCTCACCAGTCCTACCCAATGATGATCATTAGAAGTTACAAATAATTCTGGAAATATAATTTAATTCCTAAAAAGAAATATAGCAGGTTTCTTGAATGCCATGCCTGCAAAATACAGTTTTACATCATCCTGATAAAGAAGTCCAGTTTTCAAGTGCAAAATTTGTGGAAATTACTTGCCAAAGGCAAACAGAGCCTGCTTCCCCACCAAAAGCCCATGAGGACTGTTCTGCTCTAGAATTCCTCTTTTTTTAATATTTTATTTTATATAATTCTTATATCATTTTTCATTTTTGCACAAAGTATGCATTTTGATTTGGTTCTATTCCCCATACAATTGCACCCCCCCTTATTTTGACCCTAATCCTTCGTCTCCTGCTCGCTCCCCCTCCTATAGTGTGTCTCTGGTTTATAGTTGCTTGTTGATTTTGATTTTTACTTTGCATTAATTAGTCTTTTTCCTGGTCCCCTATTTAGGTTTTCTAAATTCCTGCTATGAGTGAGACCATCCGGTATTTTTCTTTTTCTTTCTGACTTATTTTGCTGATCATGATCCTTTCTAGCTCCATCCATGTTGTTGCAAACTGCATGTGTTTACCCAAATGACACAGAAACATTCATTCCAAAGGGCACCTGTACCCCTATGTTTATAGCAGCACTATTTACAATAGCTAAGCTATGAAAACAATCCAAATGCCCAAAAATAGATGACTGGATCAATAAGATGTGGTACATATACACAATGGAATATTACTCAGCAATCTAGAATTCCTCTTAATTAAACCTCTGTCCTTTGGAATCAGAAGCACCAATGGGGATGATCTGGATAACCTCAAAGGATGATACAAGTCCCCTGCCTGTTGGTTTCTTTTCTGCCAGGACTCTAGTCTATGTTGTCTTTTGAAGTCAATGAATATATTTTTTCCTTATGATGGGGATGGTCTTTTTCCAGGAGAGTCAAAGTGCGGTCTGCCCCCACCTGACTTGACAAAGGGGATACTTACCAGGTGGGCCTGGGGGTCCAGCATGGCCAGGAGGCCCTGGAGGCCCTGGGAGGCCTGGGACTGGTGTTGAAACACGCGATTCTCCCTTACGACCTTAAGGAAATTTGTGATCATATGGTAAGTGTACATACTGAAATTTTTGATTCAGAAGGAAAAATATAATAAGGAGCTTACAAACATGTCTCCAAAAATATATAAAGTGGTATCTTCTTCCACGGGTTTCAAAACTGGTTTTAAATGAGCAGCCCATAAACACTTTCTTATTCAATTGACAAATATTTATAAGTATTGATAATTGCTTAAGTCTTATTCTAATTAATATCCCAATACACTGGCCCATTGAAAGAGAGCCTTTTCTAAAAAATACAGAAGGAAGCTTATACATTGATGAATACCTGTAGGAGTTTCATTTATCAGGTGACAAATTTTCACAGAAGGTAGTATGGTATATTGAACCAAACATGAAGTTCAGTCTCATGTGGGTTTGAGTCTTGACTTTGCTATTTACAAGATCTGTGAACTGGGCATGTTCCTTCACCTCTGCTAAGTTCCTCATGTTCACTGGAGAATGACACCTACTTAGTCAGTAAAGACTTGAAATAATGTTCTAAACACAATGGCCAACAATAAAAACATGTTAATGATTAGTATTGCCGATATGTTATATGCTTATGAAAACATAGGTTTGGGATGATTTGATGGGAAAAACTGATGACAATGTTTTATGACATGGAATCCTTCACTAAAGATTCACAGTCAGAAAGAACAGAAGAGACTTTGAAGATGGATTTGAAGATGGGTCAATAATTCTTTTTCTATAAAGGGCCAGATAGTAGATAGTGCAGGCATTCTGATCCAGACAGTCTGTGTTACAACCACTCAACGCTGCCACTGTAACCTGAGAGCAGCCAAACCACTGGTGGATGAAAGACTGTGGCTGTGTGCCAAGAGAACTTTATCTATGGACACCAAAAACTCATATAATTTTAACAATTACAAAATATTATCTAATAGTTTTCTCCAGTCATTGAAAATGCAGAAACCATTCCCAACCTGTAGACCATATACAAATAAATGGGCTAAATTTGGACTTCGAGTCAATCTATTTTATAAATCCCTGGATTAGAACAGCAGCTTTGAAAGTAAGGTGCAGGAAAAAAAAAATAAATGCAAACATACAAGCATAACATGTAATATATATGCATGGATATATATATATACAGATATATGTAATTATAAAATAAGCTTTACATACATGTGTGGATAGAAATGTATACAAGCAATTAATATATATAATGGGGATGTGCACTATCTCCACTGCATTTTTACTATTAAAATAAGAGGTGCTATAAAAAGATCTTTAGACCACTGGTTTATTGGGTCTCATCCTTTAAAGTGGTTTTAGAAGTAAAAAATGACCAAGTGGTGTTATTTCAAAGTATCAGGGACATGTAATCACCAGTTTCACTGTCACATAAAAACAATGAGGATCGGCTCTCTCCTAAATGCAGCAATCGTGTTCTGCACAGGTGGATCCCAACAGTTATCAGGACTTTCAAACTACTACCAGGCAACTTTCCTTCATGTATCTTAGGCATGCTAAAGTATAATTCATAAACCATCTCTCGGGTTATGGATCAAAAGAACACATTTGCAAAAATGTGAGTGGTCCCTGGAAACTTGGAAGACGCTTCTCAAGATCATTTTCATAGACTTTTGCCTCCTTTTGGCTTATCATAACAAACTTCCATTTATTCCTATTCACTCCATATATTTTTATCAGTATTGGTTACTAATGGATATTTCCATCCTGGGAAATTTTAGCTGAATGGCTCTGTAACATAGAAAAGCAGATTTTCTCTAACACATCTTATTGTTCCTTCCCAGTGTCTGAGCTGACATGGTCTACTCATTATCAATAGGTTTCTATATGTGCCTTAGAATGGAGGGAGTGTCACTCCTTCCGGAAACCTTCCACCCACTCACTCCACAGGAAAACAGGACTGGAAAGAAAACTAACCAACCGGCTTCTCCAGGTGGTCCAGGGGCTCCGGGAATGCCTTGGGTGCCCTTTGGACCAGGCTCTCCCTGTGGTCCATAGTCTGATGGTCCAGCCGGTCCCGTGTGTCCTGGGGACCCAGGGGCGCCAGGATCCCCTGGCGGGCCCTGGTCCCCCTTCTCACCACTCAGGGCCTATGACAACAGGAATATGTTTGCATGGTGCCCCATTCAGTGTCTCCACACACAGGGCACTGTAACCCTGAGTAGGAACACCACTAGGCCACCACTGACAAGACCTTGAATTAAGAAGATTTTGTCATTTGAGGGGAATTATTGCTAAAACGAGTACAGTAGATCTTCTGCTATCTTGTAGGCTTTGGACTTCAGGAACATTTTATTAAATTGGAATTTTCCTGAGTCCCATTTGAGATGGCCTATGGTGGCATTTCATCCCTACGATTACAGCTCTGCCCCCCCAAAATTTAATTCATATTGGCCAACCACTCAAATGGCATTAGACATAACCTCCATGTGCATGGCACATTTCTAAAATAAGATCAGAACAAAATAGCTTTATTGGGATGGTTTCCAACAGGTATTTTCATCACAAAGGAGATATTCCACTTGTATTAATTTTTTCTTGTGTCTATTTTTTTTTATTTTGTACACAGTAATGTTTATTAAATGAGTGAAATATTTCATTTTATATTAATTTTTTGAGTTGTATATTTTAAAGAAGTTGAATCTTACAAAGCAACTTAAGTTTATTTTCTAACATGGCACAAAATAATATATTTGACTGCATTTTTCATTACTCAGTATCATCAGGTGGCTACATAGTCCTCCTCTTCTTACAATGCCAGGGCATAAGACTCAGCAAATCACCTCGATTTTCTCTTACTTTCTGGACCATCTCTACTAATAAAGAAATGAATGAGATGCAGTGGGGCATCTTATCAACTCTACGGATGTTACACAAAAAGAATTCTAGTCTGTCTCTCTGGAAGCAGCTGGGGACAGCCTGGCAGTTTGCAAAGGACGTCTGGGAAAGACTGGTCCTGCTAGAAGTTTTTAGCCAAAAAGCATTTTGTATCAAGGTCTAGGAAAGACTGCATATCATACCCATATCTTAAGGGGTTGCAAATCATGTTCTGATGTTAATGAGTCTGTAATGCTGGTTAACCCTGAGAGAAACTGGTGTTTTCTAGAACAGGCTGGGCAGCTGCCTTGCCAGCATCTCACAGATAAAGCACGAGAATGGGACACGTACAACAGACAAGTGAGCCTGAGAGTTGCTCAGCCTCTGACGCTGACATTTTAGAATGACCTTGATAGGAATCTCTCAAATGAACATGCGAGAGCACTTCTACCCCATGGGAATAGATCAACTTTAATAAGCTTAAATATTGTAAATGACTTTCCATTTGATCCCCTTATTTCACCCACCTATCCCGAAACTGTCCTTTCATGCATTTATTTTTACTTTCATTACCCCCAAAATACTGACTTAACCACTGTCTATTATTAATCATTTTCTGATCTCTATAAACTAATTTGGTACACATGGGGAAGGGCAATTTGGGTGAAATAAAGTCATTTTTGTTATTGAATCTTATCTGGGCTAAAGACTGTATTTTGTTAAAATCCTATATATATTTGCTCAGATTGGTGCTGCTAATGTGAAGATGCCTCACTCTGGAGTCAGAGCAGAATCGCGCCGATGGTCAAACAATCTTTTGAGAGGAAATCATTCTATGTCTTAACTTAGGAACACTTCATTTGCAGGAGGATGATTTGAAAAAGTTACTAAATACTAACCGGTTGGCCTTTAGGTCCTGGAACTCCTTTCACTCCTGGAGTTCCAGGAATCCCGTCCAAACCCTTTCTTCCAGGATGCCCTCTGCGCCCTGGGTCTCCAGGGTCACCCACTGGCCCCTCTGGCTGAGATGCTTCACCTTTTTCTCCTTTATGGCCTGGGTCACCCTGGGCACCTGGGAATCCCTAGGGAGGTAAGGAGATAAGTCTGCATTGTGTTTGGGTAGAGTTATTCTTGGGTAGAGTTACTTTTTTTTTAATAAAATATCAGCATGAATTTTTTGATTCCAATGAACATGCATTTTTTGTTTTCTTTTTTTAAAGACTCTTTCTTTGGCTCCCAGGTGTAATTTAAAAATTTTGTTTTGCTTTTGCTTCCAAACTGGAACAAATTCAGTTACTACCATTCCACACCACGCACACAAAATAACATAATTCAATACAATACAACCATCATCATGATCCAGATGATGTTAAAAGACTGGGAAGTTTTAACATTCTTGTCTGGATAATTTAAATTTTCATTCACTATGATGATCAAAATTTTAATTTTGAAGAACTTTCTGGTGCTAATATACCATTTATGTACCATTTCATACACCATTAAATTACGCTTTGTGAGAATGCAATTCAATGACTTTTATCAATTTATACATTTCTGCCACAAATTACCATAATCCAGTGTTAAAAACATTTTCATCACCCCCCCCCCCAAATTCCCTTAAGCACATTTGCAGTCAGTTCTTGTTCCCAATCTCAACTCTAGGCAACCACTGCTCTGTGTTCTATTTCTGATACCATCTAAAATTTACAAATCCATCCATCCATCCATCCATCCATCCATCCATCCATCCATCCATCCATCCATCCATCTGACTATTCCTGCATCACTCAAACTGTCATTTAGTTAACAAGTACCTATGAAGTGCCTACCTTTGCCGGGCAACAAACTGATCCTTGTGTATGCTACAACCACATTTCTAGAGTGTTCCATTATCTAAACTGAAACTAAAGCTTGAAAACACAAAATCTTACCGGAGGTCCTGGAAGACCCATACTTCCTGGGGACCCTGGGCTTCCTTTATCACCAGCTGCCCCTTGTCTTCCTGCCAAACAATGAGTTGTTAAATATTCATCAAATACCAGCTCTAAAAAGCCACAATAACTCAGTGCATGAAGAAAATAGTTTCCTTTTGAGGAAAGAAAGATCATTTCTATTTTAAAACAGGCAGATATTGAGGGTTAATAACTGGAAAAAGAGACAATACAAAAAACAAGAATGCTGAAATGTTAGCTGCCTTTCCTAAATTTGTCATTATAATTTTGAAGAGGAACTTTTATTTTTCCTGATAATATAAGTAATAAATTATACAAAAAGAAATTAAAAATTACCCATAAATCTATTACAAGATACCACTTGTTAAAATTTTTATCTATATTTCTCATAAAAATTTATATCTGTAAGAGCATAGGACTTACAGCTCTTTTAGTGTAGAATACCACTACACATATGTCAATAAATAGATTTATAGTTTGACTTTATATAGCTGTATAGTTGCCTTCCTGTAAATCATCATTTACTCAGCCATTTTGAACATGTAGATTGTTTTTTCAATATTTAGCAGTTTTCAACAATGCTACAATTAACACCTCCAGATAGTTAATTCTCCAAATGTGTCCAATAAGTTCTTAAAAGTGAACTGCAGGAGTAAATGGGCAAAAGCTTTTCTGAAACTTTTGTTATCTGTGGCCAAATTGTACTTTCCTGGACAATTCTGTATTTCCTATGCTTACTCTCTCTATAAAGATGATCCCTTTAGAAGATCTTTTGGCTGGATCTTAGGTCAATTTATTAGAAATGCTTATTCAGAATTTTTTTTTTTTTTTTGCAAAATGTAAGCAAGGATATAGTTTTTGCTAGTAACCCAAATGGTTTTACTGCTCATCTATCTTCTTCCATCTATAGCTATGTGCCAGATAAGGAGAAGCCAAGAAAAATGTGAGAATGTGACTCGCTGGTCAACAGCAGTAAGCTGGCCCCTTAGATCTGGCCTTAGGCCAGTGGCCACGTACAGGGAATGCAAGAAAATAATGGTTGCTTTTCTGACATTATTTCTCTTTCTTTCTCCATCCTTTTCTTTTAGTTCCAGTCTAAATAGAACATCCCCCCAAGACTTGGGCACCCAACAGGAGCTGTATGAAGAGGGACAGTTCTCCTGCCCTTCCCTCCTCCTTCTCCTTCAGGCTTGTCTCAGGGAGTCAGAGGGCAGCGATTGCAACTGACTATGGTGTTTATAAAGAAATGGGTAGGACTTGAGGTGGCCCAGCATGCCTCTCCAGATGCATGTCCTCTAGTGGCTGGCCTCAATGGCCACAAGGCTAGAGGCACACGTAGACTTTTTTCTTTAGACTGAGACATAGACTCCCTGGGGACCTTTGCCCTGCATGTCTAACTGATGGTGATGATATACAGATGTTTCCTTATCTCTGTTGTCAGGCAGACCTTTGGATTAATTTGCTACAAGGTAGCCATGGCACAGCAATTGAGGGGTACCCATGTGGAGCACAAGAGGAGAACTACCACTAGGAAAACGTCTGGATTTGAGTTCAGGCTTGGCCACTAATTGGCAATGTCTCCTCATGCCTCAACTTCCCCATCTGTCAAATGGGGATAGTGATAGCACTTAGCTGCAGGGTTGATGTGGGGATCAAAGGGGTGGTGGCCCATGACACACCCAGGCCAACAAGCATACTGACCAAAGGCTCTGTAACTTGAGGTTTTTTCCTTAATGATAATTAATTTGATGATGAAATGGTTTTGTATTTCAAAACTTGATTTAATGGCAGAAATTAAAAAAAAGTCATGAGATTTCAGATAGAAATTTTAATTTCATTTTTCTCATGAAAAATTGGAAAAAGGTATGAATCCAGGGCCTAAAATGTTGCAAAATAACAATAGGCTGAAATTGAGTGCCTTCCAATTTACCACAGTCATCACCACTCTCTATTGTACTCAGAACTGAGGCCACTGATGCACATTTTAAACTGTACCTGTATCCTTAAGAAGAATGTGAAAGGCACATGACCCCATAATAAAATGAAGACCAGGCCTCCCTGGTGGCACAAGGGGTTTAGATGCAACCTGTGAAGCTACTCACATGGTGCAGCAGACCTCTCCTGACTCGCCCGCTGCTCCTCTCAGCAGTGTATTTCAGTTACTCTGCTTGTTCTGTTCCCCACTCTGTCTCTGGTGACTCCTCTCACCCCTCCATACCTCTGGCCTGTACCCCAGTTCTTGTATGCATAAATAAATTAATTAAAAAAAAAACACAAATGCTATGTCTTAAAAAAAAAAACCTAAAAAAGTGGAATGAGACAGGTTATGTTCTTCAAAAAAAACATGGGAGGGAACTTATTTTTTTCTTGGAAGAAAAAAGGGCTATGCGTTTAGTCTAGCTGCTGCACTCTTCCATGTTACCTCTATGTCCCCTATAGAAACCTGAGTTTATAATTACTGGATGACACAATGGTTTGCTAGAGTTCCACAACTAAAATGCTGGGGAAAGGCTGTCTTTTATGAGATTTTAGCCAACTTCATGTTAACAGGTTAGGTTTTTGAAAAACTCCATCCGAATTCATGAAACCCACACCACAGCACCCCCCACCCTAAGTCTATCACTTCTTTTACTGTCCAGGGATTTAACCCCTTTTGTACTTGCAAATACACTTATGTGAAAATTGTCTGTACCTGGGATTCCTTTTGTGCCATCCAACCCCGGCCATCCTGGGAGGCCGGGAGGCCCTGGGACATACGGACACTGGGTACACAGCAGGCCTGGTTCCCCTGCAATGACAGCATGCTCACGTGACTCATAAACCCACAGCCCTTAGAAAGGACAGATGCTTTGGGGCCTCCCTGGCTTAGGGGTTAAGTTTCAGCACTTTTACCACTGTGACATGAGTTCAATTCCTGGCCAGGGAGCTACCCACATGGTGCAGCAGACCTCTCTTGTTTCCCCGTTACTCCCCTTAGCAGTGTATTTCAGTAAATCTGCCTGCTCTGCTCCCCACTCTGTCTCTGGTGAATCCTCTCACCCTCTATACTTCAGCCTATACCCCAGTGTTTCTATGTAAAAATAAATACATAAATCTTTAAAAAAAAAAAAAAGATGTTTCCCAAACACAATCATCTATTACATTAAAACTTTTTTGTGTGCAGCGAATGTCACCAAAGATACCACACATGTAAATAAAAAAATATTTATTATATCTGCTAGCTTTATTCACCTGAGCTGCTTGGTGCTTATAGAGAGAAAATCTCGAGACACTAATAATAAAGTCACTCAGTGTTTCCCTCACATTCTGGTTATATCCAATTAGTTTATTACATAGCTGCTAAGCCAGTGACTAACAGATAAATGAACACCTTGAGCTAATTTTAGGAGAGAAGACATCCTCGGTTGACTGTGGGATGATCACTGTCTCAGGGGAACACAATATAAGTGCTAAGATGATGATGGGAACAGTCTGTTCTAACAGAACAAGCCCGCTGACTGAACCAACCTTTGGGCCCGTCAATGCCTGGGAATCCTGGAGGCCCCACCAGGCCTCGAGGCCCCTGATCTCCAGGGGGGCCGTTGCGGAAGACGAGGTCACCTACAAAAAGATAAGGCCTGTTTTTAAATTTAGTTAGCAAGTGTCTTAGTAACATGATCATTTTATATGCCTTTCCCCATCTTTGTTTTGGAAGCTGTCTTCTGAAGCTGACAACAATTGAAAAGTCTGATACATGTTGACCTGCTCTTCCTTTTTTATTAACACATGTGGTTTTTTTCACACTGATGCAGCAGCTCATTATATCATCTTTCATCCCACAATCAACCCAACTGATTTTATTCAATTATCACATCATCCACAATTGTCATCAGCAGAGTTGATGTCTCTTTCCTCTGTGTAGTTCAGCTGCAAACTGTATCTTCCTGATCTATTACAGGTACTTAATTCATGCTGAGTGTAAAATTTGGACTTGGGGTATCATCTGTTTTCTCTCCACCCCTTCATTATCTTCATGGAGTTTGTCATTCTTAAAACAGCTTTTCAGGAAAGCTGTGCCATGTGTCTGTCCACGTAGCAGCTTCTGTGATGTGACAATGGAGAGCTGACTCTCGTAACCACTATGTTCTGCGATCTAATCTTGGGTCTTGCCATTTCAAACACAGTTGAAGGCCATGCTGATGAAATATTTAAAAACAGGAGCTGGTGGCTCCATTCTTGCCCCCTTTCTCCTTGGGACAGATTCTCCTGAGACAGAGTTTAAGTCTTGGAAGATGGTCTGCAGAGACTGAACAAGCAGTTGCACGCAACCAAGGCGAAGGCGATAATCTTGAAAACCATCACTCCTTCCTGGCTTCCCTGTCCTTGTCCCTGCTGGCATGAGCTCTGCCCTCTAGGAGGCTCAGGCTGAAGCTCTGCTGCACAGGGGGCTCCCCAGAGCTGCTTGCACAGATAGCTAATAAAATGAAACCCCAATCCAAAGAAAGCTCCTAAGATCCTGAGACAGACAGACACAAACAGATAAGGTCGCTGCCCTGCTTTATACACATCAGTCATCCAGCCACACGCACACGATGGGGTCGCCCGGGGCAGCCTTACCTGGTGGTCCTGGACGGCCTGGTGACCCCATAGGGCCTGGTGAACCAGGACAACCTGGGGCCCCAGGGGGGCCCACGGTATCCTTTCCTGGGGGTCCTTGCTCCCCTTTACTTCCTTTCACACCTGGATATCCAGGGGCTCCTTGGGGGCCTGGCCTTGACGATCCTTGGAGAAAATACCATTTTATTGTACTTAAAATTGTTCCTGAGTCACACGTGTTTATTTTTAATTGCAAAAAGTAACATAATCTGATTCATAACAGTTGCACAAGTGAGAAGTTTACTGAGCATATATAAATAAACAGCAGGTACTGCCCTTCCCCTGTGGCCTTGTAAACCATCCAGGATAGCATTGGGAAGCTTGGGGCTCCACAGGCAGTCTTGGGGCTCCACAGCCAGTCTCGGGGCTCCCACAACCAGTCTACACAGCTGACCATAAGCACTGAGACAAGTTGGGAGGCTGCAGTCTTTCTAACTCCAAAGACTTTGAGGGATTTTTCAATATATGCTATAATGTAGATTTGCTATGTTTGCTACAAATAGTCTATATCTGTAGCTTATTAAAAATTAGGAGACTAGAATATGTCTTTGGTTTGGTGTCCCAAACAAGAAAGTTGTAGCTGACTTTGTTTCTGCCAACTGTCTTGGTTTTAATGGGGCTCAGTGGGGGTGGCAGGCATCCTCGGAATGAAGCCAGGCCAGGGGTACAAACTCATCTCATGTGTCCCTCCCAAACAACTCCGGTGTGTGTGGGAGGTACAAGCAGTCTTGGGGTGCTGCCTGACAAACAGTTTAGCCAATAAGAAAGACCTCATCACCAAGGGACGCAGAAGCAAATGGGTGTCATGTCTGATTTTCTCTGATTATTCTGGAATAAAGTCAAAGCTTTCAGGTTGAGGTCTATTTTAGAGCTTTGCATTTTTCACCCACTGGCTTTTTAAGGGAAACTATACACTATCGGGGAGTGGCAGGGAGAAGGAGATCTTTTATTCTTTGGCTAGACTTTTTTTTTTTTAAAGAATTATTTATTTATGCACATAAGAGCTGGGGTATAGGCTAGAGGTGGGGGGAGATGAGAAATTCACCAGAGACAGAGTAGGGAGCAGTACAGGCAGACTGACTGAAATACACTGCTAAGGGAAGCAGTGGGCAAGACAGGAGAGGTCTGCTATGCCATGTGGGTCAGCTCCCTGGCTGGGGATGGAACTCGTGCTGCAGTAGCTGGGATATCTTCACAGTGCTGAGACGTAAGGGAAGCCACCAGGGAGGCCCATGGACAGACTTTTTAAACATCCTTTTGTGCCATTCTAACTTCAAGAGACCCCCATGCTAATAGTTCAGTGTATATTTTTTTATACATATTGTATTGTAAGAGACATTTGTTTCTTAACAATGAGATTATCATGCACATCATTCAGTTATCTGCTTAATTCATGATTCATTTTCAAAATTATGAAATAATTTAAATAGGCAACAAAATTTAGAAAAAAATATGATCAATGGCAAGGTTTGTCAAATCTTAGCTATTTTTTTTCTTGGTTTTGTTTCCTTTACAAAATGATATACTGCAGCATTGCAGCCACAATTGAGGCCAGATGGAACCTTCTCTATCCTGTTCTTCTTCCTCCCTCAGGAGGCAACCTCTCTAGTGGATGTTTTTGCCCTTTGTGAAATTGCCTATGTATCCACAAATAATATATTGTAAGATTTAAAATGTTTTGTGCAAAACATGGTCTACATATCACTTTGAAATAATCATTTTAACTGAGCTTGTTACCATAGAATTATCATTTTTTTAAAATTTCTGTGCCTCCTCTGAGTTTCTGGCTATTGCCCCCACACATGGTTACTGTCTTACACTCAGTTAAAACCACCAAGAAGTAGAAGAGCATTTCACATCACTTTGTGACTACTCCCTCCCTCACCCTTTTCCACTGTAGCTCACAAAATTAACAGAAGTTGGAATCAATTTTATATTAATTAATGAAGCATTTGTCGTATGCAAATAACACAAAGTTAATAGAGAACAGTGCATTTTCCTTTTTAATAGAGCTCCTACTGGAGCCCTGAGAATCTAGCACCTACCAGGACTTCCGGGAGGTCCTGGGGGGCCAACGGGACCTATGAAAACACAACAGTGATCAGTGACCTACAAGGATACAGAGTTAATCCACCCCCATTTTTAAGATTTTGGGTGACAATAACAATTGACAATAAATACTATTCACACTTTTCCTCCACTCTTACATAGAAAGATATTAGAAAACATCACTTACTTAGACAAATTACCTAGAAGAAACTAAGCTTAGATGTCTATCACTCCAAAGTGGATCATGCTACCTTACCTTTTCAAATAATTCAGGAATGACTTATTAGAAACCTGTTCTGGGGCACTTTTCTGGATGATTCAGATGCAAGAAAATAAAGCAGCCAGATTGTCTAGGACCCATAGTTTGACCTGGACCATTTTACCTAACGGCTTCAGCTGTACCTTTGGATGGGGTTCAAATTTTTTGATACATATGAATGATTTTTAGTAAACCATCACAGACTTTCAAATCTATATTTGTCTTTCCATTTGTTTAAATAGGCCAGGAATGTTTATTCCTTTAAGTAAAATTTTCCTCTGAAATCTGTTTAGAGCAATAATTTGCCTAAATCTGTGATTTTACTCTGGCTGCATATTAATCGAGTGATCTCACAGTGTGTTGGCATCAGGCCCTCCTCCAGACAGCTGAATCAGATGCCAGGGATGGACCCTTGTGGTTATTATTTAGAAGATCCTGGGAATGCTAAGGTAGTCATGGATGAGAGCTATTGGCCTAGAACTTTCTGATCTGTCAAAAGCATAGAATATAGTTAGGTCCTCACCTAAAGTCCTCAATGTGTTCTTGGAAACTGAAACTTTATGCCAAAATGATGAAAAAAGAACCCCATGTTGCCAGAGACTAGCTAATACAAACAAGAATGAAGTTCCTCTGGCATATCTGTGGCCACAAAATATTGTAAAACCTATAAATAAAGGTCCAAAACTCTTCCAATATTCAACAATCATTTGTATTTCTCTTAACCTGCAAGTTCTAGGACTATTAGCAAATGTCATATCATATATTCCATTAGAGAGAGAGAGAGACAGACAGAGACAGAGACAGAAAGACAGAGAAATGACCAGCAAATACCAAAAGAGGAAATTCTTTCTCACCCATTGGACCACGAGCTCCTTTGGGCCCTGGTGGGCCAGGAATTCCTTTATCTCCCTTCTGCTGGTAAACATCATAATATTCTGTCTTAAAAATAGAAAGGAACAAAGAGAAAGGGTGGCTATTTATGGGCAGCTATCAAGTGGATTACTTCAACTTCTTCATTTTGGCCAAAATGATATTTTCCTGAATCTACAGGCCTCTGTAGTCATGGATATGGGATGGCTAGATTGAAAGACAAAAGTTGAACTTTCTGTATCATGATATTATATATTTCATGGGCTTTCAATTAGAAAAACATTTTATAATGTGCCCTTGCTCACACAGTCACTTATATACACACACACACATGCTGATTTATATGTGAATATGAATATAGGAAATTAGTTTCACAAAATACTGACTTACCATAATGACATAAGATCAACTCTGAAATTTTTCCTTTTATTCTATTTCATCTTTGAAAAATATTTGTCCTGATGGACTAACATGATTTCAAAGTACATTGGGACCAGCACATCTGAAGAAAAAACCCTATTAACTGTGCCTTTAAATTCAGGACACCCTGCATTGCATTGAACCCGTGGCTGAGCTTCCGCTGCCTAAAATTGCAGGAGCTGCTGTAACGGGGCCCAGCTGAGGGGGTGGAGCTGGTTGCCTTATCTCCATGCCCCAGCTGTTCTCAGTGCCAGCCTCCTATCCTACCCCAGAGCATAGGATCACCCTGGACCAGGTCTGATTAGACAGAGACTTTCATCTTCACAGCCCAGGATGAGAACTGCTAGAGCATTCCAGAAACTAAATTGCACCACACAGAAATATTTGTCCATTATCCACAGACAGATAATGACATCAGCCCTTTTCTGCTATGGTTTGATAAAGAGGCCCAGACTGTTGCCTCCATCATACCAGTTAATGGAGATGCTGATTCCAATGTCTTTGAAGCTCTGAGAGACTTATCAAACATGACACTGGGAGTGTCTTTGCTCTACTTACTGGACCAGGAAATCCTGGAGGGCCGGTGTTCCCTTTCCACCCCTATGTAGAACAATGAAGGCTGTGCATTAGAATACCATAATTGAAAGTTTTCACATATAATATTTGGTAAAGAGCAAAATACACAAATAACAACAGAAGGCGCAAAGCAATGTTTTTCCAATGTAATGTGCAAACCCAGTCAAAGTGAAAGGGGCATTGATTTAGATTATTTTGGGGAGGGTCAAATCAGGGTCAAGAATATCCCCAATGTAATGAAGGTTGTTGCAGGGATTCCATGTGTCCTTCATGCGGCCGCCTCCAAATGACATTCATTGCACTTGCACCGCACACACCCATGTCACCTCCCATGTCAGAGGCTCAGGGCACCAGATGCTGGCTTACAGGCAAAGTTCCCAGTGGCCCAATGGACATGGGGTCCTTAACCATCTTCCTCTCTTATTTCCTCCTGAGGGTATTTTAGAATTCTATTGGAAGTAATATTAATATATAAAAAAAGTCTTGAGTCTGAACATTTGAGAATTTCTGTAATATCAGAAACAAATGACATAGAATAAGGTCCACAAGGAATTTATCTAGACCTTTTAGAATGTCATGGCCCAGGTTAAGCCCCACAGGGTCTAGCCTATGCTTGTTAGCAAATTATGCAAAAGTTTGACAACTCAAGTCCTTTCCAGCTCCTTCCTCATGCTGGACTGAAATCTGGTCCTAAATCAGCCAGCTTCTACTTCACAGAACAATCTTAGTATCTTTCTGGCGAGACCTCCCTTCAGCTGCTGGTTGCCACACCTCCCATTTCCGAGTAACAGAGACACTAATGATGTTAATAGACTTTGACTGCAATTCCTCACACCTAGTCCAGGGCATATGGGGAACGGCAAGGGTGGCCAAGCTCATGCAGCCCACAAGGGCTGAAGGCAGGATGTCAGGGGGGTTTACCTTCAGGCCATCTTCACCCGTCAACCCTGGGAGGCCTCTGTTGCCTTTGGCTCCCTAAGGAAGGAAAGAGAATGGGGCAGGAGGCACAACAAAGTCACAGCAGGTGTTCAAGGGCCTCTCTTCACAGGGAGGGTATAAAACTATGATTCCAAATGCTGCTTTTAAAAGCTAGAGGTTTCCTGTTAACTATAACCACTCAGTGGTGGACAGTCCTTCATCTGAGGGGACCGACCTTGTCCTGACGCTGATGGGTCAATCCCATCTTTACCTTGGTGCCGGGGAAGCCAGGGGCGCCGTCTGTTCCGGGTGGTCCCTGAAATAAAAACCAAACCAGGACAGGTCATTAAATAAATCTGGATAACTTGATTTATTTCTTGCCTGACCTCAGGCAAGAAAGCCTTATTGAGGTTCCCCTGGAGGGGTGGGAGGGGGAAACGAGAACAGAACACACATTGACCTTCCCCCGCCAGGGAAGGCAGAAGCCAGTCAAAGAGGAGAGAGGCGAAACTGAGAGCTAAGCTTAAGTCAGCGTTAATGTTGTCCTTTCAAGCTCAGAAGGAAGAGGAAAGGACCCTGAGCAGAGACGGAACAAGAAAACCCAGAAAGAGGGAGTATTCAAAGATCATTGATTTATTTGAACTATTGGTCATTCCTTGACTGTGCAAGTGCTTACGAGTAAACCTATGTTTAAAAGACATAGCACATTCTCCAAACAGAAGTGGTTTTCGGGGGGGGGGGACTTTTAGAGAATTGACCTCCCATGATAAAATCACACATCGTTTTAGTGGAACACTTTTGCATAGAAAAAAAATAAATACTTTCGCCTGTGTATATAGAATTTTTAAACAATCTATATGTTTTAACATTTACACTGTAGAGCTGGGTGGGGCAGTAAGCCCCTGCTGCTTCTGTCTTCCCGGGGTCACACTTCTGTTCACAACAAGCCCTGTTTTCTTTGGGGAGCTGCCAGTTCCATTCTGTGGGTTCTGACTGGGCTATCAGTCACTGGAGCACCCTGTCCCCTTGGCCTGGCCAATCAAGGTGGCTTTTCCTTCCAGACACAGTCATTGCTGCAGAGTGAGACATATGTCCCAGGCTGGGCCAACCAGGGCCATCCCCAGGGATTTTCTAGAGGAACACAGGGAGATGCTCTCTGCCCCCATGGCTTTAACTGGAGTTGTCTGCTGCCACATTCATTCCTCTTTCTCCCCGCTGCCCCCTACGGGCAAGGAGGTGATTTGTCAAAGGAGAGAATGAACTGACACCAGAGAGAAGCAGGAGTGAACTGGGGAGACTCCTGCCCCGACTGTTTTAGGCTCTGAAGTCCTTGGAGTCTATCTTAGCCTTCAACAGCTCAGATGTTTGAGCAAGTTCCACTTCCCAAATCCTTAAAAATCTATGCTCCTTTGATTGGGGCCTCTTGCACTTGCAACCTAATGTGTCCTGAGCACTGATGTACAGGCTGCACGTGACACGGAATTTCCAAACGTACCTGCATGCCAGGTTCCCCTCGAGCACCTTTTTCTGAGCCGTAGGACTCTCCAGGTGGCCCCTGTAGGAATGAGAGTGAGGTTAAGGTTTGCAAATCACTGATTTTCAATCTTCATTTGTTTTACCCTTCTGATTATTTTGCTATATTAAAAAACTGCTCAAATGATGGGTCATTTAAGAGGGACAGGTTATTCATGAGTATGAATTAAAAAAAAAAGATGCTGAAGATAGATCCTAAGGGGGGGACATGGTCCATGGAAAATAGTACAAAGATTCGGCCTTAAGATAATTCTAGGAACTCATGAACTCCACAGTAAAATATTACCATGCTTTAGCTAATACCATGATTCACAGGTAGATCACACATCAGGATACACACTAAGGTTCTACTTTATGTTTCAAGGGATCAACATGATCGAAATGACCTACTTGGGGTCCAGGAGGTCCGGATTTGCCCATGGCTCCTGGTTCTCCCTTCTCCCCCTTGAGGTCCTGCCACAAAACCAATTTAAGCTCATTACAAACAGATCAAACAAGATTTTACTGATCATACATGGAAAAGTCCTCTATTCTCTTGAATACACTGGATTTACAAACTCCTTATGGAACTCACTTTAACACAAAACATTATCATTTGACACATTTTGAATTTTACCTGAGTAAGAATTTTACACTAAAACAATATACTAACTTTTTTTCAAAGAAAATATCCTTTGGACCAAACTACATTAAAGCTATTTAAAACCAAAGAAGCACAGATCATTTCTAATGTATTTTACTTTCACTCCGATGACACTGAGATTATTTTGCTATAATCAATTATTTTCTGAGTGGATGTTACATTAATGATTTGATTCATTAATTACATTAATTTTTGCTCTTATCACATTTTACTGATTATATTTTTATCACTGAGTCTTCTCTTGTGAACATCATATTTTTCAAACTCATTTTTACCCTGTGGGTCAAACCTGTCAGACCTAGGTTTTGTTCAAGGTAGGATTTTTTTTTTTTTTTTTGGTATCAATTTTCACCCAATAAATTTTAAACTTCTTCATTTTTTCTCAGTTTTTCTCCGCAGGTTAAATTTTTTCCAATTTTTCAATTTTTTTTATTTTGTTAATATCAGATTTCATTATGTTATGTTTTAACTTGTCCTAATTTCATGTTGATAATTGCTATCATTAAAAATTAACTATGTAGGAGAGTGATAGCTAAGGATATTTTTTTTGTTCTAGAATTAACTGAACACTAAGTAAGCGAATTTTAAGGTATTTGAATTATATCTCAACAAAGCTGTTAAAAGTGGATTCTAACTAAAATCCCTAAATAGTATACTTTAAAAGGGTGGATTTTATGACATGTGGATTTTATCTTAATCAAGTTATTTTTTAAAACAATTCATAATAGATAAATTTTAAAAGTTTGGGGGCCTCCCTGGTGGCCTAGGGGCTAAGTCTCAGCACTATCTAGTCTACAACCTGAGTTAGATCCCCCGCCAGGAAGGCGACCCACATGGCGCAGCAGACCTCTCTCTCTTACCCGCTGCTCCCCTCAGCAGTATATTTCAGTAGATCTACCTGTTCTGCTCCCCACTCTGTCTCTGGTAAATCCTCTTATCCCCCACACCGTTGGCCTATACCCCATTTCTTGTATGCATAAATACATGAATAAAAGATTACTTGTTAATTCAAATGAAAACTGTAGCTACCCCCTGGCTTTCTCACCCCCTGGTGCAGATTCTGAGCACTGGATTCAGGAACACACCCTGGTCCTTCCAGCTACTCCACTAAGGGAGCAAAAAGCAAATGTCAAAATAACAGAGGAAGGGACCGCACTGTCCCTGGGGTCACACTTGATTAGGACCCCTCTGCAACTGGCCCTTGGGTCATTCTCATCCAGTTGGAGACACACTGGTGCCACTGTTTATTCAAAAGCACTTGAACACACACTTGGGGTAGAGGTGGGCACGAGCCAAGCCAGACCCGGCCTTCTCCTCCGAGGGCTGGACAGAGAGGCACAAGACAGGCACAAGACACATCACAAGAATTACCGTTTCATTTTCTGGGCCGGTCAGTGTGACAATGACTGTCCCTGGAGGCCCCGGGGGTCCTGTCAATCCTTTCACACCCTAAAGACAAATACACTCAGCAAGGGAAGCTAAGCACCGTCCCCTTTACTGCATCTGAGAGCTGTGCTTTCCCCTTAAGCTCATCTGTAGGAAAACAGAGTAGATGGAAGTTTGAGCAGCAGCCAAAACATTCCTCTCAAGGTGATTTTGTGAAGACAATGTCTAGGTGACTGCTCAGGAATTTTACATATCTGACCCAAATCAACCACAGACTTCAATTACCCGCTCTCCTTTCTGTCCTATCACGTTGTCACCCATGTGGCCCTGTAAGAAAACACAAAACCAAGTTATCTTTAAAAAGTGAAAATGAACAAGTAGTCTAAACCCATTCAAGTTCCAATGTTTGTGAGGGAGCACTTAGATTTTAATGTTAGAATTATAAAAATTATAATTCTAAAAGTTATTTTAGAACTTTTAAGCTAAAAGTTATTTTAGCTTTCTTCTCAAAGTGTAACAGGGAGAACCTATTTAGAGCAGGCAGGTTTGCGGGGTCTGGGGTGCCCCTCTCCCTGTCCCGTAACAAAAGTAATTCCAATTTTCAAAGTGTTCCTTTTAAGGACAGAGATCTTTTATGGGCCAGAGTTGAGGGAATCTACTTGACATGACAAGTGATGACACAGGGAGGTAGAGAGGGGACGGGGCCCGGTCTCAGGCCATTTCCTGGCTCGTCACTAGTTAGTTTTGTCTCCACGGCTTGCGGACTGAACTTGCTGATGCCCTCTGGTTCTCATCTTAAATATTAGTGGGAGAACCAGCCTGGTGCCCGCTGATAGGGGAACTGGATCAAGGAGACGTGGTCTGTCCACACAATGGAATACTATTCAGCCATAAGGAAAGACGAAATGTTGCCATATCCAGGAAAATGAAAGGAGCTTGAGGTGTAACAGGGTGGTCCCCAGGAAAGGGGGAGGTTCCAGGTTCCCTGCCCCACCCAAATGGAGGGTGGAGCTGAGCAGGGAGAGAAGAAGCTGCAGAGGAGACTGAGAAGGAAGAAAGCAGGATGGAGTGCAAGAAGGAGACCTGGAGGAGGCGCATGGAGCCAAGAGACACGTGAAGAAACCTTGCTTGCCTTTTGGTCGTGGACTGGGTGACACAGATGTGGGTGAGACCCGTGGGGAGGTGACAATGGCAGCTTTTATCTTGATTTTGATTTTGCTTTTTTCCTTCTGGGCTTGTCTGATTGTTTCTGACCCTTTTTTTGGGGTCCCCACTGGAAGGTGCTTTAGACTCGTGGCAGGCTTTGGGGCCTTGCTCTGGGCCAATCCCATATGGATGGACTTTTACCCACGAGGGGACGGGTCACTTTGGGTGCTTGATTTAGAAACTAGTTTCTTTGCCTTTCCTGTATTGTTTCCTAGTTTTATTAAAGTTCCTTCCCATTAAAGTCTCACATGTTTTGTGTTGATGCGGCGGATGGCAGAACCCATTTAGAATAGGCAGTTTTGTGGGGTCTGGGGTGTCCCCTCTCCCTGCCCTGTAACAGATTGAGTTACATTTAGATCCTGGAGAGTTCCAGAAAAGCACCCCCAGAATGCCCAAGACAATGATGTCTACTTAGCAGATGATGTGACAAAGAGAATTACCTCCACAACCATCAGCCACTAACAAACTGAGGGAGGTGAAGTGATCAGGGGTTAAAAGAGGGGCCCTGGGGAGAAAAACAAAACAACAAAAAAAAAACCAAGTAAAACACCAAATTATCCATTAGAAAAAAAAAAATGAGGATAAGTAGCTGAACTTCAGGATTCTGAGATTCAAAACTTACCAGAGAAGCTCAGAATAGAATTCAAGCCCCCTGACCACAGGAGCAACTCAGGGATGGGGGCAAGTCTGACTGCCTAGTTTTCCTCACTAACGATGCCCACCCGCCATTTCAACCAGGGTCTCCTGGCTTGTTTTGCTCTTGCGTATACAGCTCTTCCCCCAGGGAGACCCCAGCTGGAGAAAAAGCTCAAGGTCAGGAGTCAAAGGTCGTGAAACCCCAGCTCTGTCCTTGACTGTCTGCCAAGCCTCTGAGCAGGATCCTGCCCCGCTCACAGGGTGTGGACATGGGGTGAGCATCAGTGACACTCAGTGGGAGGCCTTTGGGGAGAACCCCCACCCAAAATAAGTACTGATTTCTTGGGGCCTTAGCCTCACTCATTGTTTTCCCCTTCAGCTAATGCAGGAGTCAGAATATGCTTCCAGGTAAAGCTCACCGAGGTGAGGCACTTGGGAGCAGCAGCTCACACCACAGTTCTCCACATCCCCTCTGCCTGAAGGCAGGGACCCATTTCCTTCTGTGAGGGCCCCCTCCTCCCTCCTGTGCCAGGAACCCAACAGATCTTACACCAGAGGCAGCACTGCCCCAGGCTAGTACACACAGACCTTACTGAAGTAACACTTGGGGCCCATTGGCTTCCCCCTATATTTGCCACAATTTACTGCCCCTGGAAGCTCAAGTTCCTTTTCTGTTCTTTCTTCTCCACAAATTTATAGCCCTGTGTTTAGATGGTGTATAGGCTTCTCCATCTGACAGCTTCTTTGGGGTTTTCATTGTATTTCTATGAGCCTCCTGTAGGCAAACGAAATAAACCTTTTTGTCCTTTGAATCTGACTTTTATTAGTTTGATTTAAAGGGCCCATATGCAGAGCCTAAGGGGGTAGAGGAAATTTTCTTTTCATCCCTGAAACAATTGGCCTTTTAAATAGAAGCACCTGCAAGACCAGGTTTGGTGGGGTCATGAACAGTCATCTTCACTTACTGGCATAAGATGGGGTTGGATTGGGAAGCAGCCACTCTAAGTCATAGGATAGGGCCTCCCTTGTGAAGCAAGGGGTTAAGAAGCAGCACTTATGAAACTATCTGCATACACTGCAGCAAGAGTTCGATCCCTGGCTAGGGAGCAATCCATATGGCACAGCAGACCTCTCCTGTCTCACCCGCTGCTCCCCTCAACAGTGTATTTCAGGGGATCTGCCTGTTCTGCTCCCCACTCTGTCTCTGGTGAATCCTCTCACCTCACGCCCCCCCCCACACACATACCTTTGGCCTGTATCCCAGCTCATGTAAGTATAAATAAATCACGCTTTAAAAAAAGTTATAGGATAAAGTGTTGGGCAACTGGTAGGATTGCCCTAAGGAGGAAACCTGTGGACTAGGAATTCTTGCCTTTTGCCTGATAAAGAGCTCCTGGAATTGAAATTAGCTCTCATGACAGAAGACAAGTTACTGAAGTGCCAGGGTAAGAGAAACAGGTATTTCAAGGCTGTGCTCCTCTCCCCCAGTAGGATCCTGGGGAGTTCCAGAGCAGCACCCCCAGTGGCTGCACCCGCAGTGCAGTCAGGGCAGTTAGGAGGTTAGCTTGTTGGACTGTAATCTCTACCTTAGGTCCTGGACGGCCCATGGTTCCTGGATAGCCCTAGGAAGATCCATAAATTAAAGTTACAGCAGGAAATGCATCAAGCCAGAAAACCAGTTTAAAAATTTGAATTATACTGAATGTATCATCAGACTGCATCTGCAGCAATGGCAGCTTCATACTCACGGGGAATCCTGGAGGGCCAGGCGGGCCGACAGGTCCGGGGGCACCTGGAAGGCCTGGCAAACCCTTGAAATTGGAGAATAAGAGCAAGTTTAAATTTACTTCTCACCTAAGAACAGCATCCCTTGATTACGTCAACATATTTTTTTAAAGTCTGAGTATAAGGCTCCCTTATTTAGGGCTACCATTAGTTACAACAATGCTAAACAAGCATTGTCGAGGTAACAGGCTGCCAGGCCCACCCAGAGGACACTGCTCCCAGGAAGATGACCCAAGCCCTTGTTTTACTTTAGAAGAGTCTGACTTTTTTGGGGGGAGGGTGATTTTACGCTCTCCCCGCACTTTCTGCTCCTCTCCTCCTCTTCCACGCATGCTCCTCTCTTATAGCCTTCCACCTGCTCCCCTCTGCCTACAACGCTCTTTCCCCAGATTTCTCTGACTCACTTCCTCTGCCTTTTCTTTTCTTGACTCAAATGTCATCCTTTCCCCAAGACAGTCCTACCCATCCAGACATCCCCTCCTAACCCGCTTCCTATCCCTTGTCCCTGCGTTATTTTTCTCCTTGATATTTATTACCATTTAACATAGCACACATGAGTCTACATTTATTTTCTACCTTAGAATGTGAGCTTCATGAGGGCAAGAATAGTTCCAACTATTTCTGAGCAGACTGTACACGGTGGTATCTCTAGAGCCTAGCATATCCCCTGGCACATAATTAGCACCTTGTAAATATTCCTTACCTATTATTTTATATATATAACTGATATAAATGTATTACATATTGTCCCATCATTGTGTGTCCCGCTGTTACAGCTTTGGCAGGAGCACAGCTGACCCTCAGCACACATTTATGCGCCACTCGATGTCCTTTAAACATCCGGCTGCTACTGTCTCCTCTTACTGGATCCCTGCCTTCAGCATCTGGCCCCACAGATGTTTCCTAAGCACAATACCCAGGAGTCATCATATTCTGCATCTTTTCTCAAAATCCACTAGTGGCCCCAAATTGCGTCATTCCTGGTTCTGCAGCCCAGACTTGATGCAATTACAAATGACTAGTCTCACAGATAAGCATTGACACGTCTTCCACCTATCTCTTGCCAATCCCCCCTTGTTTAACAGCCTTGTCTTCTTGAATTCCAAGGAAAAGGGAGTTAAACAGCAGTTGTTGAAAAAAGCAAGCTGGTGCCCACCTGAAAATCCAAGGGTCATCTATGGGCTACATAGCCGCAGGCAAGAAAGCAAAGTCCTCAACAGGAGAAAATGCATTTAAATAAAATCCTGTTATCTATAGTTCTGCACAGTTTACAATAGGACTGTTATTGCAGTTTTAAATTGTATTCAATGTATGATGCAAACACATCCTTGATTCCAGCGAATACAAAGTGGGGCAGACTTAATCCCTGAAGAGTCCCCCTTAGCTTCAGGAAGGCTTGGGAGGCCGAGGTTTAAGAAGAAATTTAAAGACAGGTATCTAAAGTCATCTTTTTCTACCAGCTTCAAGTAATTTCTTATCATAGGTGAAAGTTTTAGACTGAAATAGGTATGTATGGAAATAGAAGAAATAGGAATGTCATTAAAATCTTTGTAAGAGTGAGAAGAGATGTAGAGGGGGAAAGTCAGAGACAAAGAAGAGAATAAAGGAGTGTGTGTGTGTGCGTGCATGTGTGTGTGTGTGTGTGTGTGTGTGTGTGCGTGAGTGAGTGAGAGAGAGAGAGAGAGAGCGCTCACGTGGGCAGTTTCACCTGGAATCCTGGCATTCCTGGCAATCCGGGGTCACCTTTCCCATGCAGGTCTAGCCCTTCTCCTTCAGCGGGAGCACCCTGGAGAATGAAGAAAATGATTCATTTGCTCTTTTCAAAAACACTTTATTCAAGTCAAACTGCTCCAAGAATAAAAGTGCTTTTCAGGCTGTCATAGATAAATGGTTTAGGGTTATGTAGCTATTCCAATTTGAAGAATTTCCAGCATTTTCATATTTTCTCCAATTGACCATTTACAGTAGAAGGAGGAAGGCACAGGGCTGATGAGCCACTTCCTAAGACACCAACACAGATGGCAGCCCCGGATCTAGAGGGTGGGCCCAGAGTTCGAGGCCAGTTCTTGCTTAGATTATTTCCTTGAAGAAAGAATGGATGAGTTTCTAGAGGTACTTTGTTTTTGCATTCAAGAACTGGGGTGTAGGCCAGAGATATGGGGGGTGAGAGAGACAGAATGGGGAGCAGAACAGATGGCTCTACTACAATACACAGCCTAGGGGAGCAGTGGGCGAGACAGGAGAGGTCTGCTGTGCCATATGGGTCAGCTACCTGGCCAGGGATCGAACTCAGGCCTTAGCAGTGACAGTGCTGAGACTTAACCTCTCAGCCACCAGGGAGGCCCCTAGAAGTATATTTCTGAGTGGGGTTGGGAGACATTGTTCTATCAGCACGAACACATCCCAACTAAGGTCTCTGAAGTTATTATGAAAACTGCTTTGGAATAATTACATCTTATATTTAACAGAAGTCCTTTTCAGATGTACAAGTACAGGTTTTCAAAAATAACATGCCAGAGCAGACTTACCTTCTCTCCCTTCAAACCAGCAGCGCCCTGGGAGAAGGAGCATCACATTAACAACAGGGTGGAGGGGGCCAAACCCAGCACACAGCAGCCTCCTGGCCCTGCTCTCTGCTCTCTGCCTCCTCCCCCCACCGCCTGGCTTTGACACATTGCCCAATCTCCCTCATTAAACTAACCAGCAAAGCCCCCTTATCTGCCCATCCCCAAGATGGCCCCATCCCATCCTCTGCAAACTTCCCTTTGTGCTCACCCCCCAGCTCCACTCTGCCCTCCGGCCTCCTGGGGGTCTCTCTTGCTGAGCTCTGTGAGCACCTGACTTTGCTGACTCCATGACAGATGCTGGCTCTAGTTTCCTGACTTCTGGCAGCCTCAGGCACTGTCTGCCCCTCCCCACTGTCTTCCACTGACACCCCCAGGTGTTCTCCCCCACCAGAGCTGCTCCTCCTCTACACACCCAAGGTCCTCGACCTGCAGTGCACACCCTAGAGGCCACCTCCCGGTGCTGACCCCCACTTCTCCTTACACTTGAATTAACACCACTCCAGGCCTCTCCTGGAGTGAATCCAACTCTCTGTGAAGCAACTCCGCACGATGTCTCCAAAGCTGAACAGTCTCAACTCAGTACTTACTCATTCCCCATTAGTTCACTGGTCACTACCAGCTCCCCCCACCCAGGTCCCGATGGAGCTCTGCGCATGGCCCCTGGGGAGGAAACTCCTTGTCTGTTGTGGGGAGTTAGGGCCAGAAACCTACCGGGATGCCTGGGTAGCCGGGGGTCCCTGGGAGTCCCGGGAAGCCTGGCTCCCCCTGCAAGACAGGCAGAGTCCGTCATTCTTGGCTGCTCAGAAATGGCCTAGTGAGGAATCTTCCCTTCTTTTTTCGACCTTGCAGTGGTAAATGTAGACAAATAACCCAATTTCCTTATAGCTCCTAGGTTTCAGGCAAAAGGCCAGAAAATCATTATCTTCACTGAAGCCAGGGTTAGAATCTACTATTTCTCAAATTGTGAATAAATGGCCAAAGTCTAACTGACTTTTTAATTGCTGTTTCCTTGAAACGTTGGGCAAAGCCTCCCTGCTGGGGAAGTGGGGTGGGGGGCAAGGGAGGGCAGTTAGGAGAGAAAGGACATGACGTGCATGGAGACCCTCATTCTCTCTCAAGGCTGGTTTTCCATTGCTGGTTCTCGTGTCTGAGCCATAGACACTCACAGCCTCAGCTTAAACGACCAGTTCAGCTCCAAATTAACCAGCTGTGGAAGAACTTCCAGAAAAGATTCTCAGGAAGCAAAGTACAAGAAAGAAAACAGGAAGCTTCCCAGTTCAATATTCTATTTCTGTCCTGAAGACATGACCACTGGCTTTGTCGACAAGTGTTCCAAGAAAAGCCCATCTCCCCTCATTGCCTCTGTGGCTGGATCTATTCGTCAGCAAAGCTCATGTCCATCATCCCCTGTGTGTGAGGAACACACCTTGGAACCATTGCATCCTGGGAAGCCAGGCAGCCCGTATGGTCCAGGATGGCCTGGGATGCCCTAAAATCAGAGCAAATGTCAAACAGAAGACGTGGTCAGTGGACAGTGAGGAACCCAAGGTGAGGGGAAAGGTGAGCAAATCCAGGTAGTTATTTAAATAGCTAAGTAGGAAATCCAGCAGTTATTTTAGACAGTAATTTAAGTAAAACCCATAGCAAACAAAATGGACTAATTAAAGCCAAAAATTATCAAGTGAGGTTCAGATATTTTAGACTAAAGAAAAGGACTTTCTATATAAAATATAAAATTTCTATATAAAATATAAAATCTTCTATGTAAAATTCTTTATATAATTCATGTTGGGAGGAAAGGAAAAACAAGAGGAAGTATGTGTACAGGTGACACTTGCATTATTCTACGGCATTAAAGTTTTTCTATCCCACCCCACCCAACCTATTCCATTCTAGTTGTAATTCAGCAAATACAATTTGCCTTGCATGTATGTCCTAAGAATCCACCCTGATACATTTTATGATTCTATGGTGCCATTTTCACTACGTACGTAGTAGATGCGTCAGTGCCCATTTCCTGTGCTATTGTGTTACAATCTTTATTAAAATGCACTTACTTTTCATTTACCCAAATACACCATTTTTCTCAGTACTTACTGGAAGTCCGGGAGGACCTGAAAATCCTGGCAATCCAGTAATTCCCTAGAGACATAGAAATGGGAGACAAGAACGCTTTTTAAATTCAACTTGAAAACATAAAATGATTTATCATCCCAATAACCCCATCTTGCAACTATAATTGGGAATGACTAATGATGATTTGAAAAACAAAAAAATATTTTAAAAGGTTTTTGTAAATCTTACATTAATTTAACTTTTAAAAAGAGATTATTAACATTGATTCAGGGGGCTTCCCTGGTGGCATAAGGGGTTAATATGCAGTAGTATGAAGCTTCCTGCAGCCACTGTAGTGTGAGTTTAATCCCCAGCCAGGGAGCTGACCCACATGGCACAACAGACCTCTCCTGTCTCACCCAATGCTCCCCTCAGCAGTAAATTTCAGTCAATCTGCCTGTTCTGTTCCCTACTTCCCTACTCTGTCACTGGTGAATCTTCTCCCCTCCCCCCACCCCCGCAGCTCTGGCCTGTACCCCAGTTCTTGTATACATAAACACATCTTAAAAAAAAAAAGACTGATTCAGGCTTTGGGGGATATAGATTTTAGAGTATAATTTGCCTGCAGTAAAGGATGCCAGTCTTCCAGAAACAGTTTAAGGACCCTTTACATGGGGCAGGTGTACACATCTGGATGACCACCTCCCGCCCAGCCTCAGAACATCCCCCACAACCCTCACCCCTGAATGTTTCCTTCTGTCCTTTTCCTGTCACTTTATTCCTGCTCCCAATATAGTAACCACTATTTTGCCACTATTTTGACCTGCACAACATTATGGATCAGTTTTACCTGTTCTTAAACTTCATCTACAGAGAGGACCACCCTCCATGCTCTCCTCTGTGACATGTGCATAACTTGTACAGAGCAGAGTTCTTTTTAAAAGAAGAAACATTTTCATCAAACATTCATGATGGACTCAGTGGACTACTAACCCTTACACCTTTGGGGCCAGTGAATCCTGGGAGTCCTGGGGAACCCTAGATCCAAAAGAGAAAACAAGAGGTGAACATGATGACGTGTATCTGGCACCAAGAAACCCATCTGCTAAAGCTTCCATTTTCTTCACAAGGTGAACTGTTTTTCTCCTATTACCTCACTGTTAGCACAGCTCAATTGTTTGTTTGTTACACTGGAGCTAAAATACCCATCAGAAAGGACCAAGATTTCTTCAAACTTTGACTACTCAAAAGGAAACTCGGGGGCTGCCATGTCAGCACAACCAGTTGGGGAGAAGGCAGATCTCAGTCTCCCCCACCTCCCAGCCCTAATGATTTGTTGATTTGTTCAGATGAGCTGGTGATTCTTGTTCACTTTGGTGTCTGAGAAATGCCTGTAAAAGCCCACCTTGGTGGGCAGCTGGGGGATCTGATAAGGAGGAGTGATAAGGGCAGAGGAGAATGCAGTCAATACTTCTGTGTAGGTGGAACACTTCATTAACAAATTGTGCCCTGATTTGCACAAATAAATGAATAGCCAAGCAAGGACTGCATGGACTGAGATAATTTTGTTTCAGGAAGAGTCTGAGGCCCTGTTTCTTGGAGCATAACCTTAAACAGAGACTTTTAACTGGGCCACTTGGGAGAGAAAGTTCTATTATCCAAATGCTGTTTTCCTCATTCTTGAGAGTTTCGGTCTGTTTTGGCATTTTTAATTATTTGAGAAAAGGGTTGCTATGGAGCCTTCTGAGACTGGACTTTGCTGGCCAGGCCTGTCTTCCTGATCCAGGTGGACTCCTTGGGGGGTCAGGCCTTCCCCCGTCCCCCACCTCCCAGGCAGTTGTTTGGTTACTTGGAAGACAGCAGTGACCCACTGCCAATGACCCCACTGTCAATTTTAGAAAATACCTAAAGTTATGATAAAAAAATGTATAATTCTGAGCAATCCTTTTTGTTTATGTTTGGATATGCTTTCATTTTCTGCCTTTGATCCAATTATCTTTTGTGGCTTCATCTAGACGAGATCCTTTAAATACAACACCAAGATTTTCTGGATTACATTTTATGTATAAGGGCTTCATTACATTTTTTTTTTTCATTTTTTTCTCATCAAGGCTAAAGAGACTTCCTTTTTTAGCCAGTCTGTCATCTTCATTTATTGCAGGGCTTTGAGTGAATTAAACAATCAAACACCTGTGAATTCCTTGACAACAGGGCGTGCCAATCTTCTAGATTAACTTCATGTAGCACCATGTAACCCACAATACATTCACCGGCAAAAATCCAGCCAAGTTCATTATAAAGACTGAGTTGATTTTATTGAGTTGTCAGTGGGGTGGCATTCCATCTAGCAGGCAGAAAGCTGCTCCGAAAAGTTGGACAAAATGAAAAGTTTTAAGCACAAGAGAAGTAGTGGGGGAGTGATATCAGGCCTAGGTGCCCACCTATGGGGAAAGGTCTTATGATGGGATATCGTCTCATCTTCCTTGGGGATCAGGAATGATTATTTCTTTGGTGCTGACTGGAGAATTCTCTCCTGACCAGTGGAGACCATACTCCTGGGGGTGGCTGAGCCCCCAGTGAGGAGGGGGATTCTCTCTGGGAGGGCTTCCTACCAGTTCCTCCACTTGGGGGTACTCCGTTTGTTCTTTCTTTTTAACTAAGTACCATATGCTCACACCTGTAACTATTTCATTATTGCTGGCATTTTAAAGAAACGCAGAAAGAAATAAGCAGTGGGTGTGGAGGCCAAAGCCATAAGGAAGGAGCTGGCATTAAGTCCATCTCAGTCCCGGGCTGAAGGGGTGCATCCACCCCCCTGTGAAATGGAGGAACATCCAGGCCAGGGCCTGGAGGGAGGCTGCCACCAGGACACTCAACATCCAGAATCTGAATGACATTTTCAGAATGAGGATCAGGAGGGTAAATGGGATAAGCCACACACATGACTATGGCAGACATGACAGGGGAAGCCCCGGAAAACAGTCAGCTTCCCACTGGCGCCTGGAGCTCAGGGGGTGGGTGAAGAGCCGTGCTGGTGTCATTTACATGTACCTCTGTAGAGGTTTGAACCTCTAACCCCTACGACAAATACGATGTTGTAAACCCACTTTGCTTCAATAAACATCATTGGGGAAATACATACATAAATAAAATAAAACTAGTTTGAACTCTGGTTTTGCCACCACTTGGCTGTGGAACCCAGGAGCAGTGACTTAAGTGTTCTGAGTGTCAGTTTCCTCATCTGTAAAATGGAGACAATACTGGAATGAAGTTCTTATCACCAGCATCGTGACTTATGGAAACAATTTAAGGAGATAATGGGCTGCATTCAGGAATACAGGCCTCAGGCTGCCTGTGATGACCGCTGGGTACTCGGTACAGGACTTGTCCAATGAAAAGACACTCTGGGGATCCCTAATAATGAACAGCCTTTCCCAGAGCATTAGTGAGCCCACAGCAGGCTGGAGGTCTGCAGTCAGGAGTGTGGCCAGGACTGCTCAGGCTTATGCCCAGCAGGGAAGAGACTTCAGCAGGCCCGGTGCCCAGCGGCTCTACTGCAAATCCTCCAGAGCAGTTGTTTAAGGTAAACCGTTTACATATCATAGGCTCTAGGGTAAAACTGTGATGAGTGTGAAGGGCGGTGGGCTCTGGTGAAAACCTTGGTTCCCTGATTTTCCAGTGGAGGAGGAGCCATAAAGGATGGCAAGATGGAAATAAAGAGGAGGATGAGGGACAGGAGAATTCCAGAAGCCGAGACCAATGTTCCAAGGAGAAGAGTGAGTCCCGTCTTTGAAACAAAGCAGAGCGGTTCAGGTCAAGAAAAACACAAAAAGAGGCTTCAACCTTGGCCATTTAGAGTCGCTGGTGAGCTCTGCTGGTGTGTTTTAGGGCAGAGGGGTAGAGAGTAAATCATTACCCGCTAAGTGAGCAGGAGGTGACCTACAAAAGCATGTTTAGCTGTTGTTTGTCTTTAAGAAGCTGGTCAGAGAAGGCAAGACTGGGGCAGGATGGCAATGCTGTGATTACAGGACCTGAAGGACCAGAGAAGCTTTACACTAGATGGGGAATCTGTTCATGTCTGAGGACTGAGAGAGAATAGCCAACAGCAAAGCAATGTTGGAATGTCCTGCAAGAGGAGACGCCTCTTGGAAGAAGGTTCTAGTGGTGATCCCAGTGCCCAGGACACAGGCGGATGGATGGTCCTAAAAGAAGGAGAAAAGGAGGCAGGGGCAGGAAGCGTCAGGGAGGAGGAGGGAGTTGAATAAGAGACTGAAGATAATGTGGATCTGAAAGGTCTTGGAGCAGAAAGCAGACTAGAGGGTGGGAATTTCCTATGACTTCCAAGAGTTGGCTGAGATGTGGAATTTTCTCCAGCTTCTCAGCAGCCCGAGGGGTAAGCAGAGAGAAGGTTGGGTGGGTGGGGATCTCCCAGGCTTAGAGATAACATACCTTGGGTCCCTGTGGTCCAGGTGAGCCTTCGGGACCTGGGAATCCCTTCTGGCCAGGAGAACCAGGGGGTCCAGGAAAACCTTTCTCTCCCTGTTAAAATCAAAACAAGACCAGGCACACAGAATAGCAACTGTCCAACAACAATGCACCCACCACAACCACTGTTTTTTTGCCTTTATATCTTCATGATAACTTGGATTATATTTTTTTGGATAAAAAAAAATCATCATTGAGTGTATTGGTGACTATCAGCACTTGTCCATAGACTTGAACATGTGGGTCTTTAGTTCTGTGGGCCCCACAAGGTAGAGCTGCTCGGATTAGGGAGATTAGGCAGAGGGCATCAAGAAGGAGTTGAAAACCAGATAGAAAGTTGGAGGTTAGTGGAGTGTGTTTGCTGGGGAATGGAGTGAGTAAGTGCAAGAATGTCCGGGGAGTGTGCATAATTATTATGTAAGCTTGAGAAGATCAACATGCGGGCGACACGTTTGGGTCTTTCTTGATTACACAGGAATTAGAAATTCAATCTGCTCTTTGTGTAGGAGATGTGGGAGAGATACCAACAATGACATAACCAAAAGTGTGAGCTAAATATTGTTTTTTACAAAGAGTCAGATGATATTACGGGGAAGTCCAGATGCCATTACGGGGAAATCAAGAGTGAGTGAAAGTAATTGGGCTCACTGGGTGACAGGGCCCTGCCAGGAGCTCGTCCTTCTCTGGACATGGAGCACTCTTTGATTGAGTCAATTGCTTTCAATTAAAAATCTTATTAGAAATTAAAAAAAAAAAACATACCAGCTATCTTACCGTGTATGCACACCCACTAAAAAAGAAATAAAAGAATGTGCTGGCCCCTCTAGATCCTCAGCTACCTCCACATGTCCTGGAAAGCAGCTCATACATGCAGGACTGGATTCGTGCTAGATGCAGTAAGAATGAGCTATTCATGTGACATGGTCACAGCAGGCACAGACCTGAACAGGCCACATTCTTAACTTCAGGCCAAACCTCAAACTATGTGCAAAGGACACAATAACTTTAAAATATATATATATATATATATATATATATGTATACTTATAATGATTATAATGAATACATATATATATATTATGTGGCAGTTATTTTACCTAAAGAACTCAAAATATGTTCTTTGAAAATATTTTTATGTAGTCACCTTTCAATATTGTTAAAAATAATTCATTTGTATTTCTAGGGAAAGATTTTTGTAAACAAAGACACAAACACCTTAGTTCTGCCTCTGTCTTAACTGGCACAACTTTCAAATTAGTGGAGCGAATTAAGGAGACTTCACAGCATCCTTTATTTGAATTCTGGCATGGAACTGCTTTGCCTTGCTGGATTCTGGCCTGTTCTGCATAGCAGGCACCGCGGCATTCTGCCACCAGGGGTGATTTCCCACTCATGCTGCGCATTCTGGTTTCAATATTTTATGCCAAAGTAGGTGAATCAGGTTGTTTTCAGCTGTTCTTTAGAATTTAGCAAACAGCATAATTGTGGAGTCATTCTTCTAAACTTTTCCTTAACTTACTTCTTTTTCTTTATTGATCGAGAGTTAGAATTTAATGACCAAATTATAAGAAGATTCCTACAAGGTTTTTTCTTTTTAAGGTTAATGTTTGTACACACTTGTTTTCAAATTGAATGTGGGAACTGGAGTAGAAAACGTCTGCTCTTTCTGCTACCAACGAAGGGAAAGTGAGATTCCTGATGAGAGCGGTGGTGACAAGAAGCAGGACTAAGCTTTGTTTTACCTTCTCGCCTTTGGTTCCATCACAGAAACACTGGCCTTTGCCTTTACAGTTGCAGCCCTAGGAAGAGGGAGAGAGAAAGAGTTTTGTTTAAAACAGCTTTAAAAAAATCCCGGCTGACAGGGCACAAGCAGACATCTCTCTTCGAATATTCAGCACCTTTCACCAGGAGTCACCAGCCACTGTGGCACCTTATCCACAGAAAGTGAGAGAAGAGAAGGGACAACTGACTGTCAGATGACCGTGGGTCACTCCGACTGTGTTTAGGAATTTCAAGGAATTGGTTTACGGAAAGGACAAAGCGCTATCCTTTCTCAGAATAATACGTAGTTGAGTCATGAATCTGTGTTGTAGGAAGGCGTGGCCTAGTGTAGGCAAATGTATCTTCGACATAATGTGCACATGTGCAGATGCGTATATTACTGGGCAATATTGACTATAGGTGATTGCAAGGTTTTCTTTCCCCGAAATAATGTTCAGGGCGAAAAAATGATGATCAAAACTCAACATGTGTCCTTAAAGAGAACAAATGAATGCTGGCATCACAATGATCTTTCTTATCAAAAAAAAAAAAAAACCAAAACCAGGGGCCTCCCCTGGTGGCGCAGTGGTTGAGCGCTGGGCTGCAAAGCTGCCCGCAGCCTCTGCAGTGCCGGTTTGATCCCTGGCCGTCAGGCAAGAGTCCCACATGGCACGCAGACCTCTCCTGCTGCCCACTGCTCCCCTCAGCAGTGTATTTCTATTGTCTGCCTGTTCTGCTCCCCACTCTGTCTCTGGTGAATCCTCTCACCCTCCCATTCCTCTGGCCTGTACCCCAGCTCTTGTATAAAAATAAATCTTAAAAAAAATAATACAAAACCAAGAGAGAAATCGTTAAAGATGGTGGAGTTAAAATTTGTTTTGACACGTAGCCTGTGGATATATATAGATATTTTTCCTTAATTTTCTTCCTCTAGTTAATATTGGCTGAAAATTAATTGTTTTCCCCAGGAAAACATAGCAATTGACAGCAGAGACAGAGTCAGTCTACAAGACTGGTGATGCTGGCTAGGAAGAGTTAAGAAACATTGCCTCGGTTATTCCCAAAGTGGAGTTCCCTATCTGGCAATCAAAACAAATAGATAAACAACAATATCTTTCATCAAATATATTTTCCTGGGCCCAAAGCAATCAACAAAGCTGCCATTCAAGGAAGGGACAGGCATAGCAATTTCCAGACTCTCATCATTGAGTCTCACCATTTATACACATCACAACCCATATGAGTAGAAAGTGCTTGGGAGAAAAGTCTGCATTTTCCCCAAGGGTTGGCTATTTGGTGTCTTCTAGAAGTTTACATTTCTCCAAGTATTCTCCCAGATGTTTGGAGTCATTAAGTCATATTGTTACTTCATTAACTTAATCTTGTCCTTCTAGATTTTTAAATTTTTATGTCCATTTCAATCACATATTTGAGTATACTTTACTAAAGCAGAGGTTCTCCAAGCGGGGTCCCCAGACCAGCAGTGTCAGCATCACCCAGAAACTTTTTAGAAATGTTAGGTCCACTAAATCACAAACCCTGGAGGCAGGTCTCTTTCATCTCTTTTTTTTTTTTCTGTATATGAATATTCTTAAGGCTTAATTCACAACTGCCCCAAACTAGAAACGACCCCAACACACTTGGTACCTCTATGGAGTGGAATACTATTCAGCAATAAAAAAGGGCCAGCTAGGACTTAGCACAGCTCATACTTATGTGAAGCAGACATGGTGATGAGTGAGAGGAAACAGCCTGAAAATCCATACTGTGGTTCTATTCATAAGGCATTTTGGAAAAGACAAAACTAGGCACAGGAAGTGGAACAGGGTTGAGTTAAAGGGTGGGCAACGAAGGAAGAAAATAGGCAGTTTTTGAGGCGATGGAACTTTTTGAATCTTGATTGTGGTAGTGCTTGTCAATAGCACTGGCTAGTTAAACACGAGGCTAATTGTTTCTTAGTTGCTTGGCTATAAAAATAATTTTTGGAAAAACTTTAAGCTCTTAGAAGAGATGAAAGGCATTACAAAGAATTAATGCACAACTACAAGTCTTTCCAGTTCAATTCACCAACTTTTACCATTCTCTCTCTCTCTCTCTCTCTCTCTCTCTCTCTCTCTCTCTCTCTCTCTCTCTCCACACACCTATTTGCCAAACCACTCAAAGTAAACTGCAACCCTACATGCCATTGTTCTCCCTCATACAGCTACATCTCCCCTAAACAGGTGTTTATTTTAACCCACCCACACCATTTTCCCAACCCTGAGGCCAAAATTGAGTCAATTAACTCCGGATTACTTGTTTTGAAATAAGATCTTCAACCTTCTGCAAGACCCTTACTGTCCATTGGAAAAGGAAAAGCTGTTTAATTTTTAGCAAATCTTTCATTTCATATCAAAGACTTACTCTCCATCTCTGCTCACTTGCAATTGAGTCCTGACCTCAGCAGGTGGCCATCACAGTTCCGAGAGTCCCCAGGAAACAGACTGGGGTGCCCCGAGGGTGGGGGCACCCTATGGCCTCTTGTTGCCTTGAATTCCCTCCTGCCTGGGTCTGGCTTCCCATCCCACCCACAGCGAGTCTGTTCCCCTTCTTAGTCATTAAAGCCACAGTTCCTGATGTTTTTTCATTCTGTCCTCCAGGTTGGGTCTTGAACCTTTAGGAAAAACAGATGGAGCTTTTGTTTCCCATGAGGGCAGGTGTCTAATTTGATGATTGGGAACCAGCTGGTGGGCTAATTGAAAAAGTTAAAGCAGAAAACCAAATTTGTGAACACTTCAGACATTTTAACTTAACACATGTTTAGTGGCAGGAGGACACGGAGCAGGATCTCTATGACCCGAGCAGATGGGTGGAGGAGGAGAGCAGAGAGTCCTGGAGCCCTTGGTGGCATTTCAGGCTTTTATTGGGATTTACCAGGTACACAGCAGGCAGGGGTGCTGGGGGGCTGGGAGGCCTGCCAGCAAGTCTTCATACTGTTCGGGCTCTCCAATGTCCTCTGGTGTTTCGCGTGGCTCTGCTTCTCTGCTCTCCTGTTCTTTCTTCTGCTGGCATCCCCGTGAAGCCACCCTTATAAGCCCAGTCTTAGCTCAGTTGTACCCACTTACGCATGCCCAACCCTACTCCAGGTGCCCGCCATCAGGCATGCATTCAGGACCGCAAGGATCCATCATCAATCCTGTTGGCAGGAGGGCAGAAAAACCTGATACTTTTTTACCTTACCCTACAACATATAAAAGGCACCCCAATTCTTCAACCACGTGAAATAGGCTTCACGTTATTTCTTTGGGAATGGGTGCTGTCTGGGCTTCTAGGACATCATTCTTGGTCAGTGACACCCATAAGGCACCGTCAGCAAGTTCCAGTTTGGGTTTTTTTGAAACAAAAATTCTTTGTGGAGCAAGCATAGAGTCCTTCTAGATAGTAATTCATATTTTTCTCACTTTTTTCCAGGCACTCTTAATTGAATAGAAATTTTCTATAACGTTTTAAATCCAATCTTCCAATCAGTTGTCACATAAATAGGTCCTTTTATGCATTTATATTGAATCTATTTGTTATTTCGTTTTTTATTTCTCGGTTACAGTAATTAAGTGCAACCTGCGGACGCACTAACCCTGTTACCACGAAGCTCCACCAGGGGGCAGGCGCGTCCCGGGAGAAGCCCGCGGGGCGCAGGGGCCGCGAGCATCGGTGTGTTGCAGAGTCGTGGGGAGCTCTGGCCCGTCCAGCCGCTTACACGGAGAGTCCCTGAGAGAGGGGCCCCCGAACTCTTTGCTCTCACATGCCCGCGTGTCACCCGCCTGCAGGCAGCCCGGGAGGCCTGGGCTGCGCGGCCTCTGCAGGGTGCGGCCGGCTGGACACCTGCGCGACCTGATGCAGAGTTGGCGATGGTTTTGCTGACATGTGGACGTGGCGCCTGATGAATGAAGCCAAACTTACAGCCCCCAGCTCTGGGGTCCCCTGCTGTTGGGAAGACCAGCGCTGCCTCAGGAGGCTGCACTCAAACAGGGCACCTCGCTGGTTTGGGGGGTTATGACTGTGGCCCCATCTCTTAGTGATGCTGCTTTCTCTGCAACAAAATTTGAAATTTGCCTGTGTGTTTCAGTCAGGCGGTAGCGCAAGTGGATTATCTGGCTGAAAGATAACGTGGCATATTTTCATTTCCATTGAGCTTGAGCTACATGTTTGCACCCCAATTCCCTGAATGGAATATAACCCATTCACGACTAGCCAAATTCTAAGTCACTTAAACCCCCTGTGGCCAACGGAATACGACTCAGCAAATCAAAAAGACAAACTCACGCCATGTGTGGCAACAGGGAGCTGCAAGGGATGATGCTTAGTGAAAAACTCAGGAGAAAGAGCAGTATCGGATGGTTTCGCTGCTACATGGAATAGAGAGAAACAGGACAAAGGGGCAGGAAAAAGACAGAACTTGCAAGGGAACCACAGATCTGAGGCATCCAGCAGGGGAGGGCCCAGCTAGGGGAGGGAAGAGAACAGGACTGTGGTGATGGGTGTGATGGTGGTGGGTGAACTGCGGGGCTGACACATTTGTGGGGAGAGATCAAATACTGTCCAAAAATGAACAAACAAAAAAACCCAAACCCCCACTGCGGCCTAGTGCTGCTAAGCGGGAGGAAAGCATGAGTAATGGACAATCCCCATGCAAGCTTTGCTGATGTTCTCCTCTTCCAACAAGAAAGCATCTCTTGACTTCCCCGTGCCTTCAGGAAGTGAGAATTCTTTTGTCAAGAGCAGAAAGGTCTTAATGACTTTCTGGCTGTTCTCCCCTCGCGAACCATTAACACACCAGGAAGTGGGCCAACATTACGTGTTTTCATACTTCTGTATATTAGATACTTGAACTTGTGAGAATCATTCTTTGAACAGCCACATTCATATTTGATGACCTCACTTTGAATGCAAGGTCGGCTTTCATAGCAGAGAACTAAAAAGGTTTGAGGTCCAGCCGTCACAGGCCTCAGGCCAAATCCATGTCAGATCCTGGGTGTGGCGAGAGACTGGAAAGTATCGC